AACAAGCGAGACACCTGATAATCTCTTTCAAGATCCTCCTCTCTCCGCCGCCATGGCCGCAAATGCAGATCGCTGTCTGATCAGTTCCCAACGGAAGGTTTCACGGTTAAAGCTGGAACAACGAAGGATAATACGAGAGCTAAAAGRTGTGTTAGATCGGCCTTTGCTCCGTCTTGAGCTTCCATCGTAACCGCTACTGTCCCCAATGCGGGTGGACTTGCGAGGTTGGAAGGAACAGCGATATCTGAGTTAGTTGGCCTCGCACTCTATGTAGGGAACGACAGATTGGTTCACGGTATCATGAAATTGCGACATCCATGGAAAATTGCGATGCTCCTTTCCATACTATCGTGATCTGCACATCAGGTGACATATTCTTCTGGATGACAGGAGCGTCAGTTGTAGCCAACGTGGTCATGCGTGTAATTCCCTCATCGCCCTTTCATCATCAGATACTGCTCGCTGACCTTGTCGTGTCAGCTAGACTTAGCGGCGTAAATCTGCACATCTTCTTGATCCTTCATTCCAATCGACCGAGACAATCTTAGCCTGCCACTCGAACTACCAAGATCATCGTTATCGTGTCTTAGGCAGGAAGATTAACTCGTCGCAGCAGCACCCCAAAACACCGCAACAAACATATCTCTTCCATCAGCAGATGCCTCCTCGTCAGTCATCGGATCTATGCCGATGCATCGATTGCGCACCCCGAACTCCCCGCGAGATCAGCCGCGACATTTGTGAAAAGTTGAGAGAGGCCGAAGGCGACAATGAGCTTAGCCAGACCGATTACCAAGAGCTAGCATACGCTATCGAAGCGCTAAAAAGACTTCGCGACCGTATCACCGACGATGGCTACGACCTTCCCGACGAACGCTGGCGTTACACCGAATATGAAATGGAAGCCGCTCGCGATGCCAGAACCTTTGTCGACCATGCATTGGACAACTATGACTTCAACATCATACACTTGGAAAGGCTCCTCGGCCGTGAGAATAATCGTCTTCGTATGAGCGAGAAGGATCACAAACTTGCCAGGAGCATTGTTTTCGCTGCTAGAGAGAGTTTGTACTGCGCTCAACTCGTCGCAAGCAGCTCTTGTCTTCCAGGCACAATTGAAGAAATATCGGCTCCAGATATGCCAGATTATCCTTCGCCGCCGGAGTCGCTCGGAGGACCGTCAGTATCCAGTGATGACGAGCGGAGCAAAACAAAAAATGTGCCAGTCAGAGAGCCGAGTCGAGCTTTCCAAGACGCGTTTCAGGCAGAGCAGAACGGACGGGGACCAGCGGCCACGGGCGCCGAAGACACACTATCTATGCAATCAGATCCCGCAGATACCGAGCCTGAAGTTCATCTTCCGAGTCAGTTCCTGAGGATGGGAAGCCAAGTTCTTGGCTTTGTTGACGCTCTTTTGGAGGATCTGGACCGGCCTGCATTCTTTCAACGGGCTCCGTCGACGGCCAGTGCTCAGTCTGATCGCATAGATACCGTGGCTGGGCTCAAGAACATGCTCTCGAAGGTGTCCTCTCGTCTCCAGAGCATGTAAGTGTGAAGAGGGTTGCTCGAAGAAACAAGTCGGCATCGAGGATCAGAATTTTTCGCGATTGCAAGAGAATAGCCTCAATGCTTTCCTCCCGCCCACGGCAGCAGCGCGTATGGGCAGTCCAGCTCACTTGAAATCAATCGATCGATTTCCTCGAAGCGGCCGCAGTATTGCGATTTCACTTCTTTCCGCTTTCCACTTCTCGTCATCGCTAGCAGAGTAGTAGCAGAAATGAGAAAGAATCTCGTTCGCGGCAAGAAATCCTCCATGGTATTAGGGTGTGGCTCTGTTTGATCTCATCTGAGTGATTGAATAGCGATCTGCTGAAACAATATACCAATGTCCTTACAACCGGAGCCTGCACATTTCCTGCAAATGCCGGTTACTTCGCCGCTGACACGGTGCATATGAAGCCGTCCACATAAGTCCCCTGATCTGCGTTGTAGTCTTTGTTTTGCGACTCCCCGGTGTAGACAATGAATGCGGTTGTCAAATTTGTCATTCTTTGATTGACTTCAACTACTTTGCTAACATGCAAGTAAGACTTTTGTGGTGTTATGACCGAGCAGTGAGAAGGAAACAAGCGTGGGAGTCGTGATGCTCGATTGAAGTCTGTTGGTGAACTGCTGTGTCCATATGCTCGAGACCCAGTAGGGTGGAGATCAGGCTCACTGCTGCAGAGTAGCATGCTGAAGAGACAGTTCAGTCGTGATGTTCAATCCCAGGCAGAGAAGGCCAACGCTGTGGCTCCAGGCAGAGAACTTTGAGCTGATTGGCTGTCCCAGCTTGGCCGACGGTCGGTAGCTTGATTGCCGCTGCTTCTCAGGAGAAGGTATTGACCCTTTCGCTTGGGAGAAGGTGTCCACCGCCCAGGTTGGCGCGCCGCCACATCAACTTCGGACTGCGAGACATGAATGTCGTCACAGAGAGCCGCAGGGTATGACAGCCCGCGTCGACCTCGTACTGCAGGGCTTGGATGTCTTAGGAGCTGCTGCTGCACAGATATTGCTGCGTCGACCTCGTACTGCCAGGCCTGCGTGTAGAACCGCCAAGCAACCAAGGTGCGTGAGAAGCTGCGTCGGCCGTGCATGAGAGGCTTCGTCGACAGTGCTTGAGAGGCTTTGTCAATCGTGGAGTTCGGGCAAGGAATGCMTTTCGAGTCGCACACGGGCTTGAGGAGCCCTCTAGATTAGGAACTCATGGAATAATTGGCCGCAAATTGCTCCCAGCTAATATGGCATGGGATTGCGCCTGTTCGAGCGTCGTTTCACCACTCAAGTCTCGTTTGACACTGTGTGCGAACAGGTGTGTGAGGTTCGCGCCGGCTCTGACGTGATGTACTGCATGCTCTTCCGCTCTCCTCATCAACCTCCACCAGGACTCCCTACGACACGGAGTATCAAACTCCGAGCCGGTAGGACTCGTGGCAGCAATAGGCTGGAGGTAGCATGAATCATTGTATGGCAGGCAATCGTGAATCGGTGGAATACAGGAGACTACAAGGAATAGTGTAGACTGTGAACATGTCTTTCTGCCTCTGCACTTGATGCGTCTTGAAGTAGAACAAAGCCATCGGCTCAGACTTGTAGTCGATACAGCAGCATTCCGTGTATCTTGAAGAGCTGCGATGATGGTATGGTGGTGCTTCGACGTCCAATGCTCTGACAGTTTCATCATTCGCCAATGATCTCGGAAATGACAAGCATGCGGTAGCATGAATGCTGGCGCTGCCGGTCGCTGTCCAACTCATTTGATCTTGCAAGGAGAGCAGCTAGCTACTCAGTGTTCTGACCCAGCGGTTGGTGTTCCTGATCCTCCAGCTTCCACTTTCAGAATGGCTCATATCCTTTTGCAGTGCGTGTGCAGTGTCTTGATATGACAATGTCTAGTAAAGGATTGCCAAACCGTGGAGGGAAAGCTCAGAGGCAACGCGGCTGACTGGCGGTTTCCTGCTGCCTTGAGACAATAGTCTTGCCCCCATGCGAGCATGAACTGGTGATGAGCTTACTGAGTTCAAGCGACCTGGCCGATTTTGTACCCGGCCCCGTGAAGTCCAAAGTGCGGTGACGATATGGTCTGGGCAGGGAAGATCAAAGGGTTTTCTGCCGACGGCAAATGGTGCGACTGTTGGTCTTCTCGACACTCTTGGGTTTTGGGGCATGACAGGGAACATGATCGTAGCAAAGAGCCAAGGGGGCAAAGTTGAAGGCTGCGGAGAGAAGTGATCATTCGAAGTCCGGGCAGGTGGAGAAGAGCGTCCTGGATGTGTCATAGAGTACACAAGTAGCATCGGTGAAATAGATTCTTGGCAGCAGAGGGAGAGTGTTTGAAGACGCCAGCGGTGATTCCTCGAAACGAGCGCCTTCTTGCAAAGGTGTGTCAAGACGGGCCTGGAATTAGCGTAGATGTGACTGTGAGGGATCCTACCTTGGAGAAAGGACACGCTCTCGAAGAGTTTCACCTCATGCCTACGACTCCGGCCCAGTGGCTGTGTCGACAGTGAACATACTGTCGTTGGAATGGCCGCGCACGGCGATGGTGGTACCAAAGTCCCTGGCCGTACTCCCAGCACTGGGTGAAGTAAGTTGTGGTGTTGGTGAATGATGTGGATGTTGGAGGTCTTCCAAAAGTAGAGAAACGCGTAGATGGTGGTGAGAAATCTTGGAAGAATATTCGTAGCGCCAGCTACTTTCGCGGACTGAACTCCGGGTCGACAACATTTCGCGCTCTCCGTGCATACTGCGATTTAAGATACACGGAATTACGCTTTGCTGGCGTAGATGCGTGTTGGTAGTTAAGAGACTATACCATGCATGCAAATCACGCAAGAAAGGCGACGATTTTGCGTTTTGGGGATATTGGTCAAGAGGGGGAAGAGAAATCACACAGACTTGGTCACTGTACTATCTCATCCTCCAGCACCTTCGGGATGCACTTTGCTCCCGAGCAAGTGCACTTGAACTTCGATTGGACTTTCACAACCTTTTCTCCAATCTCCATCTCCATCTCCCACATCTTCTTTCCACAGCCTTCCCTCGCTTCATTCGCCTCCTTTGGCTCTACAACGATTTGGTCCACAGCCACACACTTTGACTCATGGCAAAGGTGGCTGGCCTGATATCTCTCCTCCAGGAGCAGCCTTCTCTCCTCATCAGTCCCGAATCCCCAAACCACAAGCCTGTGAGCCCCCTGTGGAGGTCGACTCACCTTGAAACTCCCATTCACGGTTCCTGCCCTGGTTCCTCCCTGAATTGGAGTAATTTATTCATAGCCATTTTCATTTCTTTCCTCCTTGCGAGCAAAATAACCCCGACAAGCAATGGTTTTCCCAAAACCATCAAGAACTAACTTAATCACGCCATCTTCTTCATCTCCCCAAGTTCATCCGCCACCGTCACGACAATCTATGCTCTCCATCTTGCAATGCCCCGCTGATCTCCTAGTCACCCGCTGCTCAGTGCAGCCAGAGCCCTTCGATTAGGAAAGGCTTCGTCCTGCCGGTCTGCTTGAGCTGATAGACGTGCAAAGCCCAACCTCCTTCATGAAAGTGCCACTGGCACGTCCCATTCACGCATCTAGCCCTGAAATAGTTCTCAACAGCTGGCGGCAGCGAAGCAAACCAGCTGTGAATGAGATACTTTGCTTCGTCGGGATTCTCAAACACCCAGACCGCGTTTGCACCGTAGTACGATTGCATGGCGCGCGCACGAGTCTTGCTGCTGATCTGGAGCTGGATGGGCGGTTTGTATGCCTTGGTGATGACCTCCGAGTGTGGCTCGATGTGGAAGACGTGGTTGTAGATCATATCGTACATTTCTTGAGGAAGCGATTCAAGGCCGTTGCGGAGGGCCTTGGTGGTGATGGGTGTCATGGGGATGGGCTCCCCGGAGAAGTCGTCGTGGAATGGGAGGGCTACGAAGCCCTTGCAGAGCTCGTCCTCGACAGAAGAAGGCATTGTGGGAGGCGCGCGAAATTAGTCGCAGAAAGTGCTGGCAGCGGAAGTCAGCGTCGAGGTCATTGTAGTAAGGAGGGGAGGACCAACGATCTCTTGCTCGTCGATTGAACACGATCAATGAATAGCTCCTCGAGGTGCTCGGTCGCGGAAGAAGGCTGTGAGATCTCGATGCGGTAGAGAAGAAGGCAGAAGGTTGCGATTGTTCTGTTCGTTTGTGAAGAGAGCACGCGAGCTGACTAGCGCTTGATGACAAAGCATCTTCTCCGCCTGAGGTACCAAGCAGAAACAGGGGCTAAGAAACGAGTGCGGTTCATGTCCCACCTGACGCTCTATGAACGCTCGCATCGTGAGACCACGGAACACTAGCAGTTTCATTGCTGGTAAGGCGGTCGGGATGACCGTCCCTCACTTCTTGCTTCATCAACTGCTGATGAGATGGGGTGTCGAAGGCCTATTCCAGAGCCACTTTAATATCTTAGGGATCAGAAACACCCATTTCGCCATTTCGCCACTCCTTGATGTGGTAGAATGATCCTCTTAACCAGTTGAGCGTGTTCGCGCTCCTCATCCCTCTTATTGTACGTTCATACTAATTAGTATGTCACGGTGGCGAGCCTGGAGATAAGGATTGGCGTCCTGATCCGTGGATTTCATCTGGCACACTGCCCAACTCACACCGATACCATCTCCAGCAACTTGGAGCCACAGGACCCGAAACTCCCACCTCCTACTCGTGACTCCTGTCTGATTAACGGCCTTGCAAGAGTTGGGCCACAATGGGCCGTGAAGGTTCAGCGATTCATTTCGGAATGCATTCCGCAGCGCTGGGTCTGCTGCTGCAACCATCTTCGACGCCGTGACTGTAGTAGTCTTTCATGAACGCGATACGGGAGGAAGATTCGATCTGCATAACAGATGAAGGTATCAGGGGTGAAGACCAGGTTGTAGAGCTGGTTGAACAATTTCTGTGGCAGGGGGAAAAGGCCCTAATGCAGCGGGTCGTCGCTGAGACTCGTTCGACCGAGCAGGGCTGCTTTGCACTCGCAGGCGGCCCCTTCGTCGGATAGGGAGGTTTGCTTCTGAGGCTCGAGGACGATAGGCATATGGGTAGTATTATCGACAGAGTCCTTACAAATGGGCCCCTCTTCTGCTTCGGCTGTGCTTGGTGATAATATATGTAGATTCTGCTCCTCGCGGCAGCGACGTGTTGGCCGCTGTCAACGCTATTCGGCTCTTCCTCGACGCCTTCCCTCGCCTCGTTCGACTTCATCTCGTTAGTGACATTGTTAGCTAGGTGGGCCCGGGCTGCTTCCTCCGCGTAATGTCATTTGCAGCCGTTGCGTCGCTCATGGTTGTTGCCGGAAATATCATCTGTGAAGTTTGGAGATGGCGCGGTCGGTAACTCTGAGTAGGGCGTGATCTGGAGGCATTCGTGCAGTCATATCTCTGATCCCATATCGTTAGGGTACGTCGAGTTGGTGATGCTGTCGCGCCACTCTTTGTGTGCTTGACCCGCTGTGTGCCTTTGGTCGGGCTTAGACATGTAATCTCTTGATACGCTTGATGAGACCAGCGGCCCGTTCCTGTGCGCGAGCTCATATCAAGGCTTTTCTGTACGTAAATGATGTAACGACGCGCGATTTGCGGAGTTCCACGACCAGCGGCATTGTACTTTGAAAGGGAGCGTCTCCAAGAAAGCGTCTGAGGCACGCCAGGTCGTGTCATTCCGGCAGAAGCGGCATACTTGTCATGCCCGAAACTCTCTTCGAGATGCAATATACATAGACCGGATGGAGGGGAGAGAAGGAAGTGTTGTCATTGACATTAACTGGAAGTCATGCTGTTCAATTTGCCGACGAAACGGTGCATGTGGCGTTCCTAACGTGAGCAACAGAGCACGACTCATCAGCAGAGCTGAACGACGAAGATCGACATGGCATTAGAAGGTACAGTATTCAGGGAAGAAAAAACACACAATAAAGATGCTAAATTCAAGGGGGGCAGAGCGAGATCGTGATGCAATGCGACCCACCAGGACACATGAAATGTTTGAAGGGACGGGTATACGGGCAGCAAGATATGTCTGCACCAGTTCATGAGTGAGCAAGCCAATCGCGTTTTGGCGCTGCAGGGCAAAGACTCCTCTCCTCCCCTTCATCCCATCCTAGATGCCAATCCCATGGAACCTCATCTTTGCGTCGTGGTGTGAATCGTTCGCAGTGCCATACCAGCGGATTCTTGAGACACGCAGCTCTCCCCTCTTCTMGTGAACCGTGGGCTTGAGTCGCGTGATCTTCAATTGGAACTTGACCCTCTTGACTCGCTCGGCGTTGATATAAAGACCGATTAAGTCAGGCTTTAGCACCACGATTGCTTGGCGAGATAGTCCAGCCACCCATTTTTCTAGGTAGATCCAAGAGTTCTCGATGTTTTGCATATCGTCGTGAATGCCGTGTGAGTAGTACTCCTTGAGATAAGCGGCGCGCGATAGACGATCAACTTGCATTGCGGAAGGTGGCCTATAAATAGCCATCATGGCGATAGGCAGTCTGTCTGGTTCGAAGACAAGGTCGTGAATACGGGCGAACAACTCCTGAGGGAGCGTTGCGACCCCTACACGTAGCTTCTCGGCGTCGATTGCTGCGTTCTTGATGCGCTGCCCAATCACCTTGCGGACTGCCATGCCATCCGCTTCGTTTGCCAGACCTTCCTGGTAGCGGTAMTCGTCTTCGATGTCCTGCCTCGCTTCCCTGCGATCGCTCAGCCACCTGGCGGCTCTGGCTTTTTTGCGGAAGGCTTCTCGCTGTTGACTCGCCAGCTGCGCTTTCTTTTGTCGCTTGCTGGCGATATCCGCAGAAGTGATGGCTTCCCACTCTGCAGCATCGGCCAGCGTTTTGTGTGTGGCGGCATTCATACGCTTCCGCACTCCGGCCGAGTGGCGATTGAGATCTGTCAATGACATGATCTTTTCCCTCTCAACAAGAAAGGCCTTGTCGTATGCGACTTTCTTCGCCTTTGCATCTTTCGTCGCCCGCTTCTTGGCTTCCTTTGCTTCCATATTCGCTGCGGATCGATAACACGCTTTAGCGTACGCAAAGAACCCTTCATTCTCAGCGCGATATGCAATCCGGGCGGCACGTCGAGCTGGCTCGTCGGGATTTGTGTTGACAAGATTGCGAAAGGCGTCTGCCTGATGCTCGAAGAGGGCATCCAGAACTGTGCCGTGGGACATAGCAAGTGTTGAACCCGGGTTAATGGTGGATGAGCCACGAATGTAATCGACGAAATACCTCGCGCTGGCGGGGATAAGGATCACTGTAGAGTGGGATTGGGGTTGAGGATTCGTGATTGCAGACTACGCGCGTGAATGTCGAGATGCTGTGGGACAATCAGTCGGACAATTTGAAGGCTTGGAAGAGAGGTGCTTACTTCCGCAGTACCTTTTCCTGTCTTGCTTATACGAGTTTCTAAAAGGTGGCGTGTAAGTTGAAGAAGAGCCGATGTTGAGGTCTGGGTGAGACGAGGGTTGTTCACGGAATAGAATGCGAGATTTGGTGTTAAATGCGATTCGGCAAAACCGAAAATGACGTTGCAGAGGGTTTGGCGCGTGTGCGTGACGGCTTTACAAACCATGATCTCCTACGAGGATCGAAAGATCTTTATGTTCCTTACAGTTGTTTGCATGACTCCGTAACAGCAATCAAATGCAGACGACAATGGCCCGCGAAAGGAGAGAGTGATATAAGCACGAATTTATGAGTTTGCTCAAGCTCTTTACATATCCCAAAGACAAACGCAGACCACAGTCTCTAGCACCTTTACAGCAATACAGGAAATCGATGCTCTACAACACCCTCCTTCACAGTAGATCCCTCGACATCAATGTGGTGCTTTCCTCGACATCATTCGGTCTGCCCCCGAAGTCCAGCCGCTACAAACACAATTATGCATGCCGTCTATGCATAGCAACCTCCATCGCATCCCTAGAAGCATGTACCGCGCCTCTTGTCCACTCTGTCTCGGAACCTCCCTCGATTCGAGCAGATCAGTGGCTCTGGACAACATGCCACTCTTGCCGATCAGGGTCGTTCGAGGCCGGCCGCTTGGAATTCTGCTGCTTCAAGCGCCTGTGCAAGAAGCGGGCCTTCTTCATCGGACGGTAGTGGAAGATATTGGCATGTTGCCGATGCGCCTGCAGATCCAACCTGACTTCCGGAGAGAGACTTGCGATCCACTTATCAAAGTATCGGATCGCACCAGGGCGATCGTCAAGAATCTCAACCGCACCCATGGAGTAGTGCGAGTGGAGGATCACCTTGCGCGTCTCCTTGTTGACTTGCATGTTCGATGGTGGCGTATAGTTGCGCGTGATTCTGATTTGCTTGGGGCTCGAATCTGGGGTGAACACCCAGCCACGGATCTCGTCGAGCAACTCCTGCGGAAGGGTCTGCAACAGGTCGGACAGACTCTTTGGGTGCGCGAGGACAGGCGAACTGCTTGGAGTCGCTGAGAAGGTGATCATTGCGTCCGGTATCGACGCGCCGAGTGCAAGGGAAAGGCGCTCCAACATCTCGCTGAGCTCGACCATGCTTGGGTCAGACATGGTGGCTTGGTGGTCTTGGGATGTGGGGGAGTGTCTGGCAGAGAATCATTAGCAACATGTTGAAGGCTGGTCAGGCGCGCCAGATAGAAGCCAACCCGGCGTACCTTGGAGATTGCCAAGGAATATATGCCTGCGCGGCGAGAGGGAGACTTTGAGGAGGTGCTCGTTGGGTGCGCGTTCGATGGGGTCGTCAAGGGTCGCGGCCGCTGTTGACTGTGGTCGAGTGCGAGCAGATTGTTGTTGTTGGGAGGAAGAGTTGGAGGTAGAAATACCCAAAGATGTGGAGAAATCGAGAAAGCTAAAAGAAAATCTCGACCAATCGGCGTAGCTCTCCCTMGGGTGTGGCGCCGCGTCGACAGCAACCTAAGGTATTGACTTGTAATAATCTGAATGACATGTATATTTTCGACTTTCTTTATTCTGTGGATGATTTTGAGCCCGACAGTAGAGAATATCACATCTACACATGCATGATCAGAGTGTTATATGTAACTCGTTTTAGAGTTTGCTGACGAATAGGGGTCAGCACAAACAGTCATTGTACTGGTAAAGAAGTTGATTGAGTCCATGGCAGTATCCAGACGGTTCATGGAGACACTCGACCACTTGAAGAGTCTGGAACCCTCTGGTACCTTTAAGGCATCTCACTGTAGAGCAATCAAAGTGCCCTGGAACAGCTTTTATCTTCCACGATACTAAAAGGGGTTCACGCCAAGTATCAATTCTGTTGTGTATTAATAACTCCACAAAACATACGCCATCCCAGTAAACATCGTGAAAACAGCCGCAGTCACCAACGCCGTCCTCAAAGGCTTCCTAAATTTCCCCCTCACCATCCTCTGGTTGCCGAATGGAGAGATTCTCTCGTGGAAGCCATAAGCCACAGTCTTGGCCTGCTGTACTTTCCCAAGATGAATGTTACAAGCTTCATCCTTGGTCAAGTTCAACTCCAAGAGAACTTGGTCAACCCACTTCCTCGAATGAGCCTTTCTGGCCTCGTGGATAAGTTCTCTGATCTCCGCGTGGTAGAGTCTGAGATGGTGCTTCGCTTCCTCGATCAATATACTCACTGCCTGCTTTCGATTTACGTGTCCGAATTGATAGTGGTTGATTTGCTGGCGGATGCAGTACCCGAAATTGTGGTCATCGATCGGCAGATCTTCCCTGTCGATGGGGTGCGTAAGGATTTTAGAGTTTTCCATCCGAGAGAGATGAACATCACACTCTGACTTGGAAGCAATCTTCAAGGCGTCTTCCTCGAGGCGTTTGATCCGCTGATTACATTCTTTGAAGGGGTGGTGGGTTTCTTCGCTCCAATTAGGATCACGCGTTTGGACTATGTCGCGTTCAGCRTATTCCGGATACGAGAGTGCGATGAAGGCGATAGCGGCTGTCTGGTGTTGGAGATAATCGTATTTGGCGGAGTAAGCACAGTTGGCGTGGCCCCAGGCGAGCGGTGAGAGTCGATGTTTTGAATCTCCGATGACAAGATACGGTTTTCCTGTGAGACCCATTGTGCGTCAATGTTCAGGGTAGGTAAGGCAGGCTTTCAATGCGAGATCGTGTGGTAGCTTAAGAGTAGTTAGCGTTGAATGTGTCGTTGAGAGTCGGTCTTGGACTGTTGTAGGAAGGAATGGGAGAGAAGACTGTGGGAGACTGGGTGGTGAGCGTGTCATTCGACAATTGAATCTCATGATTCTTCCCTTGCACCATTCGTGATCACGCCCTCCGAATCACACGAGGAGACCTTCCACCTTCAACGCTTCAAAGCTGTTCCTGCAGGCTATAAGAAAGACGCAGGGTTAAGCTGGAAGTGGCACACACGTTCCCGTCTTACTCGCTTGGCGGTGGACCTCGACGAAGTTTGGAAGCAGCTTCGTTGGTGATCAAGCCAACATACTGCTCCGCAAGAAGGACGCGACTTCTCTTCGGACAATTCCTGTCCATTCATACACGAAACGCATTTTCAGGGCCCTCCAATTGAGTTCTAACGCCTTTTTACTGCAGCCTACTGCGTCTGCAGATCAGCTGAGAAGTATTGTGGGAAGCATAGTCTGATGTTTCATGCAATTGGCCGGCGCGGTATTTTCTTCCTCATTTCGCTTTGCGTACATGATCAACGGGTTGATTGGAGTCTTGAACGCTAGACCGTACTCGCTGTTTGAAAATGCAAGTTTATCGATGATCTTTGCTTGTGCGGAGATTGTGAAGTACGTCAAGTAGCAGGATGATACCGGGCTGACTGCTTTGAGCTTTGCCCAAGCACAACTAAGAGGGACCGTCCACAAAAACAGAATTATGCTTGTGAGAATATGGTCCTGTGAAGTTGTTTCGCTGCCGTTAATATCACCTGGGTAAAGACAATGCTGAGCTCAAGCCTCAGTCCATCGGCCATAGGTGCGCGGTGTTATTATGCTGAAAAGAACGATTGGAGAAAAGGAGGAAACGGTTTTGCAATTTCAAGTACAGCAATCTGATTGCAAAGTTTAGCAGATATCGTCGTATTTCCCCCCTCCATTGAACTTCCCCCCCTACTACACAGCCTCAGGCTGCACTGCGAAATGAGTCAAAAGACTCTGGCCACGCTGCTGCAAGAGGTAGGTGTAGTCACGCAGCGAGTCATACTCACTCTGCAGGCTGTCTCTCTCTGCCACTAACTCGTCGTGTGCCCAAACACGACACACGCTCGTGTCGTCCAACTCCGCTCGATACGCCTCATCCATCGTGTCGTGGAGACCCTTCCAGAAGTCTCTGTCTCCGGCCAGATCCTGACGTGTGATCACGTTGCACACATCACGCCTTCCTTCAATCTCATGAAGTCTGGCTTCCAGTTCCTTGATCCGTCCCCCCAGTCTTGATTCCAATGTGCCATGCGATATGACGTAACAGCCTTCAGGTTGTCTGGTGGGTCGATTCAAACAAGCGTTCAATTTCTCCTGAGTGTCTGCCAGCTGTTTCTGACAAGTCGCTTGATCCTCGTGAGCTGCGGCAAGAGCTGCTTGACACGCTGGAGGGAAATCGGACTCTTGGTCCGCGCGAGTGTTCGAAGCCCCGGCAGTCTTGAGCTCTCTGCAACGCTGCTCAGCATCCAGACGCTTTTGCTTTTCTGCTGCTTCCGACACTTTGGAGGCCGCCAGCATGCTCTGCAGTTCTATTTGAACCTCTTTGCCGTCATCCAGGTCCTGTTGGAGCACAGAATGCGGCTCAAAGCCACATTGTCCAGTCTTCACGACTTTGCGATCAGCCCGATTAATACGTTCCTCGATTTCGCGGTTTAGAAGAGTGATTTCTTGCTGGGCCTCCGTCAGTGCCTGCGAACTTGACCTGGCGGAAGCTGACGCTGCAGCGAGGTCCAATCCTGCCTGACGATTCCTTCTCTCGCAGTCCTCCAGCTCCTGTGCGAGTGTCATCTCAGATGTGGATGCATCAGAAAGTGGAGTTTGACTGGGGATGGATCCACTACGAGAGCCGGCTTGTTGTGTAGTCTGCGGAGGAACGGAAGTGAATGGCGTGCCGGACCTGGATTCGGGAGTCGCACCACCCAGTCGGCTGCTTGGACGACTTGTAGATGCATCAGATTGCCCCGTTGCTGATTGTGATGCAACGAGACTGGTGAGAGTAAAGGCCGTGCCAGGTCTTGAATCGGAAGCTGTGCTGCTCGATCGATTGCTCGAACGAGTGTCAGGGGTATCGATATACTCCGTGTTTGAGTCAACCCCAGCGGGTGTGCGTTGATCCATACCGTCCCGGCCGTCGGCCACCACTCGCAACTCTGCGTCTGTGAGAGGCGCTGGCTGTTGTTGAATGTTCAGGCTTTCAAGTGCTTCAATGACGGCTGAATCTACCGAGTCTCCACCTGCTCCTTGGCTTACGATCGGGCTCTCCGGGATGCGGTCAGGCGAGTTATAGTCATCTGAATGCTCGTCCGGTTGGTACGGCGACGAAGGCGAGAGTGCGAAGAGCTCATCGCTGCCATCAGCACATGTAGCAGAGAGGGGATCCGCATCCACCGTAGACGACCGTGGCGGACTTTCCGGAATGACAACAATTGAATTGGCACCTCCTGCCTCCGTATCTACGTGGTCTTCCAAGGGCAGGTCAAATGCCAATCCTGGATCCACGCCCCCAATAGCTTGATATACTCCCTGCGCAATCGTTCGAGCAAATTCGGCAGTATTGAGATCCTCCAGGTTCGCAAACTCATCCTCGACCTGGAAGATTCTGACAAGTGGTCGGAGATTGGGCTCTGTGATTGTCGTGTACACATCCGCTGCAGCTCCTCGCTCAAGTGCAGCATTGTAGAGATCAGATGCTCGTTTGATGCGTGCAGCATTGGCTCTCAACCAGCTTGCGGGAACTGTTCTCGGTTGTCTGACGCCTGCAGTCACCAAATCTCTTTGCCTGTCAAGTTCAGTGGGCGCGCTTGGCGGAGCCTCAGCTGGAGCAGCAGTCGTAGGAACGCTGGTGGTTGATGACTGTTGATTGGTGGTTGCCGTCGTCACGTCCGAGCCACCATTGGCGGGAGGCAGCTGCTGCCCACCGCTACCTGGTCCAGGAGTAGAGCCGGAGCGTCCGTCCGAGGGAGGATCTTGCTGACTCGGGGGATTGGGTGGAGTATCTCCAGTCGATGCATCCGTGGCGGCAATGGCGGCATTGTAGACCGCCTGCGCAGCATCTCCGATACCATTCAAAGCCTCGAGGGGAGCTAATCCATCTTCGTATTGATAGATTCGAATGATCTCTCTGATGCGCGGGTTTCGATTGGTGATATGAGCCCGGGGGCCATCGTTGGGATTCGTCCTGAGATACCCGTTATAGTTGCCCGAAGCGAATCCAATGATGTCGGCGGGGTTTCGATAAGAGGCCAGGATGTGCTCTGGTACTCCTCGAGGCACTCGGACACCGTGAGTGATCACACCTCGCGGTGGCGGGGCATCAATCTGCGTTGTGCCCCGAACACCGTCGGTGGTTACACCTCGCGGTGTCGGAGCATTACTCTGCGTTGTGCCCCGAAAGCCGTCAGTGGTTACACCTCGCGGTGCCAGGGCATTACTCTGCGTTGCTGTCGTATTGGGGGTCGGTGCAGTACCCTGCGGTGCTGTCGGTTCTAGAGTCGGTGTAGTATTGGCCATGGCTGCGTCATAGACTGCCTACGCAACGGGATCTCCAGTACCGTCAAGATCAGACAGAGGAATCAATCCATCTTCGTACTGGAAAATTCGGACAACGGCCCTTGTTGCCGGATAGTTGACGTTTTGATGCGCTCTTCCACCAGCGTCGGGATTACTTCTGAGAGTCAAATTGTAGGAGCCAGAGGCGGCCTGAAGGATACCCATGCCACGATGCGCGGTCAAAAGGTTCTCAGGTACACCTTGTGGCTCTCTGATACCTTCGGTGATCCTCCCTTGCGGACCAGAGCTTCGAGTCTGAGATGTGGCGATTGGGAGATGGCTTCGAGGATTGGAGGCAGTGTTGCCGGATGGCGAACCGCGCGCACCACGAGATGGCTGTTTGCTTCCGGAATTGGTACCATTGCTGCCACCTCCTTTCCCACCGCCGCCTCTTCCGGTATTTCCTTTTCCACCACCTTGACCTTTACCGCTGCCGCCACGGTCAGGAGGATCGTTGCCGCCGCTCTCCGTCTTCGCGTGGGTTGAGTTTTGCATCGCTTACTGTCGTTTCAATGCTTCAGACGTTTGGTGCTTGGGGAGGGAAACGATGTGGATGCCCAAAGCTGTGTAGAACGCGTTGGTGTTGGTGTTGCGTACTAAGTTGTCTGTTGATYTGAACAAAGCGTCGAGTAAAGTTTAATCACGAAGTCACTTCTTGTGGCCGGATTCGGACGAAAAACTGTTCTTTGTGCATTTCCTCCCCGATGATTACTCTTTGCCGAGGCAGAACTAGGACGACTTCTTCGGCCAGCGACAGCCGGTTGAGGCAAAGTGATCGAATATCGAGAGAGTTTCGAATGTCGTTCGGTTCTGCAGCATCGGTTTTTGAAGCTACCACAGTCTGGACGCGTGCGAGGCAGTACTAAGACAGAAGATGTCCTGATATCCTTGCAATGCTAGATAGGCGGCTGGAGATGGGGAGACAGGATGCACACAGCACTCTAAGAAAYCACGATCATATCAACGAGGAAGCCCCCCGCGTGCGGCAGCGCGGGTCAATCTCCGGGACGTTGTACAGGGAAGCGGTGACGTTCTACACAAGGCCGTGTCGATACAGGTCACACCTCGGAAGATATCGTGGCACTCGACCGGTTTATATGGACTTTTTGCAACCAAAGACGCGTCAGGGTATCGATTGCCCTGCCTCGTCCAGCTCAGGCCTTCTACCATAGCAAGCTGCAAAACTATCATGTTGTGCATGTTCTTCAAGGCACTTGTACTCCCTATACTGAGTCCCTCGCGGAAGCTCGGACATCCTGAGCGTGGTGTCGAGTCCGTAAGGAGTTCTCCTCGCCATGGTCGTCGCCTTCTCGCGTGGCGACGAGAAGAAGATGGGTCATCTTTCTGGCCTACAAATTTCCACAGCTCTTGAGACCTACGACAGGCCTACCCTTGGCGAGGATCGAGGAGGCGCGGAAATGAGATGTGCGCAGGGGAAGTGCCGCCTGTGCACTTTCTCGTGCTTTGGAAGAGTTACCGGGGACCTATGAAGCGCAATGATATGACTGTAATCCTAGCCGTTTTCCACAGGTCATTGTACAACAAAACAGCCTTCCCTCACTTCCAGATCCACTGGTGATTGATTGGATTCAAAGTACCTATGGTCGGAGACGGCCTCACCGCCATATTTTCCTCCTTGTCTCCTTCGCGGGAATTCTGCAAAGCGGGAGCAACGTGTTCGAAGCGCGGAGCTGACGGGCTGCGTTCTGCGGGTTCGGCGGGCGGAAAGGAAGGCCTGAGCCAGTCTGTCGAATTCTTGAGGGATTGCAGATTAGCAAATGTGGACACATGCTGCTCGCGACTTGGAAATTACTCTGCCTCGTTGCTGCAATGAATGAATAGTCCTCGCTCCTCTTGGTGGTGAATTCGTTGAAAGGAGTGCGAGTTCATGCATGGTTCGCTGTAAAGGGAGGATTGCTTCGTGATGACCGTGATGAAGTTGTATCGATGGCAGGTCATCTTCACCAAGGTAAGGGATCGCTACTGGTGATCACTGTGTGAGGGAAGACAGCGTCCTGGTGTGGAGCTCTGMGTGTCTCTCCTGCGTCCCGGCCCTTCTCCCATCACAGTGATGGTCGAAGCGGCAGAGAGCCATTCATCAGCGGTTTCTACAATCACCACGGTGAGGTGGCAGTGGTGCGAGACCTTCTGGCCGCTCGAGTGAGCCAGCACAACTTGTGCTGAAGACATGGCAGCCTTCTTGCCACGTAGTCTGAGTGAACACAATCGTCTATGGCTACCAACTGATGCTCCTCTCCGTGCTGCGTGGACATAAGGCATCGTTCTCTTCTTCAAATCCTGCCCCAAGGGCCTGCCCTCGTCCTCTCCACCACTCCCTGAGGCCACGGCACCCTCCCGCTAGACCCCTTCTACACTTGTGGGCCTTCACGGGCACCCTGCCGCCTGCCGTCCTTGGCAAGCCTCCGCGTAGCTATCATACCTGCCTCACCAAACGATGCGCGGGCTGTATCACGGCCTCGTTAGCGCGGCGCTAAGCTTCKCGCACATATAAAAGGACCGCCTTTCTCCAAAATCAATCGCCAATTCAACGACAACATGAATTCAGAGTAAGTCCGCCCCTCCCTTCCCACAGTGTGGCCGTCCGGCGTCGACAACTCACCCAAGCCAACGGATCCGGCTTCCCTGGTCCAGGTTCAGCAGACCGCCTCACTGTCAACCGACTTTTGAGAGCCGTTCCCATCTGTGAGGCGCTGACTTGTGTCACAACTCATGATCCCAAAGGCCCGGGCGACAATCAGAGAGTCAGCGCCTCGTCCAAGCACTCTTGCGGGATCTTTTGAGCCTAACAAACCAGTTGCTGAATCGCACAAGATTCTTCTACCTTTTTTTCATCAGTGTCGCTTGCCTTGCGCAGCGACTTGGAGAAGAACTTTGAGTTGTTGAGTGATAAAATGCTATGCGGCGCGGTTTTGTGGTTGGCAAAGGTTTCCTGCCTCATTTGCTGCTGCTGCGCGCTCTTGTAATGGCGACCTAGCAGAGCACCGGCGCCAGTCGTCAAACGACCACAGTGGCTCTTCACGAACGAGGGCGTCTAGGTATCAATGGCGGTCATGCCATTCGTCGACGGGAGTACTCAACCAGCGCAACAGCTGCCTGTCACTTCCGTTGCGAGATGGGGCGAACTGAAAGCTGCTTTCTCATCGACAGGTTCGGTCCCGACAGCAAGGCTTCTAAGAGATGCCACCGACGCTTCTTGCGATCTCATACWTCTTGTAGCTACGTTAAACAGGCGTGAATCGGATGCAACGCTGCAGCGACGCGCCCGGCGACCCGATGAAGGTCGACAACTTCCAGTGCGGACTACGCCCACGTTGAGCTCGCGACAACAATGCCGCCTCGAAATGAAGAATCGCAGAAGGCGAGGAGCTTCAGGCGCGCTCGTTTGCGGCTGCGAGGAGACTCCATAGTCTCGTCAATACCGCTGCCAGCAAAGGTAACGATCACGACTGCTCCTCGACCATGCCTCGACAGGGAAGCTGGCCAAGGAGGACGGCAAAGTTACCGCAGAAAGAGCAAGGATCATATAGCAGCGATGACATTACAGCAAGGAACAACGGCATGAAGCGCTGTCGGCGTTTCTTTAGAACCTTCACAGCGCCTGTACTTCTCAGACTTCACCTTTGGTCTGCTTGCCCGCAGCTTGGTTTCTGTGCTGCATGACTTGCAGCGCCTGTCACTCGTATTCCGCGATGCCGTGAGAGGCAGCAGCATCGATATACTCGCCAGCGATCGCAGCAAGAGATGCGAAGGCAACAATATGCTTCCAGCCTCTTGATTGAGACACGTCTGAAGCCACAAGGATTTGCATCCTACTGAAGATGTGGGCAGTGCCMCGGCCCCGCCTACATTGCCTTCACCTGAAGACGACGCTGGGATGTCTCCATCCTCGCCGTTCAGGAAATGGCGTCTAGGCAGTGCTGGTCTACCGCGACGATGCATTTTTGTCGCCGCTTCAGCAACCCACCGCATCGGCTGCGGCGGCCCCGGCAAACGGCGATGAATACATCCAACTTCTAGTTGTCGATACAGCGATGGAAGATCTTTTGCAACAAGCAAGATTTCTCAGCCTCGCAAGAAGCATAGTTTGTGGTAATCACAGTCTCAGACTCAGGAATGAGCTCAAGRCCCCCATGCTATCCTTTGGCAAGAACATGCATACATCAACCATTGCTTCTGCTCGCCATCTGCGGCAGCAACCACAAAGCCGACTCGATATTTGATTCGCCCCGCGCCATCCTCACTGCCAGCGTGCGGCCACCCAAGCTCTCATCATTGCAGCACTGGCAAGATGTCAATACTGCAGATCAGGAGATCTTCGGTCACCAGGTGATCGAATAATGCTAGCGCTACCACATCAGCAGGAACGTGTCGCTGTGATCGAGAACGGGCACGCATGGATCCATCTCAGCAGCAATTTCCATCCCTTCAACATCAAATAATCTCCCCAAACCATCCAAGCACTGTGAGGAAGACTCAAAGAACTTTCCAAATCATCCAATCTAGCCCCACAGAGCCATCGTCAAAATGAACAGCCACGACAGCTTATGCGAAGCTCGCGAAGAGAGGCGTCAGTGCAGTGAGCATGGCGCTCACGACCACCACTCCGAGAGCCATCACTCCGAGTATCGCCACCATGAGGTACGGACACCAGTCGAGATGTTTGAAACATTGCGGGACCGCATCAAGCATCGGATTGAAGAAGGTGGCGCAAAGGATACCGTGGCGGACCTTCTTGAGGAGCTGGACAAGCAACTCCATATGGCTCGAAACAATGCCGCCCTTCTCCAAGAGAAGAGTGACTCGAAGAATTTGAAGTCCATGCCGGGCTACTATCGCGAAAGGCCGGGAGCACCCATTCGGCGGAATCTCTTGACGTCCACTTTGAAGCATCTCGGGTACTATCGTGGGAGAAGACCTGGATGATGAGTGGAAGGAGAGGAAGTGGTTCATTTGGGCCTCTCGCGATGATTGCAACTGCTTGGAGCGTCTGGACATGGGTTTCGACGGAGCTACATTGAGCTACACAGAAACAACTTCAAGGATTGCAGTGGATTCATCTTCTTACATATGCATACAACGCGGTCTGACTTCGCGTTCTCTTTCAGCTCAAGTCTCCACTATGTGACCCATGCTATTTGGCGAGACCATTACCAGTTTCTCTCCGCAACGAGCCTTGGATTTCTGCCAGGTCAGAGCCGGGACCCGGACGTGTCAACGAGCCAGCAAATCAATCAGGTTGTCTTGCTCAGCAGCAATGTCCGCCAGGCTAAGGTCATTCGGCAAAGCGATCTATACAGCACATGGTCTGTCTTCGCAGCTCTCAAGTATCTCTCCTGCTGCCCCGACCTTACATCCTTTCCCACCACCAAGCACACTTAAGACCAAGCAACCAACCAACAAAGAACCATCAACGACAACTTCCAAACCTATCAAATACCATCCACAACATCTACCAACAAGCCAGATTGACCCACTTTCCAGACCGCCTCCAAGCCACATCTCGATCACGATGTCTGAACGATCGGCGCTCACGTCAAGCACAAGGCGATCTTCTCGAACCATAGCCAGTTACAGCGATCGGGGTGGCCGCCACCCTCATCCTCCACTCAACATACACGTCAGCGATCACGTCGCTCAAGCCCATCGACCCATCAATATATACATTGGGGAGAACCAGCCAGGAATGCAAAGAAGGCAATCTAATCTCAGTATACTTTCTGCTTTAGGCGACCAGATTGATGTTGAGTCAACACTACCACACAATCTGCCAGCGCGAAGCGTTACGGGCTCCGAACACAACTCAATCGCACCCCCATCTCGAATTGTAGAAGTTCCTGAAGACGATGACGGGGCAATCCCAGCTCCTAGCGTTTTCGAAGTGCCCAAGAGCCGCGACATTCTAGTTCCAAGTGGCAGTGGCAGTCATCGTTCGATCTCAACAAGTCCAGGCCCACCACCTGAAGAGAACATCGCCGCACCTGTGCCAGGTGCTAGTGGCTCGAAGCCTTCCAGCGTACACACTGCTTCGCCTCGGAGTGTTGCTGGCAGCGAACCTCAACGGACTCTGTCACCATTGCCAGTCGAGTCAGGTCGCGAAGATACTCGTCCGCCTGCGCCGGGCCCAACCTTCGTTGAACACATCGATGTAAACCATACTTCGGGTCGAAGTACGGCTGGCAACAGTGGTCATGGGTCTACACCGCCAGTCCCTGCCACAGCAAGTATAAGATCCAGATCGGCATCGGATCCTGCACCAGCYGTGCAAACAACCATATCCCGAGCAGTCACACCGGAGCCACAGCCCATCCTCCCTGAGTACCCTTCCAATGGATCCACAGGCCAAGGATCTGATACAGCGATCGATGCTCTGGGGACTGAGACCGACGATCAACACACTTCTGCCAAGTATGATGCAACTGCCCAGGTAGCCGAAGCAATCGCAAACACAAATCTGAAATATACCGCGAAGGGAATCTTAAACACCGCGAATCGGGAGGTCGAGATTGCTGAAATCAAGGCTCGCCCAGGATGGGTTTGGTCACTGGGCTCAGACCCGCAGGTGCTCCACAGGTTCAGCAACCCTCGTGTGGTGAAGCCTTACTCCCACGAAGATGCGTACGATGATGCCATGAGTGCGTTAGAAAGAGAGAAAGAACAGCATTTCCAAGACATGGCGGCACGGAAAGCCATCTCGGATGCAAAGATCAAGGCGAAGCAGGAGTCCGTCGCAAGCAAATTCGGTTCAAGCTCGAGTCAGCCATCCAATCCGCAGGCTGGAACGGGTGATGCTGCACCAGCTAAATCGAATGCGGGCTCTAAGGCTCCGAGCACTGGATCTCGATATGAACAGCCTTGCACTATAACGTGTTTTGATCCTCCCATAGCATCTCCTGACTGTCCAGGCCCCAATTGTGGATGTATCGACCCCAACGATTCCAAGGAAGCCGATCAGATTCGAGCTTTCCTGAAGAACGCCACTGTGCCGGATGAACCACCTGAAGAGGCTCCGAGCTCAGCCGGTAAGGATCAGCTTTTCCCGCACGAACGATACTGTACTCCAGTAGGAGCTTCACATCCTGGCGGATCTGGAAATTGTACAAGGCCCGACCTCATTCGCGCTATTCCTACTCCACCTGATAATGCTACTCCTGCAATAGTTCTCACACCAGCGGCAGAGATTCCCGATGATGTCCAGCATGTGTCACCGAAATTGTCTGCTCGTGCTGCAGGCAAGAGAGCAGTCCCCTCAACTAGTTCGGGCACCGTTCGTTCTACCGGCAGCATTGTTCGGAATGGCTCGCCCTCAAGTTCCAAGAGAGATGCTACAGATCGAGCCTTTGCTGATGAGAGGAATCCTCCGGCTAACGTGCTTGAAAATAATCAGGAAGACGTCGTCATCAGCGGATCGTTCCCCAATGGCCAGCCGAGGGAGTCTTCTCCTGAAGGATCGAAGCCCCCAGATCCACCCTTGAGGAGCTCTGCGGGCTCTGCCAGGGCAGCTTCAACGCCGGCGCTCACTCCCACAGTACGCACGCCTCTGCCAACTCATCGTAGCGGGGTCATAGACCTCACTTCAGAATCAGCCGGAGTGAAGAACCACACTCAAACTGCAATCTCCAAGGCGACGAGTCAAGCAAGTAAGGTCCGGCAGCAGGCTGTAGAGAGTGTGACGAAACTGGATCCTAGGGATGTGGGTGTCACCGTTGAAGTCCCTTCCAAAGCACCGGAGGAGGATGTCACCATCCACAGCAAGGGCCCCAACGTGACTTCCGCTGCTGGAAGCTCTCATCCCAGGGCTATCACCTCTTCGTCTACACACCCGAGCCAAAACGACCCAGAGGCTAAGAAGTTTGTACCTCAGGCTGTTGGTCCATCTATTAGGATACCCTTGGGTCCTCCTAGAGCGGCTTCACTACCGGCAGCGACTTCATCACCTCCTTTGGATCCAGAATTGGAGGAGGTGTACGCTCAACTCGAGGATTTCACGGTTCTCCTTGACACTGCCAGAAGGCGGGCTCGCACTCAAGATGCCGGCACGCAAACCGTCGATGCTGAGCCTACTTCAAATGTCGGTACGCAAACTATCGATGATCCAGAGAGGAGTACAGCGAGCAAGCGATCTGGACCGGCGGCCAATGCTGGTGTAGTAGAAGGAGCGCCCTCTCGACCTGATTGTTCAGTGAATAGAGAACACTTGCCATCCACTACCGGAAATGATGATGAGGCTCCCGTCCCGGAAGCCTTCATTCTGCCATCTCACGAGGAGGACCCGGAAATCCAAGCGACAAAGGCTCCAGTTTCCATCCGTTCACGTGAAGAAGTCGAGGGAAACCCCGAGTCGCCTCAGTCGGAATGCCACTCCTCGCGAAAGTCATTCGTCATTCCCCAACCCGAGGTCTGGCCACCGACATCCGAGTCGATCATCAATGGCGACAGAATCAAGCCCCCAGATCTCCCGGTTAAGAAACAGCCATATGTCAAGACGGATCCAATGCCCCTCGGGTCTTACTGTCCAGGCTGTGCTTGGCACATATACTGGGGTTTCGGAGCCGAAGACGGGGTCTTCAGTCCTCCCTGGGGAGAGCCTTTCCCTGTCTCTCAGGATGCCAATCTACGATGTACCGTCGTCAAGAAGCAGATCGAGCTCAATGCCTGGTACCATGCGATCTGGAACGATATCGTGTGTGCGGGCTGCTCTCATTCCAGAAAGATGAGGGAAAGACCTTCATCAGCACGACGAAAAGAGATCGAGGAGCAGACAGCTGAGATTCAAGAACGATACGCCAATCCTGTGGGCGTCAATCCAGGCGAGCGTCATTTTCCAAGCACAGGAAAAGAGCGATACGTCTTTGTCTCTGCAATCTCGGAGCTGGAAGATGACGCGGAAGCACATGGGGCGGTTTCCGAGAAGGCTGGTTCACATGTTCCGGGAGGCTCAATCTCTGGTCCAGAGCCTGTGTCACAGAGGGTTCACACTCCGCCTTTCATTGAGCTCAAACAGAGGGAGACGGATGATCTTCCCATAGGTCTCACAATCTCCGACCCTCCCGAGAATGTTGTCCGTGGAGGATTGGCAGAAGAGTACTATCATCCAACAAGTCAGTCTGGTCGCTCAGACGCTGGTGCTCCTTTGGCTCCAGCAGGCACTGCTGAGATTGTTGAACCCACTCCGAGTTTCGTCGTTACAGCACCTCCTCAGGTCACCGCGTCTACTGTCTGTGGGAGTGACGCTAATGAGCCCCCTCCTGCTCCTCGGACGGAAGTGAATGGAGGTGCTGCTACTCCAGCCGCGCCATCTTCTGACAAAGTTCCCAAAACCCAGAGCCACGGCCACGTGGAGCATTTAGGCTCCCATGTTTCGACCCGCTCTCGTGGCTCGAGAGCCACTACCCGTCCGGGCACTCCTTCCGCTCCTGCAAGCCGTGAAAAGTCAAGTTCGGGCTCGTCGAGCAAGACTTCCGAAAAGCCACCATCGCGGAGATCTCCCACTCCTGCAGACCGCGCTATCTCAAGCTCGAGCTCGAGCTCTTCGGGCGACGATACAGTTGCGCCAGCTCCGCGTGGACATAGAACAGACCCGATCTCTCAAATACACCATTCGCTACGACCGACCGGCCATGTCGAGAACCTCAATATCACCGTCAACTACAAGCCTGGCATCAAAGGCAACATGATCATAAACAACAATGCGGCTCCCTCATCGGGAGGCAGAACACACTCAAGGCATGGCTCTCGGCATTGATCAACTTCTGAGTGATGCTAACTCTATCGACTCAGGACTCTGCAGGATGAGCCTTCATCATTGACCCCTCGTAGAAGGCGTCGCCATCATATGCGGAGCTGTTCTGTCCACGAGGATTGCTCATTTTATCGTGTGGAGAGAGTTGTTGAGGAAAAACCTCGGGGTGTTGTGGAGCGTTTCTTAGATGGGCTGGGATTGGAACCTTTGCGGTGATTTCGTCGCGGAGCATAGATGAATTGTACACATTTCTGCATGGAATGTTTCTTTTGTGGGACATGCGTCTGGGAATAAAGCGACACTATAGAAGGAACTTACAAGTAGCTGTCAATCGATTCACCTCTCCATCGATTTTCCGTCGTAGGCTTCTCTTCTCTCTGAGTGCCAAACATCCTCTTACTTCTGGCTGCTCATCTTTAAAAATTGGCGGAAAAGCCACATCGTCGCTCGTGATGACAGCTTACTGCTGAATGGGAGTAATCAGGTGTTCAACTCGCAACTTGTGACCACATGGGTTCTTCCCACGGCCAGAGATCTTTCTGCCAGCCCAAGCGTCCTCTTCCGCACTAGTCGCAATTCCACAGGGACAAACTTCGACACAATGTTCCTCTTCAGCATGCTCTTCATGTCCAGCACCAACATCATCATTCGCACGATGATCGTCTTCATCATCCTCAAAGCCAGCGCGTATGCGATCGTTGAATCGTACCGATTCGGAAAGCCATTCCTCGATGTTTTGCTGTCTGACATCGCCTCAAGCCTACACAGTACAACCAGCAAACAAATCAAAGACTGTCAGCGCGAGCACCCAGATGTMTTTCCATCAAGCGACAACTCAAACAGCCGCCACGATCCGTCAAGCTTTGCATCGGACGAGGCTCGTGCAGTTGCTCTGCACCAATTCGACATCAATCGACCCGAAGCATCGTGTCCTGAGCGGTGGATTTATCCAAACGAGTACAACTCTAAGCGGCTGGAGAACTTCTACCGTAATCCTCCGAATTGGAACTTGCCATTGAATCCCGACAGCGACGAGCTACGAGAATGGGACGAGCATGGAGAGTACAGGCCGCTGCCCATTACAGACAACTGTATTGTTGGAAAGAAAAACGGTGAAAGACATCGGAACAATACTTCCCTTCGATATGAGCGAAAGGGCGATCCAAAGGTTCACGAAAAGGTCCCCGCAAGACGGCACAGGGCTTCAAGCTCGAGACACCATCTGAGGAGAGTGAGGTCTTTCAATGCTCCAGACGCTCTTCGGAATGAGTTTCATGAATCGTACAGGATGCACATGGATCGTGATGGCTATGGCGGTCACTAAGGGCTATCTTCTCGTGGGAAATCTTCTCTGGCTGCCCCCGTTCTTGGTGCCTTCAGGGAAACGGGACACAAGCTGTTCGGTCAGCTTCAGGGGTTGTTAGTATAACAGAGCCACTTGCAACACAATTAGCTTGAGAAAATAGCATTGCAAAACCGAGCGCAGCCTCGCCTTGGGAAATCGCACAGAGCTGGAATGTGTTTTCGATGCAATCGATCCGTAGACAATTCATTGAGCATGCGCTAGCCAGGAGTTCCAGACTTGCAATCGCATGATTGAGACCGGGGAGACAGGGCGAACTTCCTACGCCTCTTCACGATCTCCGCCCAGGGAGCTGCGATGACCTCCAAGTGAGCGACGCCACTGTTGAAAAGAAAGAAACCAGCTCAACTACGATGATATCCAACCCAGCGTGAATGCCGTCCAGGAAAAACTTCACTCGCTGATGTAAACCCATGTAGTGAAACACGAGATAGCAGACGTGTAAGAAAGCCGGAGATCACAGAGCGAACTCAACATAGCTCCAGTTGTAACCTTTCGACTGATTCCCAGGTCCCTTCCCTGACGCTTGGAAGTACAGAAGTCGTTGGTCCGCGGTAAGATTCAAAAACTGAACCTCGATGGGGAGCACTTGTCGCTGAGCAGAAGAAAGCACGAGGTCATCAGGGAAAGAAGAAGTGCACACACTGCTCTTCCCATGACTGATCCTATCATGTCGACGCTACGGATAGAGAAGATCATCACGTATCATGCTGCTATTATATGTTCACTGGAAGATGACTGAACTTGAGACATTCTGGAACAGTGTGCTTGTTAGTGTGGTTACCGGTTAGCTAAGGGCTCTTACTATACTAACCAACTGCTTCTGAAGTGAATACTAACTCCACTAATAGTTACCTGCTTCCTAAATAGGCAATCAGTTTACAAAAAGCGTCTCTGTATCCTCTAAAACTCCCTAAGAGCCCTATGTTGTAGCTGTAGTTGTCCTTGCTATATAAAACTCCTTAATCCCCTTAACATTATTAAATACATCCGGTATTAGTGGACCGTACTAGCTCTTTAAACAACTACATGCTTTAATTACCTCCTCTTAGAGGCGGTTACGGCGGTAGGTAATAATATTACGGCTATCTAAGAAGGACCGTTCTAGCTTATCTAATTAAAGGGGGATTACGAGTGTATTAAAGGTAAACTTAGCTAGTTCTAGCTCTAAGTAACGCCTCTTAAACCACTAGTTAAGGACATTAATTAGTGCTTTATTAGTGTCCGGAACGTAGTCCTTAGATAGGTAGTTTTCGAGTGCGTTACTACGTAAGGTTATTGTTGTTTTACGCCGCTTATATATAGACAGGTAGTTACGGAGATCCTTACTATCTAAGGGAGCTAGTGTTATAGAACTACCTACCGGCGATAGCGGTAGTGTAGGGCGATATTTAGACATCTATAGCTCTTTTACTATTATGCGCACTTGTTCGATATAGCCCTGCTCTTCCTTAGAACCTTTACTCTATCTGTCTTCGAACTAGCCGTATTTAAGGGTCGGATTAAGGACGATAGTAGCGTAGATAATTAGTATATTATCCACTAGCTTCTAGTACTTCTTAGCCTTTTACTAGGCATAGTTATAGCAACCTAAGAGGTATCTAAACCGTTTATTAATCGCTGCTTCTTCCTTAAATTCGGCTGAATATTTGCTAGTATAATCGAGGAGGAACTAAAGCGTAGGGTACTAGTCGTATAGGTGTTTCTTATTGCCTTAAGTCGTTATTGTCGTAAGTTCGAACACATGTAGTGCATCGTATAGCCGGTTAATCTAAGCCTAATCGTTCGGTGTTAGCTAGTTGTTACGGATAGCCCTCTTAGCTCTATAGAGCCTATAGAACTCGGTAATTCGCTCCCTAACGGTCTATACCCTTCCTAGTATATAGTAGAATAAGTTCTAGCGTATAGAGTTGTCTTAGATAAGCTGTGCATGTTGTAATTAGCAAAGTTAAAGGATAGAAGTAAGGATAACTTTGCACCGGAATTACCGGAGTTACCGGCGGAGCTACCTCCGGAGCGGTATAGACCCACTTTTCTAGACTTACCTTAAGATTATTAAACATTACACACTCCTTACTACTATAATACACCTTTTTAAACGCCTCTCGTCGCTATATAGACGCTCTAATCCATTTAATAATATTATGTAGTCGTCCGATAGCGCTACGGTTACGCTAGAATTCTTCTACCTTCTTAAAAGCGCCCTTCTCGGTGTTGCGCTCTAGTTCCTTTATCGCCTTACCGCTACCCCTACTAAGGAGCATTACCTTCGCGATAAGGTTAGTAGTATAGCTAAGATACCGGAGCCTCCGTCCCTTACGTGTCTTCGCTAACATGTTCGGATAGAGAGCCCTTAGAACTATCTTAATTACACTATCGTTATTGCTCGCATTGTCCGTAATAAAGTAACTAATCCGCCCTCTAATCCGCTACTTACGGATTACCTTAAGCAGCTTCGCACTAATATTGTCGCCTATATATTCGCCGAGGATCCTTCTAAAGGCTAGCCGCTCTATCCTACGCTTTCCGTTTTTGTCGATAAAGTGCGTATTAATGCTAACGATTAAGTAGTTATTCGGACTCGTCTAGCTATTAAACGATACGTAGATGTCGCTTAACGCCTCCCTTAACTCCTCTATTAACGCTTCCTTCTACGCCCTATATACCTCTAAGACCTACCCTCGAATCGTCGACGCTATACGTAGAAGAACGCCTCTAACTCCGGCGTTTAAGAACGATATAAGAGCCCGGAAGTACGTGTTCTTAAGCATGCGGAAAGAGATGTAGCAATATATAATCCACCGTACTAATAGGCTCTTAAACCTCTTAAGGCTCTTCCTCGAAACGAGTAACGCTATAGACATAATACCGCCCTTCGTAGAAGCCGCCTCTTTCTTACTTATTACTAGTTTGCTATCCTTGTCGATACGGTAATCCCTAAGGAGGTAGTAGAGCGGCCCTTAATTACTATTTAGAACTAGTAGAGTTTACCTCTTACCCTTACGCTCGTAGCGGTAGTAGTAATATACACTTACGCCCTCTACGTCCTTAACAAACTACTCTCCGCACTACTATATAGTGCTCCTACGCTTCCTTAGGTCCTTATTATTAGCGGCGGTAAGCTAGCGGAGGTAGCGCTTCCCTCGGATAGTTACGTAGTTCGGTAGGTTTAGTTTACTATAGCCCTTACTTAATAGATTAAGGATGATCTTATTAATAACTCCCTTACTAAGGATTAGCCAGCTACCGAATAGCATTAAATTAACGATAAATTAATAGTATAGATGAACTTACTTAAGACGACCGGATTATTAAGGATACGGACCTCCGGAGGTAATGTAGCTAATCGGAGCCCTATCCGGTTAGTTACCGGTAACTAACAACCCTTATACCAACTCCTACTAACAGCGCTTCAATTGCTAACTATACTAACCGGTAACCTAACTACCAATAACCACTTACTAAGCTAACCACACCAACAAGCACACTGTTCTAGAAAGCCCTCTCCCCTCCCGCCCAGCTGAGCCAGCTGCATGGTGCTGGCGTCCTCTACACAGCTGATTTGGCACGATTGCACAGAATGTGTCATCAGGAACATGTCTTATGCCCACTGACCTGTTGCCAACAGTTCATTGAAGCACACGCGGTACAATTGCAACGAGGGGCTCCCATAACATCCATATTCCCACCTTCAACTTTCCAGCAATCATCAACAAACCCACCCTGAGTCAAATCACCTGCACTCAACAAGAAAAGAAGCTCCAACAAATCGAGTCTCGCAACCATGACTGATCCCGGCCACGAACACCCCGGAGCATTTCTCAACAGCACAACTGATCGTAACCACGCACAATTCCCGTCCTCGCCTCATCGCTCGCCATCAAGAAGACATGAGCACCGCGGCCGAAGGAAACATTCATGTTCGCATTACGAGGACAAATCCGACCACGGATCTGCCAGCTCAGTATCCACGTCCCACCGACCATCGAAAGCTCTCACGCCACACCATACCACTGTTTGCCGATGCGAATGCGGATGCAAATGGAGCAATTGTGGAGGTCATTCTTCTTCAGAGGCACTCATGCTCGCTTCTCTGGGGCGGATGGTGCCAACAGCTACATCGAATCAAGCCTTGGTGAAACACGGATCGCAAGACATGGCAGGTCTTGGAGATCCCATCTTACGGATCCTACGAGAGGAGCAGCTCACCATATACCGGCCTCCGGGAGCCGACAGGCTTAGTGCGGACAATTACAGCAACAAGGTCAACTTTGGATCGCTCCATCATGAGGCTCATGCTCCTGCGAAAGTTGGTTTGAGAATGAAGGCGCTGGATTTCGGACTGAAGCAAGCGGGACTGCAGCGTATCAGGAAGTGATTGTGACAGCGACTGAGTGATTGGGAGACGACGGGAGACAGGGTCATGGTGGAATGCGAGGTCTTTCTGTACAAACTACAATGTCATGATTTGCTTCGAGGGATCTCTGATTACCTGAATACGCGCTGATTGACTTGCGCAGGTGAAACATGTAACAATGCCCCCTAAGTCACACAGAAGAGACATGTAACAACGCYCCCTAAGTGACACAGAAGAGATAAACATGAGACCATTGACATTGAAAGCGAGAAGTGCAGAAAAATGTGTATTTGAGAAGTGAATGATGTAAAAGCAAAAGAAAGCAACCGATCTACATGTCGGGACAGAAAACAACACGAAAGTCCGTCTTGCCATGATAGCAAACGGTATCCGCGGGGCTCCCGACATTGATTTGATCCGGATCAGTCCAGCCCTGCGCAGCAGGGCAATTCCACGGAGCACAAGTCTTAACCTGACAAGTCCCACTTCCTCTGCCGTTGGCGATGGGGAAGACGCGAATGCCAATGTCCGCATCGCTGCCCTTCATGAGGGAGAGGTTGTAAGCAGTGCCTTGAACGCCCATGTACTCGCTGTGGCCGAATTCGAAGAGAGCGTTGTGTTCCCACTGTCTGGCAGTTCCCCACTCGGCGTGGCCGGAGAGACGCATGCCGATGGCGTGGAAGTYGGCCATGATGGTTTTGGTGCCTCCTGTGGGGATGTTGACTGGAGTAGACTTTTCGAGCATTTGGAAGTCGCCGGTGATTTGGTAGAGGGCGAACTGCTTCGTCCACTTGCACTTGTTGACCACGTGGATTTTGAACTCGTCGACGCCACGGGCGGAGAGGGACGATGTGTCCTGGTTGATGGATGGGAGCGCGCTGGCGGTGAATGCCAGGAGCGCGGTGAGGGCCAGCCCAGAGAATTGCATGATTGCAGATGTGGTGGTGGTGTTGCTTGAAGAAGCTATTTGGGGGAGATGAAGAAACGCGCGAAATTTGCTAGAAAAGAGATCTAAGAAGGGAGAAGGATCGAGGGGGGCGTTGCCGTGAATAAATAGACGTTGCGTGGCGGATGCTTATTGAGCCTTTATTCACTGCGGGCTTGTCACAATGGGTCCGCGTGGCTTCAAAGGCATTCACTTCTGATGCCTTTGTTCAAAAGTTTTAACTCCAGGCCACGTTCCTCGAACTGGACGCCACACTAATCTGCCATTCACAAAGGTCTCTCGAGGACCATCCTTCGGCTGCTGATGGATGATAATGCTTATGATGTTGCCCCGTTTGAGAACGCAGGCGAGAAGTCCAAGTTGCTCTATGAATACTTTGAATGTAATTATCTCTTCACAGAGCGTAGAGCTCTCCACGCGATCGGGTTGCGGCAGTCCTGAGAGCATCAAGTCAGTGAAGCAGGGCGCGTGTTTGCCATGTTTGTCTTCGCATTCTTTGGTGCCTCGTAGATGGATGTATCCTACTCCTAACACCAAGCAAACCTGAAAAACAACGGTATAATGGTGGAGACTTAAGGGTATACTCTCGCCACAGAGAGAGATACCAGTTGAGATTTGCATTCAAAAAGAGAGAGTCCTCTGTACTACAGACGGCAACCTCCTAAACATCTATAAGCACCTTCAGCCATTATTCTCTATCAGATAACGAGTCAATCAACCCAAAGGAAACCATACACAAAAGACTTTTGATTCAAGTTCAGATATTGGTAGGTTCGGACCTTGACCGTGAGCGTGCTGAAGACAACCATTGTTCATCTGCCATTCAATGCCATTGTTTGGGGACTGCACAACAATGGTACTTCAACTGTGACAGTGTAGGGCTGACAATGCAGACGTTTCTCTCACAATTTCGAATAAAGCTCGAATCTGCTGACCCACGACAAGGAGTCGGGCCGAACCTTACTGTTAATATCCCGATCTTCCCCGTCTTTTTCAAGCATCACATTCGCGTTTACTTTGTTTATATCGCCCCGCTACCTGAACATCAACCATCAGCAACACTTCTCAACGGTCTCGCAACACTCTTGCTCACATCCTGCTATTTGCCATCATCAAGCTCCAATTCAACCGCACGGTTCCACCAAACGCCACCATGTCCGCATCTGCCTTGCAAGACACAACKTCACCGGCTCCTCTCACACAGCCAATCGGCACTATCTTGTTCACACTCCCGCGCGAGCTGCGCGACCAAATCTACGGCTACGTCTTCCAGTCCGATGTTGAAGAGGGGGAGGCAGTCGACCTCTACTGCAACAGTCCTCCTTCCAAGGCACTCTGTCTCACCAACAAACAAATATACGACGAGACGCACAAGCTGCACAATAAGGCCTTCAGATCCTACTATCGTGACACCGAGTTCATTATCATCATGGAGGCTTTCGGTTCGTACACTGCTGCTTGGTCCTTCACTCCAAAGGAGGAAGCCAACATCAACCACGTCAATCATGTCACGATCAAAAGCGTAATACCGACATGTGGCTGGTCCCAACTCTGGTCGACGTACAAACTTCGTCTGGGAGGAGAAATCTGGGCATGTGACCCGGAAATTGATCTCGTCCAACCACGCCGTTACCTCGAGATCGGAGCGGACATCTCCACAGGAGTCGTTAGACCGGCCATCTCCTACTCCTACTCTAATGCAGGAGGTCCTCTGAAACCAGAAGCTGCGAGCGATCTCTTGGAGCACGCCGAACGTTCACGGAAGCTTCATGGGCTGGGACCCGCTCCACCTCTGGTAGAGCAACTGCAGGTTATTTCTGAGAGGGCTGCTCGTACTACGAGGTGGTACTACAGGGTATTCGAGCGTTAGAAACTCCACTGTCGTGGCAGGATTCCTTGTTCCGAGCGAGGTAGAAGCACTGAAATCGTATCCATTTCCGGACAACATAGCTCTCGTTTTCAAATGATTACCCCTCTTCTTGTCGTATAGTGACTTCGTAAATCATTGAGTAGAACGGATCTTTGGTGGAAGATTGTTTTCTCATAATGTAGTAAAAAGGTGCAAGAGTTGATCGGTCGAGTATCCGGCCGCATGATGTCCGGGAGGCCCCTTTTTTTCGTTCCCCAAACTCAGTTTCTGCCAAGCTTTACCAATAGATCCACACCCCGGCAGTTGGTACTTGATCCATCTTCACCCTCACATCATCTTCAACCTTAAAAATTCTTCAACCATCATACAACCATGTCGACTCAAAGCGGAATACACGATCTTCCGAATTCGCCAACTGTCACGATGGCCTCACCATCTACCACACGCTGCATGCTCCTCGAACTTCCGCGCGAGATGCGCGACATAATCTACAAAAATGTCTTGGACACCTCGACGGATGAGAACATCGATCTCTGCCACGATGCAGCTCCGCCATCGAAGGCGCTCTGCTGCGTCAACAAACAGATTCATGCAGAGACGCACAAGATGCATCAACAGGCGCATCGAACGTTTTGGCGCAACAACAACTTCGTGATCCCACTCTCGACAGCCGCGGAGTGCATGACCGCATGGTCATTCAACTGCGCCGAAGAAGCCAACATCAACAACATCTCCAACCTCCAGATCAAGTTCCGAAGCGTTCATACGCCCACCATGCAGATTTTGCACCTATGTCCCGGCGGATCGAGTTGGGGCTGGGAATGGGAGAAAGAAGACAATCAAGTCCACCTGGTGATCGGTTTTAAGCCAATCGCTGGAGGAATGCATATCGGCATCTCACAAKTGATGCCAACTGGACCTCGCGAGGATGTGTATTCAGCTGCCGAGGCTACCATTCGACTGCAAGATGGAATCCACCCTGCGCCTCCTTTGATCGATCAGCTTAAGGTGCTGTCTGAATTCGCGGCCAGGCAACTACCGTGGTATGACGAGGAGAACTGGAGCAGGGTATATTCCGAGGGGACGAAGCACCACAGCGGCCTGGTTTCTTTGAGCGGCTAGAGGCTTGGAGATTGATCAGCTGCACTACTGTCAGGAAGCGGCTATTTGCTGTGTGATTCCTGATGTCTCATACTATGGCGCGATCGACTGGATTGTGGTTGGTCTTGGGCGCCTGGAGGCTGCACTTTTAACTATCAAGAAGAAAGGATAGCATAAGATGGTTACAATAAAAGCAGCAACGGCGCATTGGGACTCTCTCCCACCTGCTTCATTCTTCGTTCCATTGTGTGTTGCAAAGAAAATGTTACCACCTAGTAGTTGTGAATGATGCTAGAAGTTTCTTGCATACCGGGCAATGTCCCACGGCGGTTCTATAAGCTGGACAGCCCACTAACGACCCTTTACAAACATGGATGCTTTGTGCGCCACTCCGGAACAACATCGTTCAATATCGACTTTTGAGAAAACGACTTCGCAGCATCAAACATCATGGAATCTGTCAACCCGCACTTTTCAAAACTAGTTGAAAACAGCCCTGCTCGCCGCGGATCAACTGTAGTAGCGAGGCTACTTTAGTCTCCAACATACACATAATCCAAATGTCTTTTGTTGACTACTGGAACAACAGCTGGAAGCCTGTCTCGCACCCCTCCTAGTGCAGCCGTATGTCGCCATACAAGGCTCCCTTTTGGATCAGATTGCCCAGTAGTATAGCGTCAACCTATGTGCAGCCTCTCTTGCATGCTGTATAAGATAGTGTGTGGGAGCACATCCGGTCACAGCCATGTCCATCTGTGATGGAAGGATTCAAGATTCTACATGATTTGCAGCGACGCTGACGGCGGAGATGACGATTGGAGCTCAAGGAATATGATACCATGGCTCGAAGTGTAAATGTAGAAGTGGTGTTGTATTGCTGTAGGCTTGCTCACGCAAGCTCTCGGTCTACCTAATCCTGTAAGCAACGCCTTCTCACTGCCTTGAAATATCCCCATGAAGCCCCATACCTCCGTCGGTCTGACATGTTTTTCGTGTGCAAGGCTTGTATAAGCATATCGAGAACGCCCTCAACCTWGCTTTTGACCACCGCTCTCCCAAATCCTCGCGCTATGTGACCTCGCGCTAGATAGCACCCTCAAAACTCATCCCCAAATCTGCAACGCTCCCCACTTTGCTCGACTGGACCCATCTTCCGTGCTGATTTTTGACAAGCCTGCGACGCACAGTCGGTGGGCGGGCTGCCGTACCCAAACGTAAAGGAGTCTTGCTCGCTTGCACACGTCGAGCGAGGCCTTGTAGCAGGCTTTGGAATAGCCGGACGTCGGGGTCTTGGTAGAGGTTCCACGAGAATCCTTCAACCTCCTGCATGTGTCCAGTGAGCTCGTCTACCTCCCACATGGTCTCTTGCATGTCCTCCGGCTCCCAGGTATTCAATGCGTCCATCTAGTGATGTCAGTGGTGTTTTTCGCAGGAATTTGGAACTCCAAAGGCTTACTTACCATCTTCCGTTGCCGATCATAGATGTATCGGAGTTCCTCGTGTAAGACGACCTTGCCTGTCACCCAGTAGCCAGGGGCGAGACAATGTAAAGCATGCTCGATCCATGCCGTGCTGTTCACCTCGCCAGGCCCAAAGTCCCTGATGCGAGCAAGTACGTCACTATCATAGCGAATGGAGGCGTCCAGTATGTCGTCTCGCGCATACCTTCCAAGAAGCTTTGCGCTCACTGCTTGCTGTAGTGATGTCTCCCAGCTGGCAGATACAGTGGAGTTTCCATGTTTGTTAATGATTATGAATGGTCTCACAAAGGAAGTTGTTCCGCGCGCGCCGACGGCTGTGCTGCTAGCAAAGCGGGCCAAAAAACTGCTGTGGGCGCGGATCTTTCGGATCTGCGATATGCTGCACGGTAGGAGGGGTTTCGAGAGGATGGGAAATTTGCCTTCTTTCAACACGATGTCCTGTCGGGCAGATACCGTGAAAACGGCTCCTTGGAAGAAGAGCGGCGTGGCTTCGTCTTTTGACATCCGGCAGAGAGTGCGAACGATAGCGAATGTCTGGACATGGTTCTCGTGTTCAATCAAGGTACGACGTAACGAGAATTTTCCCAAAGTGCCGTCGCCGTTGACCTCAATTGCGCACTTCAAGCAGACTCCGTGGCGCGGTAGGRCAGCGAACTTCCAGATTGTATCGCGTAGCTCTCGAGGAAGACGAAGGAGGCCGCTGTTGTTCTCGTTGTGGAATACGGCGCGCGATTGTCTGGTCCAAGCTGGTGGTGCCGGCATTTTGATGCTCGATGTGCTTTTTGTAGTGGCAGAGACAGGGGGCAGTCGGAAGTGAGCCCAAGGCGGGAAGCGTCAAGAATACAACGAAGCCAATGTTGCTGTCGATTGTTTTTTGGGTGGTTGATCGTGTTCGGTGGAGAAGTTGACGCAGGAAGGATGCAGGCCCATCTCGGACGACTTCGCCAGCTCCCGTGCCAAGGAACTCTGCTTAAAGTTTGGAAGTCAACCTCTTCTTTGGCAGAACACCACGTAATTATATGCGAGCTTTGGAGACGTTATACACCTTGTGAGTCTTGAGTCGCTCATTATAGGGATAGATGATAGATCGGGACCGCAATGGGCCGGAATAAGATCTTGTGTTGCAACGGATCCGGTGGCAGACGATCGCCGACGGTGCCAGGTACTGACTGCTTCTCGGATCCCGATCCTCTCCTCTTCGCCAACACAAGCCATACTGCCAACCAACATCAACATTCGAACATTGACACCAGTAGTGAAACCATACACTGGAACGCGCGCGTCGAGATGAACCATTTTCCGCCGATCTCCCAAGGATTCGCCATCGTCCAAGCCATTCGTGTACATGCAGCAGGCGCCGAAACAAAACACGGCTTGGGCACAATGTCTAGCAGCCGTCTGGCYACTACTTTACGCACGGGTCGACACCGACGTCGGGATCAGCCAGGAGCTCGGTGGTATCGCCGCCCCAACCCTACGAGTTGCCACCCGAGTGGATTGCAGAATGAGTCGAGCGACTGTTCAGGAGTGTGTGGCAAGGATCAAGGCAAACGGACATCGGAGAGACTATATTCACAGTCCAGTACATGCACAGCTACGGTAAGATGCCGCGAGGTGTTCACCTTAGCAAGTAATCATCGGCTTGCTTCAACACGGACAAGGAATGAAGGTTTGATGACACGTTTCATTAACGCTTAGATCGTAAACTTGCCAACACGGAACTCCGTGTATTGATCGCCTTCTCCCATCGACGCCACCCGCCTCGCTCAGGCCTGCCGAGACTTGCGGAGTATTCCTATCACACGAAGCGTTCACTTATCGATGACGCTTTTCTCCGCCGGAGTACTGGGCGATGAACCTCAATGCTCCAGACTGTGCCGCTTTTTGTCAAGTCAACCGTGTCGCATATGACCCTAAAAATCGAATTTCGAACAACGATTGAGATGCTCGTGGTGCGGCTTCTACCAGACGCATGCTAGATGAAGTTGAAATAAGAGTCTACGTACCTTGCCGGGCAAGACAGGCACCGCCATACTCTTGGCCAGAGATTGTTCGACTTGGCATGGAACCGTTCCGCTTCCCGGAGACATTGATGCTGAGCCGCCTACCCGCTTAGCAGATGCGGGGTCCTTCAGGCAGCGTGGATAACATCCTCCATATCTTCGCCATCAATCATGGTCCTAACGTATACCAATCATGTCAGACGTTGCAGAGACCTACGACCACACCGGCAAGCCAGTCAAACATGGTCGAGCCCGTGTCAATGGTATCCGCTTGCACTACATTACAGCCGGCCAAGGACCAGCACTTCTTCTTCTTCATGGCACTCCCAAGAACAGTTTCTACTGGTATCGGGTCTTCCCACTACTTTCAGAGCACTTCATCATTGTTGCTCCTGATCTTCGCGGATTCGGATATACCGACAAGCCTCCTACGACCGACGGCTATGACTCCAAGGAACAAGCTGCAGATGTAGCAGACTTGATGACGCAGCTTGGACATGAGAAGTTTTATCTACATGGCGAAGATCGTGGGGCAGACTATGCGTACGCCGTTGCTGGAATATATCGGGAGCGTGTGCTGAAGCTTTCCTTTTGCGAAATGCTTCTCTCCGGATTAGGTCTTGAAGAATCTTCTTTCTGGACGCCGGACAATGTCTCTGCACAGTACCGTAAAGACGGGGTCTGGTGCTGGGTAGGTGCGTTTATCGATCGAAGTTCGACCTTCACTGACAAGTAATCGAAGCATCTCGGATTCTTTGCCATCCCACACATCCCCGAAATGCTAATCCAAGGCCACGAGCGGGAATTCTGGGAAATGTTCATCAAGCAGGAATGCTACAATCCAACGCTGATCGAGCCAAAAGCTCTGAACCACTGGATCGAATGCGTCAAGCAACCTGGAGCTCTCCGGGGTATTTTGGAGACTTACCGAGCCGGCTTCAAGAACGGCGACATTAACAAAGAACTCGCAAAGACAAAGCTCACGATTCCGGTCATGACTATTGGAGCACCCGAGTTCTTCGGTCCGAAAGTTGAGGAGTGCGCTCTCAAGTTTGCTGAAAGAGTCACGAAGAGCGAGATCTATGAAGAGTGTGGGCATAGTCTGGCGCTTGAGAAGCCGGAAAGGCTGGCAAAGGATTTGATCGAATTCTTCTTGGGCGACTGATGAGACGAGGAAGCTACGCAAAGAAGCCATATTATAGGGTCAGGAGGATCACGGCATCTTTGCACAAGGGCTGGACTGAGGAATGTTTGGACCTCCCGTAGTATGTCGATCGTCTGCTCCACATTGACTGGGCGTCAGGCGAGTCGCTCGGTGCTGGCCGGATCATGAGCAAAGAGAAAGAAGTATTCAATGTGGCATAATGGCAAACCTCGTGTGATGCTTTTGCGCTGCTGACCCCCGAATTTTCCTCCCCAACTAGAGTTCGCGACCAAATCAAACAGCAATACGCAATCAACAACAATCAATCAATCAATCGTCAATAACTACCTATCCCGAACTCCATCGACATCCGAATTTTGAAACCCATTCGAATGGCTCAACTCCATGAACCCCATGCAGACTCCCCACTGCACGCGCTTTGGAATCTCGGCGGCGTCAGCGTCATCGAAGCTGTCAACGCAGAGAAAGAATATCTGGAATGCGAAGCTGCAGCTTATCTGATTCTCTCAGCGATCGACAATACAACTCACGGCCAGCTTGCCGCCATTGAAAGCGAAGCTATTAGCATCACAAGCAGAGCTCAATGGAATGCGCAGCTCCATAGCCTCGAACCGTTCCACACCGACCCAGCTACGGATCCACCCTCAATTCACGACGAGGTGCTTCGAAGAATCCGAGCAGCAATTGGGAACGGACGTGTGGGGAGAACACAAGCTTCAATGCTTCGTATGCAGGCAGCCCTCGCCAAGGAGATACTTCATAGGCTTCATACCAACGCCACAAGGGACTCCATGAAAGCATCGAGGAACGATGATGATTATCTCACCAGGAAATTGGCAAGATATGACCGGGAGCATCGTGCTCTCTTTCCGTATCATCGCGACAGTCTGAACATTGCCCGGTGCGGATGTGGGCACGCAGTGGGATTCGCACGGCACGTCAAGTCGCGGAGTTGCATTTGTGGAAGAGCCCAATGTAGTGGTCGTGCGGGGAAGAGTCGATCCTTGGAATTCAGTGTACGATACTCAAGTCGTGGGTAGATGTCGGGTGTTTGGCAATGTCGAGAGCAATCGAACGGCTTCTTTTATACAATTCTTCCGTTACGACCTTGTCCCTGATGTCGTACTCTCCATAGCCAGCGATCTCCCTCTTATCCGCAGGTGCTCTCAACCACCCCCGCAACCCGATCCGTTGTTTGCTACTAAGAACTGCCGCCAGCTCTTCCGACGCAGCGAATGACATTCAGTTGTCTTTCTTTCCTGGGATATGTGTGTACGAGGCAGCCATTGCGTTCATTGAAAGTCGATGTCCTGAGTAATCTCCTGTGCTGCACATCATCCGATATATCTGTCCTTCATTCGACCTGTGACTCTGTGCTGATTTGAATGTTCGTAGACGCTGAATGGTCGACGAGATTAGGTTGTCTACCTCCTTCTCAGATCTTGGATGGCCGCCCGGTCGCTTCCTTATTGATTGGTTCGGCTTCGTTGGCTGCTTCTCAGAGAGCTTGCACAGGGTCCAGGTATGTATGCCACGTGGTAGATACATAGGCCAGGTGTTGCCTTGTACGTATACGGAAGTAATTGCGGAACCGTGGGAAAGAAGAAGCGTCTGAATGGAGGCAAGAGATCATGGAAAGCTGTTGTTGGGCTTTGGATCTATGTTTACAACGGAATATCAAGTAATGTAGCTGTGACCAGCGTCTGTTCCTCCGAATTTGTTCAAGAGTCCGCAAAGCCCACGAGTCTCGCATTGTAAGCCTCAGTCTCGATTCGGTGGTACCTTTTTGAGTTCGAAAATGCTATGCCCGGCAGTCTTAGCGCCGCCGTATCTCCGGGAGCAACAATCGGAAGGCAACGCAATGCTGACCACGACACATCCTTTACATCCGACATCGACATGCTCTATTTCTCAGCCCGTTCACCCCGCCTATGCGGGCCTACCTGTAACGATGGACCGGTCCATCACGCAAAGCACCCCAGAATTGACTTTAAGCTCACACCCGAACCCCACACAATACGCCTGGACCTGCCGATACTTCGCTCCATATCCTTCCACCCTGCAGAACCCAATGGGACAAGCAAGCTGCTACGACCAACGGGAATACGATGCCGCGTGGTCGGACAAGAGATTGCTGGTTCGCTTCTTGCTAAGAATGGCAAGGTTCTTCGTGCCCGCAAGCGTCGATAGATCACGAATGTGTCGACTGTGAAAATATGGTGTAGGAACGGGAGTGGGCACACGGTGGGTGACTAATTTGCGGATGGATCCTGCCGGTCATCGACATAACGACACCTTGCACTTCAATCCAGCAAGTTCGTAGCATGATTTTGCGAAGAAGTGCTGGTGGAATGGCTCTTTACACTCACTGGACTACAAAACTTCCCTAAGAAACTAACATCAATACATCATTCCCCGGAAATGAAGGAGAAGCCAGTAAAAGCGACGGCTTGCTGAAATTGTTTGTCTACCATGGCGATCTTGCAACGCAACCGGTTTTTCAAAACGTATCGATCTTATAACATCTCATACCTCATTGAGGCATCTAATTGGAGGCGGTGTTAGTTTGTGCACTTCCTTTCTCCCTTTGTGGTCTTTTAGTAGATTTGCTCCGCACATCCTGTTCTCAATTTGCTTTTTTTCAACAGCGTCTTCAATCACTCAGAAGATGAGAAGAGGCCCTTAAGATGGCACCACACTTGTCAACTACATGTCGACAAGCTATAAACACCATTCAATGAATTGTCTCGAGGCTACAGACTATCTCATCGCCCCAGACGACATTTTTCACATGATGTGCCAAGACATTCTAACAAGCTTTCACGGCCTTTGGTTTGCGGAGCCGTGGTACTTGGTTAATTAATACCACAGGTACTAGGTTTTGACCGACACACGTGTACTTAATCAGGCGGGTTGCGACTTGTTCACTCCACACATGGTCACCTGGACACTGAAAAGACTATTCCCCCACCCACAATATCACTTTATATACCTCACAGACCGACCAACAACCAAAGCACTCAGACTTCGCTTCATTTTTCGGATCATCTCACCGAAACTCTCACACAGCCTTGCTCACCGCTACAGCCCATACACAATCATAGCCACCTATACACTCGAATCAAAATGCCGCACATTGTCGAGACCGCGACCACCCGGCTCAACATCACTGCAGACGGCCTGCAGGGAATCCTTTACAAGATCAACCTCGGAGCGCGCGCCCTGCGCATGGCGGGTGTTCCGGATCGCCCGGACATCTGCATGTGCCCGGCAAATAAATTGGTTGCCACTGTTCGCATGCTGGAGCWGAACAGGATCGTGATCCCAGGACAAATCACGACTTCATGTAAGTAGATCTCCACCCCTTTATCCCTGTGTTATGCGTCTGACTTGAGACAGTACCTTCAAAGGGCCTCGTTGACCTCCCGAACGAGCTGTTGGGTACAATCTGCGGCTACGTCTTGGAGGACGCATTCCACGCCAAGCGAAAGAGTGAGTATTTCATGGAGGATCAAGATGAATTACTTTTACGGGGTGCCTTTCAGACTACGCGACTGCTGATCACCACTCAACAATCTTTTGGCATAAACTCGCGCCTCCGCTCGATTATCATGGAGAGGGTTCCTACACTACTGGAGCGCTACCCACTGRACTGGACCAGCCTGTACAACGTCCTTGGATTCGGCCGTGAATTCTACAACAATCAATTTATCATGGGTGCCGTAGAACTCTACGACGCCGTTCTTCAGTGCGCAGAAACAATGTCCATCAACATTCGACTACATGATCAGGCGTTAGCGAGATTACTCGGAAATGTCACACTGGCAATTGGCTCCGGAGATTCAAATTTTGGCCGGGATTATCCTGATATCCATTTGCAAGCAGGCGAGACTGGACCTATCCTTCGCTTCGTGCATTTTGACAGTCCTACTATGGCCGGTCCTGTCGACCCGAAACTCTTCATCCTACAACGCATCAAAAAGGTCTTCGTTCCTACAGCTCGCAGGCAATCTCATGAGCCGCATGAAGAACATATCAGCCGGGTCTCCGCCGATCTGAAGGTCCTTAAAACTGTCCTGCCGGAGTTGGAGGAGCTCGCTGTCAGCGTCAACATAGGTCCCAAGTGCTGGTGGATTCCTAGCGCGGATGATAATGAGCTGGCGATCGAGCTCATTGGTGCAACCATCCAGACACTACGCACTCTACCGATCAAGCGTAAGCTGATTTTCACAAGTCACGTTGACCAGAGGTCAAGTAAGTTCCATCCGGACCTCGTACCGCTCGTCGAAGGAGCGGAGATGACGGACGCMGAGGCCGCTCGAGCCGTCTTGTATCAAAGTCATTCGTCAGGCTATCTGATGCTTGAAGAGTGAGTTGGATGGTCATGAATTATGCTGGGAAGACAATGGAAAGCGKAGGAGTATATACTTGACGTTGGTTTCGGATCTACAGTTGTATCCACGTTCCAAGTGCTTCGAACTCAGCCCGACTGGGATTTCCAACGTATGCGGCATTCTTGCCTGACTGAGATGATTTTAACGTAGGCTGTGCGGCGACCAGGGCCAAATCGCTTGGTCGTGGATGCCTTTCGTTCAAGATGCCAGAGTTCAGCAAAAGTAGGCGTAGCGAAGTGCTCGTGTCAGGGATGCAGGTGTTCCCAGCCACTCGCGTGACTCCGGTCATGAGATATCTGAAAGGTGCAAAGAAGGTTGTATGTACCCTGGTCGAGCTTCTCGTTTTGGCAAGACGCTGCCAATCTCGTTGAGATGCCATGCACTGCGAGCGAGCGCCGTTTATACCAGTTTATTTCGTCGCAGGTATTCCGCACATGAAGAGTCCCGCCCTATATTCACTCTCTTGCATGGTTGGGCATCYGCAGAAGTAGGGTCTTTCAGTTGACACCCGGGGACGCTAGCGTACTCCACTACCTTCAGAAGCTACCATCCGCGCGTTGACTCCCCCAGATCAACAACCGCACTTTCGACAACATCAATCGAAACTCCTGCCACCTTGGGATCATCGAGGGTTACGTCGACCAACTTCCATTGAGAAGCCGAGCATCGCCTATCCAGTAGCATTACTGCTCGATCGAGTCGCGCAACAGACTCTCCAGATTTACGACAACAATGCCGCGCAAGAAGTCTTCTACCACTATCAGTCGCACGGTACCGAAGCCGTACATCGTCGAGACCTCAACTACGCGTCTGAACATCACCAAGGACGGATTACTCGGCATTCTCTACAAAGCCAATATCGCGGAGTCCATCTTGCGCGCAGCTGGTGTGACCAACCTTCCTGCGCCTAATTTATGTCCGGCGTTCAAGATGATCGCCTGCGTCAAGATGCTGGAGCAACATGGCCTCCAGGTTCCTAAAGAGATTATCACTCCGAGTAGGTGTACCATGTTCCGCTTCTGCACTCGAGTTACTAATTTCATCTAGTACCTGCAACATCGCTCCGCCACCTGCCGAGGGAATTGCTCGATCAGATTGTTGACCTTGCTCTGGGCGAATCGAAGGGCCGGAGGAGGAGGAAGAATGCTACTGGATACAGGGAGGCACTGAGCACATGATCTGCAAAGCGTTTGGGGGCGTATCACTTCTGACCTCCGCTTAGACGGCCATCGGAAAGACAAAGGCTTTGAGATCCATCGTCTTGCACAGGTTCTGCGCACGGCTCAAACGCAACACAACGAAATGGGCTTCTGTCCTTGGCGCATTTGGATATGGCCGGGAGAAGCTAGAAGGACGAGAGCATGGGACTTTTTGAGCGCGGTGCTGCTGTCTGATAACGGTAGGAACAGAGCCTCGTAATGAATGACGACCCAACCTTGCTTTACAAATMCATGTCCTAAACTTGTTTTCTCACCGCTCATGGACCGGCTGCCTTTCGTTCACCATAAAAGTCTACAGCGCGACTTGTATTCTTCGTGGCGCCCCAGTGGACTTTCCTTCAGCTATTCTGCTCGCGGCGACGTCCCTTGGGCCCTGTGGGACAAGCATCTCCAGTGCCTCACACGGATGTTGATTGTAATCTTGTCTTGTCCACGAGATACAGCGTGTACCCCAAACTGCAGTTGCGCAGCTGCGTGGAGCCTCCATCCGTCCGTTGGCGAGACTGCAGGAGGGCCGGTAAAATACACGTGGGAAAGATTTTGGGGATTCCGCAGAGGTGGTAGAAGCCATATGCTGTGATGATGCTGGTGAAAAATGCAAAATGTCATCGGCGTAGTGTTTAGCGACAATCTTAGCAAGTCCGCCAGACGTAGCTTGGTGCAGCAGTTTCTGACTCCTCCAATCCACCACAACAACAATACGTCGCCCTCAGCTTCATCCTCCCATCTTCGCTATTGTTATCGGCGACAGCACCATCGCCTTTTGGATGGGTGTGTGAGCGCAAGTAAGTCTGTTTCGACCTTCCGCATGCCTCCTGCCTCTCGCTGCTCTTTCTGCTACGTCCGCTTTCCTGCCGACGCCGGTACTCCGTTCTGTCGCTGACCTTCACTCTCCTCAAATCACATCTCCCAGCTCCTTTGCAGGCGACACACCATCTCCCTCGTCGAAGCACGCTCTTTCCGCCACCTTCATGCGACCGTCGTCACCGCCAGCGATTATCGCCCTCGCCGTGGCTCGCGCAACTTCCTCGCTATTACTGCTCAGCAAACTGGCTGCGTGAGGTTCTTCTGTCATGGCAAGCCTTGATGGTCGTCGCCGGTGGCGCGACGGCGATGCAATGGTCAATAGCATCTCCGCATCTCTTTCATTTTGCAATGATGAACATAACATTTCGTTCGTTCCAAAGCCTCGCGGCATCTGTGGACAACTCGCAATTCCTCTGATCCGGCCTCATACCCACTTTACTCCTCTGCTCCGCATACATTCAAAGCGACGCTGACAATGACCGTAGTCAGACTTTCTTGCCTCGCACTCAGCCATCACGCCACATCTCGTCGGCAGGCTCCAACATGCACGAGATGCTGTCCATCGTCGTTCAGCTCCTTACGCTCATTTCTTACGACCATGACCGAGAGCTGGTCGTCCACAGAGGCAAAGAAGCGTGGAGGTCACGGACAACAGTTGGCATCAAGGGAACTACCTGTATGTTCCGCTCTTCTGACCGATCATTCGTTTCCTTGGCGAACGACATTTTATGTCCCATTAAACACATACTCCGAGCTTCCGAAGCCGCCTGCTCCGGCAGACGGCTGCTGCGCTGGTCTTGCAGAATGATGGGGGTCAGAATTGGAACAAACTGACCCGCACGCTTCCTCGTGTCTGTTAGCAGAGCTACCATACCTTTTGATCATCGACATGGTGACTTCCATTATGCGCAGCTATCACGCTCGAAGTGGGAAAGCGGCAGTGCCTCTCCATCTTCCTCGGAGTCGCAGCCGAAGCCGGCAAGAATCATCACCGTCGCTTTGTCGCTCTTCAGACCTCTTCCGAATCACTGCAGACTTACTGTGAGTTGGATCAACGGATCCATCATCATCAGCAGTTCCTCGTTTTACAGTGCTGCGGTCATCAGGCTCGGGGTGACTCCGATCTTCAAACCACCGCTCTTCCAATAGTCGACGATCGCGAGGTGGAACTACGTGCTGACTTTTCCATCACAGACACATCGGAGCATCTCCGCATTCACGGAAGCCTTGCCATCTGTACACATCACAGAATGCACATACCCTCGTTTCCAACACATCCCACACCTGCCCCGCAAATGATGAGAAAATGCGCACGGGAAGAGAGTCAAGACAGCCGCTAGGAGATGGTGGTCTCCTACGATGCTGGTTGTCTGACGTTGCTAGTCAACTGTCGAAAGCGCACATAACGTAGTCTGACCGTCGCCATCCGTACATGTCTCAGCCAAATTGCTATCGCGAGTTTGCAAAGATACTGACAGACACAGCAGATACCCCGGTAGAGTGTGGGACGTGGCCGCATTATATTAACAATCGTAGGTGGCTAAACCCGCTCTCCCAGGAAGAACAACGCTCCTCCCGCCAATGATGAGACTGTGGCGAAAGAACGAGTTTTCCCGGTCTAGCCATAATGCTGGTGGCCCGGCGTTGCTGTCCAAATGTCGAAGGCGAAAACAACTGCATCACGACCGATAGGCCGGCGTGACAGACAACGGCCAGTATGGATCTTGAGACACAGCCTGGTCTTTTCGCCCATTTATCCCTCCGCTGCCGCCTTCATCATCAACAGTATGTAGTGTTGCATCCTATACTCCCAAAACAGTCAGATATACCACCTCGGTCTTCCAAGAGTACTCAACCATCCAACAGCGCATTCAGTCAATATCACTCATTTGATTCCGCAATCTTGTGACGAGGGTGAAACTGCGAGAGATAAGGTCATAGCCAAATAAAGCTTGTATCCGCTTGCACCGCGCCACGCAGAGCCATCAGGAAAGCTCATTCACCCGATGGCATTTTGAGAAACAACAGAGTCGTGACAGGATTCTGCTTCTGCTATCCGCTATCCGCTATCCGCCAAAGCAATGGAGCTGATCTTGTTTCCTTTGATCCGCTCGTCTACTTCAACATTGGCTGCTCACCTCTCCGGCGCAGTGTAATTTCTTTTTCAGAGCACTGAGCAGAACCGTCTCCACAGCGATCACAGATTTGATCTCTATTACGAGCACGAGACCACAATGGCAGGACAAATGTCTAGCAAGCAGCAGCAAAAGAAAGATTTCATGTTTCTGGACGCACCGTGTTCGGCTACTTGTAGTACCAAGCGGTGATATGCATTAACTTTCAGGACGATAGAAAAGACTTAGCTTAAGACCAGCTCGAGAACCATCTTATCAATTTCACCACAGGAGCGATCAGTGTGGCGATTGAGCCATAGTGGAAAGCTCATCGGCCGGCTATCAGAAGGAGTCTGATAGATATAGCTGCCGGAGAGGAAGCCGAYGAATATTACCTTGGTCAGTTTGTCAGGCGGCAAGTCGAGCTGTGTACTTGGAATGACTACAGCTGCCATTGGATCATGCAGCTACTGGCTGACAATGCCGCCGAGGACTTGTACATGTACAAACGCCTGGTCAAGGAAACGGAGTTTGGGCCGCAGATGCTATGCCGAGAGGTGAGGCATGGATCACAATGCTGCGGTAGAGGCGCCTGGGGTCGATACAGGAAGGATCGCTCAGTGGTTGTCAAAGAATCATTGGTAGGTCTTCCTTTCTGGGCAAGGTTGATAGCAGCCGCGAATCATGCTCTACCCTGACTAAATTTCACAGGTCTTCTATTGTGCGTTTCTCTGGAACTAACTCATCGCCGATGAAGTCAAGTCTTGGCCGCAGCATCGCTTACCGAGCTGATGGTACTGACCCGAGTGATCGAGACCTTCTTGACTCGGAGAACCAATTGCTAGAAGTCGATCTTTCCCACATTGCGACCCAGCTTTCCATATCACCATGCCGGATTCCTGCTAGCATCTATGGCGACGTTTCAATGATCCTGATGCAAGGTGCTTAAAAAGCCGCCCGAGTTGTAAGACATCGTTACATCGAGTCTCGGGCTACTCTCCACGCTCTGTTAAGGGGGATCTCTTCCGCTCCCCTTCGGCTACGGTTCTCAGGCAACAAACATCCAGCGATTGAATTTGTTGGAACAGCTTCAAGGCCGAACCGAACAAATTGCCCTGATGGGTTCAGGCGCGGCTTGAGTCTTTTTCGCAACCGACTCCAACTTGAATCTTTTGCCCTGCGTATTGTACCCACTTCGAAGGAGGACTCCCGCCTAGAATTCAGACAACCATGACAAGTTTATCTGCTGAATGTGATCATACACTTCAAGATACCGAGGCCGTCCATAATCCTGAGCTTGAAATGACATTTCAGGAAAATCAACATATCTACAGTGGTAAGCCATCGCGTTGACGATGCTGATTGATAAACAACCACATGCCCGGCCCGCGGCCGGCTTCGATGCAAAAATACTTTGCATCGCACGTAGAGAGGGCCGAGGGAAAGACTTGGCGAAGTAGTGCGATCCGTAGCGCATACAAGTATGGCCACAGATACCAAAAAACTCACTTACGGGGAGTTGAGGATAAAACAGCTGGGGAGCTGGCTACTTACAAACAACGATCGACCGGATAGTCTGATCTGGCCGCAGCTTCAACGTCGGGACACACGCTCATGTTGATAGCGGAATTGTGTGAAAGAAAGGTTCGAAATCAAATCACAGACCTTGTGGTAGCATTGAAACTGTTCGTGCGCTCTCTTTTCATGATACTGATGTGGCAATCATGCGAACTCGCCGGTGACGCCCGTGGTACGAGCAAGGCGCGATGAATTGGGTATGATCTTGCTGCTGGCCTCCCACCTACAGCTACCGAGGATAGACAGCGTTCAGGGAGGTGCAGAATACATCGCTAAGATCAAATGGTACCTGCTCAGGCAGTGTTTTATGAATGCAACTACAACTTCGAGGACTTCCAATTTGGCGTTCTCTTCTCTCGAAAAGCGGCGAGACCTTCCGCAGAGTTCTGCCCCTTCATCAGCTTCTCAAAGTACTCTTCGTGCACCAGACGGAAAGCCTGTTCGATGCTAGCCGTCTCCCAAGTCTCACGCAGGGCAGCTCTCGTAATGATGATCCCATCCGGGGACATTGCACTGATCTTCTTAGCCATTTCCAAAGTCTCCGAGAGTACCGTATCTGGTGATTGAGCAATGCTGTGGATCAACCGAAGTTGCAACGCTTCTTTCGCAGAAACTCTTCTCCCAGTCAAAGCAATGTCGCTGGCAGCTGGCATGCCGATGCTGCGAACGAGGCGAGGAAGGCCACCACCATAAGCGTACACTCCGACTTGTGCTTCTGGAAGACCGAATTGTGCGTTTGGCGAGGCAATTGTCATGTCGCTAAGTGATTGTAAGTCTCTTGTCAGCATGGAGTCTTAGAGTAGAAGGACTCACGCATTGAGAACAATCTCAAATCCGCCACCAAGTGCCACGCCGTTCACAGCCGCCAAGATTGGCTTCTTGCCCTTTCGCCTGCTCATACCAGCAAAGCCCCCTCTTGGATGGTCATGCAAGAAAGGCTGCGATCTGGTGATGTCCAGTGGTTTCTCCAGCATGGCAGCCTGTGCAGATTCGATCTCTAGAAGATCTGAGCCGGCACAAAAGGCCTTTGTTCCCGATCCTGTGATGACTGCGACACGCAAAGATGGCTCCTGGTCAAACCAGTTGAAGAGGGACTCCAGTTGCCAGTTCATGGTGTGTGTGACGGAGTTCATCTGCTTCGTCCGGGAAAGAGTTACGAGCATAATTTGTGCTTCGGGGTAAGAGATGGTAACGCCATCGCAGCGTGGAGGTACAAGCTTTGAGGCCATGATTAGAGCGGCAGGACGATTTGCAGTCTTCTCCGGCACAATCCAAGTGGGTATTTCGATGGATATTGTTGATGGTAGAGAGGAGCGAGGTGAAGTTCAAGATGTTCGGGTCATCGGATCCCGTCTCGGGCCGAGCTCCGATCAGACCCACTTTCGCCGATCATGCGTGTGGCGACAACCTCATGGATATTTCACGTACAACACATGCCCAAAGAGACTCGTATAGAGATGATGGCACAAGCCGGCGTGTATTCGCATTGCTCATACACCTACTGCTGACTGAGAAGACGGGCTGAGGACAGGGCGACACGGTCGTTCCTCCAACCTGCTTCATCATACTCATCTTGCTAGAAGTGCCATGCCGGACAACTTGGCCACGGATGTTTGATACGAACAAGATGCTGAGACATCTCATCTCGAGTCTCAAGATCTCCAGTGACTGAGTCTGTTTGTACAACACGCAAGAATACCAGGTTCTAGCCAGTGGACATGCAGCCCAATTGGACGAACCAACCTCTCCATTTTACTCGAAAGAAGCATCTGAATCTCTTTCCCGAACATTCGAAACGATGCTTGGCCGCAACGATACAACTTGGCTCAGTTCCCTCTCGGGCTCTCCTCCGAAGGTCTGACCACTTTATGTGGCTCTCCCTGCTTGATCCAGTCGGCCAGATCGTCCATGAGAGACTCCCAGAGCACTTCAACGTCATCAGGATGGATACCATCCATATCGTTCTTCCACTCCCGAGCCGAGAACTTCTCAAAGGTATTGCCGTCGTCCAGACCTCCGGCTTCCAGGAAGAGAAGCCAATTCCATTTCTCTACCATGGCACGGTAGTAATTGCCATCTTTCGCATCCTTCACGGCGAAACAGTCTTCCTTGACGGCACCGTTGACCATCCAGGTTTTAATGGCTCCACTACCTCTTCCAGCCCATCCGGACGGGACCGGATCCTGTGATGGAAATTCTCGATGGAACTTTGCCAGAGCTGCTTGATGTCTCGCGAGGATAGGGTTAACATCCTGATCAAGGTATCAGTACATATTCTGGATGAGAGAATGGTTTTTCTCGCCTTGTCTGGCCAGTTTCGGACCAATTTATCTAATGAATCTGGGTCGAACTCTCGTCGTAGATTGTGCTTAGACATCGCGGTAGGACGTAGTGGTATCAGAATGGAGACTGGACATCTTTGATAGTATCTATATAAGTGGCAACATGTGAGCAAACACGACGGACAAAGAGACATCATGTACATTGATTGAAAAGAAGCCTCAGTTCTTCTCGTACATTTCCACAGCGCTTAATCCCGGAGCAGGACTATGTTCATCTAGCAAAGATGAAGATCTGCTTGCCACAGCAGCAAACCGAACAAACAAGGCGGGCGGTAGAAACAGCAGCAGTCGACCAACGCACAATCATGACGCGTGTCGTCTCCGGGGCTCCTTTGCAGGTTTTAACGCATCTCAACTGCAGAGGTGAGTAATTGAACTATTTCAAATGAAATCTGAATACAATATTGGCATATCCTGGAAAGCACTGCTGTATGAGAACGACGACAACTCTTCACAAGCAGAACACGTTCCACCATCAGTCGTCAGACGTGACGTGGAAGCTACTGCGGCAGCCTGAATTTTCTTGCCCTGCTACCCTTTGTACCAAAGTGAGCAATCCATCCCTTGCCCACCTTCCTTTTCTTGCCGATAGAAGGGTTCTCAGGACCTACCATGTGGTGGCTGAGGATTCTGCTCCTTAATATGATCCCGCGAGTCGTTCATCAAAGCTTCCCACAGTACATGCAACTCCTCTCCCGTTGCATTGTCGGTGGTATTCTGCCATTCCCAAGTTGCCAGGTCTTCAAACGTAAACATAAAGTCGGAAGGTGGCTCATTCTCAGCAATCATGGTGAACAAAAACCAGTTCATCTTCTCAATGTATGCTCTAACGTAGTTGCCATCTTTGGGGTTGAGATGACCATCCGGGGCTTCCTCGACTGCGCCTTCCACAAGCCATACATTATTCGCTGTATGGCAAGTCCCGAGCTTGTCAGGAGGAATCGGATCCGTTGCCGGGAACTCCCTGTGGAACTTGATGAGCGCGTCTGCATATCTTCCGACGTGGAACAGGACATCCTGTAGCGCATCGTTAGCTTGGGCTGGTGATGACGGACGTGATTATGAATACCTTCTCTGGCCATGCAGCTTTGAACTTCTCGATCTTCTTGTCGCTGAACACCATGACGAAGTCTCTGGTCGATGACATTGTAGTCGTAGAATCTGGGCGATGTATGTTGCCAAACTCTATCCCGGGTGCAGAAAGGATGCTCGATCACAAGGTGACCGTCAGCGAGGAATATATCTTCACAAAAGTATATTTGTTGTGTTTGCTTTATTTACCAGGAGTGATCTGGCAAAAGAAAGATAGTTCTGGTCATATCTCCACCTTGTCTCTCGCTTGCTGCGAGATGAGGTATGGGTAATCAGGTACCTCCCTCAAGAAGCGTAAGAATGCCAGCTCTCCTCATCCCACCATCACTGAGAGACTCTTCAACTATTCAAGATGGACCACGACATTCCGGACCGCAAAACAGTGTTCGAAACAATGTTGAGAGATCAGCTCGTGATCGCTCGGGGATATGTCGATGGAATCGACAGAAACCTCAGAGCCCTCCTATTTGAACAAGACGCAACCAGACGCACTGGATTGCACAATGATATTCGCGCTCTGCAGTCCCAGCTCGACGAAGCCAACGGCCGTGCTGAATTCCTACGCGCTGAGATCGTTCGCTTGGATAGTATCACCATCGATGAGTTCAGAGGCAATTGTACTGTTTGCCGTCAGCATGGCCACAAGACTGGAGAGTGCACGGTGCAGAATAATGCGGATTAGGATGTTTTATGACAGGAGGTAAATGCTAAGGTCCCGCGGAAGAAGCTCGTTCATTAAATTGTGCCGAGATTTCTTCCATGCGTCCTTGGGTCTGCGTGTCTGTTGCCCTCAAATATTCGACTCGAGTCCCAGTGAAAGCTCAAAAATGCCAGAACCAAATCCTTGGGAGCGGCCTGTTTCCCGACCATGCATTGAGCAGGCCATCGCGAGCTTGTGATATCGTCCCTCTTGTCTTGAAAGGTACAGGTCTTCTGACAACATCTTTAATGGTATTGCAAGGCCCATTTTGGATGAATACTCTTTCCATATCTCAACGAAGAGCCAAGAGCCCAGATCTTCTTTGCAAGGCTGCAAGGCCTTTGTGAGCAACTGGAAGCTCCCAAGATCACCGAAGATCCAGCGTGGTAGATATGTCATGCAGGCATCCATGAATGTGCTTGAGAAATCGACAGACTTTGCGACCAAATTGCGAAATGCGAGGGCTTCCCTCCAGCGACATCTCTATGTCTATAAATGTTGAAACTCTTCGCGGGAGTTGCCCTGATCTTCTTCATGATCAGATGTTTTCGGGCAAAGCGAGACTCACGGGGTCGTGGATGCTCCAGCTATGCGTATCATGGGAAGGCTAGCTTGAAAAATCAAGTAGTAGAACGCGGATTTACCGACCATCGGGTATTGCTGGAAACCGCAGAGGCTTGTATGGTCCTTGTCGGTGTATGCACACGCTTTTGATGCATCGGGTGGCTCCTGGAAGACGCTTCGAACAACCCAAACTTCCAGGTCTCAGTTCTTGTACGTTATCAAGTGTGTCATTGTTCCGCCCATAGCTGCAGATCATGGAACTGCTTCTTGACATCGAGCGATACTCTTCCCGCTGCCCCGAGCTCTGGGTAGCCCGACAGTACCAGCGATGATTGAGAACATCGCATATCTGTGTCCATGTTCCCCCCTACTGCTGCACGGACGCTTGCTGATTTGTATCCACGTTCCAGATCAYCTTCGTCGCCTGACCCGAATACAGTATCCAGAACAGCTGTCCTGTGACATTTTTGGCAAAATGGCGAAAGCACAGCAGTCATTGATGGTTGCTGACCCACCACCCTGGCCTCCTTGTATTCCATACCCTCTGGCAGTACACCTGGCAGCCACCGATGCCCGTCCATATGATCATCGCCTTCTTGAACGTTCGCGGCGATGCGAATCCGACTGTCGTGTCCCGCTGGARGATCTTTCGTGGCGCTTCTTCAGGAGATGGAGCAAATCAAACCGGAGCTGAGGCCAAACATCCTCGTGCCGGTCAGGGTTCGTGCGCGTATCCAGATTGGCTTCTCCAATGTGCTTTCCCACCTTCTGTAGGCTCCGATCAGCTGTGAGCTCCGATCTGCTGTATCACACATGGAAAGGCAGATCAGTGATCCCATCAAAACGATGTTGATGCCGATGTTGATTGCTGCTTGGGGACGATTGAGCTGTAATTGTGCGCAGACCGCTTCCCCGCCGCCTTTCGAGGTAGTGGAGGCCGTTGGTAGAGTAAGCGGAATTGTCTGACAATGAGAGCGCATTACTCTCCTTGTCAATCATTTTTGGTGAAGTAAAAAGGTTTTCACCTCACCTGGAGGCCGGCTAAACCTCGCTGTCATTTCTTCACCTATTTACAACGCCCATCTCCTTCTCATCACATCAATACAATAACGTCAGGTTGCTCAATTGGTGAGAGCGTCAGGCTAATATAGTCATTCTTGGGCAAATCTTGGGTCATTCGTGGCATTGGGTGCGGGCTGAAGAGACTTGTTGGTTCCTGGAGATTGTAGGTTCAATCCCTACCCCGGCGAATATTCTTTTTTCTTTTTGTTTGTTTGGTGGACATTTCATTTTTCTCAACAGCAATGGCGAGGGTGCTTCTGTGCCGCAAGGACCCAGCTGTCTTCCACATCACGAATTCCAGGATTTCTTAGTTCTCAGCAAGGCAAACCATGTGAGCGGAAAGGAGCTTTACAAATAAGCATCGCTAAGTCGGATGCAGAGTGGAACGGTCAGTCTACGCTCTTTGATACCATAGAGGCACTCTACGACCCTCAAGTTGTGTTCCATAGTCTATGATTCTTATCCAATATATATGCTTCCATACCTTTTCCATACCTGCTGCAAGCCAGTGCACCGCCTTTCCAGATATATCTCGAACATCACCAATGGCTTTAAGGCAGGTCGAAATCCCTCTGCGTTCTGTCTCGAGCTGACCGGACAGGCTCTTAATAAGTTCTACACACGAAAGAGAAGAAGGGATGGAAGCCCACCGTTGCGTAGAATTTGTAACGTGAGGGATATCCTATGAGTGTATCTCTTCGATCGCGTGGCTACCTCCCGAAACTGACGATGTGTTGTTGAGGAAGATTCCTGAGTCGCGTGGAGAGAAAAGAAAAGATGTTGTATGTGACTGCAAGATCATTACGGATGTTCTCGTGCTGGACGGCGGACGGCTGACCCCGGCCACGACATGGAAGACAGCGCTTAGCAACATCGTAGTGCTCATTCATGATTGCTCAGTGGTTCGCGTTGGAAGATCTTATCGGACCAATTCATCGTGGTGCTCCATGAAAAAAGACGGACGAAAGGCRCAGATTCCGCTTGAAGACGCATAATAAAGAAATTCTGGACTATGTAGAGTGTTCACTGCCCATCGTCCTCCATCTCCTCGTCTTCGTCCAATTGCACCTCCGCTTCTGCCCTCTCCTTCTCTGCCGTCATTGCCCTCACGCTCCCCTGGAACGCACTGTTCTCGCTATACGAAGCCTTGACACCAGAACGCCGCATTCGCTTGTATCTGGATCGATCCTCTCTCTCGAGGGTTCYCTCCACAGCCTCCAAGTCGRGATTGACTGCAGTGGAGAGATGCTTTCTGTAGCCGCTGCGCGTGGTTGTACCACTCTCGTAACGAGAGGAGTACGGAGTCTTCGAAGCGCGACGCCTGGAGAAGTCGCGCGGAGCAACGCTCCTAGCAGAACGAGGACGTCTGTTCAGGTTCATGCCGTTAAGCTCATCCATCATGTCTTGTTCGCGGCGATGTGAGTCTGTGGGAGCATATGCCGCTCTGGTGATCTCTTGGAGCTGATCTGGATCTGCTCCAACATCCTCTTCCATTAAGTCGGGAGAAGCAAACGAGTCAAGAGCCGGTTTGACCTCCTCTTCTTCTTCAATGCTCGTTTTGATCGGTCCAGGGGGAGCAGCACTGGTATCGTCGCCTTGTTCAACGGTAGCAGCGACGTCTCCGCTGTCGCTATCAGCATCCGTGATCTCGCGCTTGATAGGTCGATCGGTTGCGCGCGTCGAACTTCCYGTCATCACGTTGCGTTGGGTCATCGGTTGCCTTGCAAGTCTCTCAAGCTCGCGTCTTTCAGCATTGAGTTCCTCCTGGTACTCTCTCCAGGTCTTGTTTGGGTTTTCCGATGACTGTCTGCCATGATCGATTGCGTCGTCTACGACCTCTTCTACAATCGTATCCTCTTGTGCATCGTCGACTAAGCGTGAGGTCGGTGTTCTTACGCGCGCAGCCTCTCTGGGTTGAGGTAATTTTCCACGGGACGAGGCAGCGCGGCGACGAGGAGTCTTCTTGAAGGAAGCTCGAGACTGTCTTGAAGGTAGCATGCTTGACGAGCGCGTGGATCGTCGGCTCTCATTTGCAGACTCCAGCCGATCCTCGTTGTCCTCCCCGTCGTCGCCCATTGGCACGTCCTCTACCATATCCAGCAAGATCTTTGAAGCTTCTTGAATTGCGCTGTGGTTGACAGGCTTACTACCTCGAGCTGCGGCTGGTGTTTCGCTGCGGCGAACCCGATCATCCGGATACCGGACAGGAGGGGCACGGGAGCGAGATTCCGGCTTCATGGTCGCTTTGTTGTTTTGTGGTGTGTTGTTGGGTCTTGATCTTTGGGGTGTTGTCAAGATGTTGACAAAGTCAGTCGTAGACGAAGTCGAGGTTGAGATTGGGATGGGTGCGCGCGGGATGATCTCGGTACACTTGCCAAGAGATTCACATGAAGGGTCCCGCATCTCCACGTCATGAGTTCGTCCTCCACATCCCGGGCATCCTTTGAAGACGAGCATCGACCCAGCGTGGCTCTACTATCAATCTCGGTGATGGAATGCAGATCGTGTATAGTGTAGCCTGTTTGTTTGAATATACAGATATGAGCGGTCTAACCCCTTTATACCTTCTAAGCAGAAGAGTTATCTAGTATAATCTTTGAGAGGAACACAGTGCTTCCTCTTCCAGAGTTTCTCGTGGGCTTTGTAGGACAGGAGCCCTTGCTGTGGACAAATACAGCTATCCTAGTGACACATAACCATAGTTGCTAATGAAAGAGGAAACGACAACTGCTCGGCCGACATCAAAGAGTGTTCATGCTGATTTATTAAGGACGCAATCACATTGCTCCAAGCTAGCAATGATAGCCATCATTCAATTATTTGCTCTACTATCTAACCGGATCGGTGAGGCTCCAGCGCAGCTTCCGTACCATCCTCCTGTCAAGTGGGTCCGATGAAGTGCCTCCTGCTTGGGGCATGAGCGCTGAAAGTTGGCAGCCTAAGAGGACCGGGAGCTGTAGATGCAAGTGGGTTGGAAGCTGATACTCTGCATCCGGCGCAACACGCCGCTCCTATGGCTGTCAGGATCCTTCAGCAGCCGTCAAAGCCTCATTTTATCTCAAGTCGAATACGTTTCCGAGGTTTCTAGTGCTCAAAGTAGCTCACTTGGTGTGCTTGTCCTCCGCCTGTCACTGTTACACTCCCGATATGCTCAACAGTCAATGGGTTTATCCGTAGCCTTCTTTGTTAGATTCTTCGAGCTGGTTGGCCAGACTATTCCTAGCGAAACATAGTTGGTTAATTGTACGTCGACAGATACGAAGTATAACTTCTACATCGTCAACCCGTTTTCGCACTGCTTGCACTGTATGTTTCACCTGTACTCTGCCATCTAGCCACTGTTCTTCTGAAAATAGGAGGAGTGAATGGTGCTAGAGTCAGGTGTCTTGCAGATGTGAAATCACATTGTTGGGCCAATATAGCCCAGTAGGCGAATTCAATCCCTCGCAGATGTAACCTGGCCACCTAGCCCAAGCTTCGCCATCATTTGATAGCTCCATGGTCGTGTTCGTGCTCAATCGATGAGTCAGTCTTGGGCTGTTCCCGATGGATTCTCTGATTCTGGATACATTGACTCCTGGTTGTGTGTGTGTGGTAATCATAGATTGACTGAGACTTGTCTAGAAGTAGCATGTCTTTCAACCTGGCGACACACATCCCACTTGTACTATCTCTGTGATCAGCATGACTCGTATCTCAATCGACAGCGCATAACGAACGAGCTGTCTTTCTTGGACGTAGGCAGTCAACTGGTACGAGGTGGGATTGTTCTTTGCTACCACTGACATCGCATGATCGTCATGGAATGCTGATCCTCCTATGAGGAGCCTCGAGCAATCGATTCGACTTTATTTCTGAATGAGGTTGGTGACGCTGAGCGGTCCGAGATGACAGCATCTGGTGGCAGTTCTTTTTGTGTGATGTGTAGGTGGTAGTATGTTTCTTTGTAAGGTCTGAGTCCAGTGCGTCCAGGCAGTCTTGAGTTCCCAGCGCTTCAATCGGTGCTTCAGTTCCTGGTCTCCAGGAAAGCTGGATGCTGCTCGGAAACTACTATCTATCGTCGTACCTGCAGTCTCTCTCGTTAGTTTCACATATAGTCCATAGCGGGATCTTACTCTCCGGCAGGCAATAGCATCGTCCTGGCGTCCTTCTCACCTGGTATTTTCATGTCGTAGAATGGCTAGCTCTAGTCACTCTGTCGACACCTTCAGGATATCCCCAAGGTCAGCTCTTTCTGTGTTCGAGGCAGGCAGCTTTTTCAACCTCGTCCTGCCTAGGTTCCCGAATAGCATCCGATGTTGCTGAGAGCCTCGGGCCTGTGTCTCTCCATCGATTCGGCTCTTCATTCAAAGAACTTGCTTCCAYGCCCTTGCAACATCTAGCCAGTCTCTTTAACGTCTTCCGTGCTTTACTAAGGTACGAACGGGGAAGAAACCGGCTGTGTGTCTGGTCAGCAGAACTCAGCTTGCCTTCCTGCGTTTGTATACTTATACTGTAGTAGTAGGTCTCCTCCAATTTGCCAGTCGGCCTCCGCTCGACGTTGAGCTCGGTCCCAATTGTGAACTTTCGGAGTGTGACGGTCACTGTTATGTCAGGGCGTGGCCCGGGTGGTGTCGATTTGGTGCCGGACCATCGGAAGCATGACAGTGCTGCACCGGTCCGCTGACATCGTGTCCATTGATGACCGAMATCTGGCTGATGGAATGGACCGCTTTGGTCGTTAATTTCCAAGTTCCATCCAATCGCAGCACTAGTGCGGCCAGTTGTAGTAGGTGGCTCAATCTTCTTCTGCCGTAATCTGGTCGAGATTCGGGTCAGATCCAAATGATGAAGAGATTTCCGCGGTTTCAGGAGTCTGTTACGCTATCACATTGCCATTTGTTCAATTAATGCTTAGTGGATCACTGAACGTAACGTTGGCTTGTCTTATCGCAAGGATGATCGGGCAGGATGTTGCAAGGACACGATACGAGAGACGGCTTGTCGAATTTCAGAAGCACTTGGAAAACTGCGACTCCATCTCCCTGTGTGTCTTGCGCCTGCGAGTACGCCACATCACTGCATTGCTCTATGAATAACCTGCGGAGAGCTAAACATTGAGGCCGATACGTAGCTACTGAGCGGTGAAATTGTGTGTCGATGGGAGATGAAGATCGTAGAGCAATCAGCTCGAATGTCTCCTAGACACATCCGTCCCTTGACTCAAGCTGGCCACATCATCGGCCTCGACATACTCAACCTCCATGTCCATATCCCGCTGGTCCTTCTGCTGCTCAAGCCCTCCGCCTTCTTGGCCCGCTCCACGGCTTGCCTCCCCTTGTTCACCTTGTATCTGCCGCAGCCGTTTCTTCTGAATGCTCCGCTTCCTCTTCCTGTCGAGGTTCTTGAAGTACCAGTCAAATCTGCTCGACGAGCGAGGAGCGAACAGGTTCTTCAATCCAATCTTGCAGTTGAGACGCAGGCCACTAAAGCCCTCTGTGATGGTTTGCAGGCTCGCGTTCGGGTCTGTCTTCTTTCCATCGTTGCCCCACACGCCATCTTGAAGCTGGAAACGATGGCGCTGGAAAGGGTGAGGTTTCTTTCTCGTTCCGTTGATCTTCTCTGATGAAGACAGCACGTTGTAGATTCTTGTCGTCGGAGGTGTGCGCTCGACGGCGTCGGCGCTTCTTCTGCGATGCGGAGGGAGTTGCTGCGGGGAGCAAGTTGGATGCTTGTCGGTGTGTTGTTCTGCGTCCAGCGGGCCACAGCCTGGAGTGTTGCCGGAGGTGCTCATCGTGTGGTTGTTCTGAGGCTGGTGTGGTCGTGGCCCGAAGCTTTATGGAGATGGGACGTGAAGTGAGGATTTGTGGAGAGACCATCCAGGACGCGAAGAGATTAGAACTTTGTGGCAGTGAGCAGTACCATTTACTCTTTGTTGCCGACGTCGAATGTTCAGGTCACTTCACATGGGGGATTCAAATTCAGATGAGCGTCTTTGGCATTTGAAGCAGAATCTAGAGATTTCCTCCTAATACTTGCCACRTTGCTTTCTCGACAACATCGTTTCTCATCAACAAAGTTCCTCTCATCAACAAAGTACTCATATAGCCCTGTGAGGCCCTCATTGGTACAGCGTTCGCTCGCCACATGCTGAGGATGCCTCCTCGCTGTCGTATCCACGCTTCAATCATATCTCGTCTCTCATTACACGCCATGGCATTGAAGCCTGCAAAGAACTCCTCAAAATGCATCAGCCCTCGTGATCCCACTGTGCAGATGCATCGCCATAGATGCTGCCCGCGGAAGCGCTCGCTCCACTTTGGGACATTGAGCGTCCACGCTCCACTATGTTGAAGGAATCCTGGGTTGGCGTTGGCACTGAATTCTCGTCTTCGACGTAGGCGAATCGTGGTCTCGGCGATCTTGCAGGACGTGGTGGGGTATCAGCGTGGCCGATGATGCTACCGAGAGGTTGATCCAAGAAGATGGGATACGAGTTGGGTGATCTGTCATCTGCTCGCTGGCGACTGGATGCTTCCCTGCTCCTCTCCCTGGAGGTTCCGCTGCCGCGGTTGATGACTTTGAGCGACGGGCTGCCGGATGAGATCTTGACGCTTGAGTAGCTGTTTGGTGATCTCGTGAACGGTGGGGCTGGCCGAAAGACAGCGCCACTGTTTGCGACGTTCCGACGGGCATTGTGCTCGTTCTGGGCATCAGCCAGCGCTTGTTCACGCGCTTGTGTCTCCATCTCAGTGGCTTCGCGTCTCTCAAGCTTGATTTTTGGGCCGCGTGTTGGKCCGGGAGAGTCGCTGAAAGTGGGTGACGGCGTGTATTCACCCGTCGTTGGGGTGTGCCAGATTTCAATGTATCTCTCAGAGTCGGACAAGGTGCTTCTCCGCGAGCTTGTGACAGGCGTTCTGAACTCTTCTGCTAGAAAAGTGATGTTAGTTGACGGATTTCGCACTGTGTTATTGATTCCTTACGCTCTGATTCAAGAGCCTGCTCTCTGCGAGCCACCGCCTCTTCTCTCCGCAGTACTGCCTGTTCGGCAGTGATGAGATCGTACGTTCGCTCAGAGAGCGAATCCTCCATCTCGCGGATGGCGGCCTGGCGCCGCTCGAGGAGCTGGAAATCAAGGCGCATGTTGTCGTAGACTTCTCGTGTCGTGACCGACACGCTCTCGCGTGCGACGGCGGCGGTGGTGCGGGGGGCCGCCATGTTGTTGTTGTTGTCGTTGCGGAGAAGATGAAGAGAAAGCGAGAGAATGTTTTGTATTTGCAGTGCGTTAGCGCTTCGGGCGGGAACTCCGAGCGGAAGGATCCGGCCAACTTCTACCTAGACCCCTGAAACATCGTTGGTGAGTGAATATGGATTGCACTGCAAGTTGCCGCGTACCCGCATCTATCTCCACTATGAACTTCCCTTCCAACACATCTTTAACAACATTCTCGCAAAGAACGTCGTCAGGGTACCACAACCGCACAATATCCCTTCCACACAAGCCCCCAACACGACAGCCCATCTGGCCGGCCATACACTACGCGGCTCTCTTCAACAGGGAGCTATTTGCAGTGGTGAACCATCAACCGGATGAAATCCTCCACACTACGACCCGTGGTCATGGCCACCGCAGCGCGCATCAAGAAGGGCGCTCTAACGAYCTCCATTAAGGGCACGCGCAACTTCTCCCGCATAATGGGGACCAACGTCGTGTATGTGGAATGACCATAACCTCTTCCATGCGATTACTGACCTCGCGCGTAGCAATGCCTCGACTACTAAGAAGAAGACCAGCGCTTACTCCACCGCTGCCAACAATGACCAGGACTCCGCAGGCCGTGCCATCGAGCCATACAAGTCGCGTCACGTTCCAACTGCTAGCGAAGACTGGATTACTCGAAGCTTCGTCAAGGGTCAGTGGCGTCGTACCGACACTCGAGGCTTGATTCAAGGCGTGGGTAGCAAGGAGCGGGAATACAGCACTGGATCTGAAGACGACACCACCACCCCGCGCGTTAATGTCAACAAGAATTGGCAAGTCACCAACACCTTTGGCGTGATGGCCGCGGACGCAGATCCTACCACGGATGGGTCCAAAAACAAGAACGTGGAGCCTGGCAAGGAACTCGCCGTTGACGATATTAATGGCCCCCTTTACGGCGAGACAGCGGTAGAGAAGCCTGCCGCCGATGGTCTGGAGGACAAGGGCGATCTCAAGAAGAGCAGCGACTACAAGGCTCCGCGCGACGCTGATGAGATCAACGCAAAGAATTCAAAGCCGGGCAAGAAGACTGGAGAAGTCAAGGGTGATTGGAAGTCCAAGGCACTCCAGCTTCTGGACGATCCTCCACGCTTGCTGGGAAAGGCTTCAAAGGCGAAGGGTGCTTCGAGTGAGTCGGGAAAGGTCTCGATGGTCAAGGAAGCTAAGGGTATGGCGGTCCAGTGGGAGGGAGTGTTGGATGTGTTGGCAGAGGTCTTGACTCCCAAGAAGGAGGAGGCTGCTGAGGGCGAGTATGTCGAGTGGAGCTGGGGATATGGCAGCTACCCCTACACTCGTCTTTTCTAGCTGCACACTGTTGCTTCTTCATTCACGATTCGAGCGGGCTACGGGCATTGGGCAAGCTTTGCTATGGGCATATCACGTCTGATTGACATGGGACCGGCGCGTAACGATATCATGTTTCAGTTTTGAAATGGCGAACTTATGAAATTGTTTTCAAAGCTCTTGACTCGGCTGATGCTTTTGTCTTTGTCTTGTCTGTATGCCTGTCGCCTCCAATCGTCTGTTAAGACTTGTCGCTGGCGGACCATTCTCATAAACTTAATCCTCTTGGTCTTCACATCTTCCCACGACTCCCACGCTTCTCCGCCACGCATTTCTCTTAAACAGCACCACATTTTCTCACCGATCGAGAGCATGTTCCATGAAGGTCTGATTGAGTGCCCATGCAGTCTTGACGGTTGGGCGCGCACGACACCGACGAGAGAATCTCGCCGGCCAGCGAAAAGTGCTGCAGCGAAGACATTGAACGCGCCAACTTCAGCATGTTGAACTTGATCGCGACGAATAACGGACGAAGCAACATACAAGCATCTTTGGCACGACTGAGAACATATTTGGAGTGGTAGCGGACAAAAGCACTTTAAGAGATGGAACAAAGGGCCCCGCTTGTGCTGCTTCGCTGCAGGGAATGGACATACGCGGACGTGACATAGACTTGGTCATCCGCAGGTTCATCAAGTATTATTGAACAGACATCGCCTGGCGTGTGTTCGGCCGCTGGGATAGACCCGTCGGCAGCAATCAGCAAGAGACTGAACAGAAACCCGCCACTAATTGCTTTTGTCCATGCCTCGTCTTCTTGTGGCCACCGGAGCCGCTTCCCTCATTCTCGAGTCCCAGCAACAAGGTCCTCAGCACAAGATTCTGGAAGGTTTACCGGCTGGCGCGATGCTCACGACGCTCACCCCATTCCTCGTAAGAGCCCATTGATGGACGTCGTGCTAGGAGCCGATGGGAGACCAGCTCCTCGACTACTAGACCGCCTACCACGATGAGACCGGGTTATCGTCTCCAGAACCGATGAACTCAGCGGACAATTAGGGCGCGGCGACTCCCTCCGGCCAAGTCGATGCGTCCGCTGCCATTGGCAGCGTGACAGGGCCCCCAATTACCGCGTCGAGAGTGCCGCGTTTGGCTGAGCTGCCGGATACGATGCTGCAGTCTTTGCGTTACAAAACGCTACTCTTCTCTCAGCGCGTCGTTTATCCCTGGAAGGCTGCCATCGATACCTCCATCAAGCTTCGACGAGCGCCTTTCATGGACCTCGGCGCTTCCTAATACGCATGGCTCTACGATGTTACTCGGCGCCAATACTCCGAGTAATCGAGTGTCTAGGGATACCCTAGATCCAGTGCAGCTTCGAGCAAGCAAGATTCCATCCGACTGCCGCTTCAACACGAACATCGCGTATACAGATCGCAACCTATYGACAAGCGTAGCGCGTCGAACCACACCGAACGATTGCTTGCGAAGCACCACAGCAGTCGATGCGTCTGGTCATCAGCACGGAAAATTTCATCGCGTCCGATGGTGGGAATGTCACAATTGTCAATGCTACTTCGATACACTGTGCTGTCGTCCAAAGATCCAAGAACAGTGCTGTCGTTTATCCTCCAGATAAATTGATCAAAAACGACCGATGTACACCACCAGCTGCGCAGCGATGGAAATGTCCCGACGTTGGCGCATGTCCGATCCCGTATACGAGCTAGAGGACGTCTATCGTTACCATTCCATCCCTCGAGGTGGCATTTCATGTGGAGCTTTCGGCCTTGGACATCATTCTGGCTTCCACAAGCGCAATCAAGTCTCTCGAGCCGCAATACAGCAAGTCGATACCCACTGCATCAAACCGTCTATGTCAAGACCAGACTCTGAGACTGAGACTTCGCTGTTGAATTACCATGGGTGAAGCGCAGCTCCCACGATTCTTGCTGTCGATAAGCTGCTCGAAGACGTCTTGATTTACGTTTCCTCCARAGACATTTTTCTACTTCCGCAACGAGCCATTGGCCAGTGGCGAGCGGCTGTCACGATTTCACCTGCCCTCTAGCAGATGCCCCTTCTCGGGCCCAGACGAGCAACACACGCCCAGCTCTATGATGGCATTCATTGTAGCAGCACGGACAGCCCTGGAGACTTGAACACAACTAAGTCGATTGCTTTCCGGAATGTGGCTTACAGCGACATTCTTCTGCCAGACCAACTCTCAAACGACAGATGTAGCATCGCGGAGTTCGACTATCTGCACCCTCCGTCCAGGAAGCTCCGCAAGGATGATTACACGGGTGATGAAAAGAGAAGAGAAGCATTGGGATAACTTGTTGACGACGGAACAGAGCTAGTGGCGAGTGTTTACGCAGGACTATCTTGGACGAAAATCAACTTGTGCCAGCCTCCCGTCTACCATGATTACACAGACTGGGTATGCGAATAAAAGAACATGCAAGCCGAGATAGGCCAACAGAACGAATTACTTCCACGTGTACATCCAAGGAGCAAACAAGCAAGGAATCTGTTCGGAAAATCGACGAGCACGTAGTGAATCCACGACTTGAGGACTTCCCAGGGCCCGGGACCCTTGCGAGATCGTATGTTGCCCCTCTGTCCAGTCCTGCGCATACCCTGCTAATCTGGTGAATCGATTGGCAAGTAAGTGAAGGCCATGTCAATGCTATGCACAGCTTACAGGCCACTTTATCGCAGAGATCACGGCGACTGGGATACTGAGGCCCGACATGGGAAACAGCTCCACGCGCTCTGTTGTGGTGATGAGGCGGCACTTTGCGCTGGTCACATTGCCAGCATTGTCAGGCGTTTCGTGAAAATCACTGCGCGAGACTAGGAGCAGGAGGAAGCGCGCCAGGAGAGTCTACTTTCATGTCACCCCTACATGGGGCCACGTTCCAGTGTCGCCGTGGCAATGTTGGTRGCCTCTCGTCCGTGCATAGTAGCGGCTATCCACAGCCCTCAGAGCCCTGAGTCTCGCTTTGCATGGTCTGGCAGCAGCCCTGGAGTAATTCCCCGTTTTGAGCATGGGGTTCGAAGGGGCTGTTTTTCTAATTCTTTCTCTCAGCAAACGACYCTCCCAACCTGGCAGCATGTGCCGAGCACGCCAGCCGATCGGAATCAGGGCGATGTCTCCGTGCGCCGTGGTGAGATCGCCACAGTCCTTCCTGCCCTTCATCTTTCTCCAGGCGTCGCCGCGTCGGCAATCCACCACTCGATCTTGTAATTACAGGACCCGGGCGGAGCTCTTACTATTAGGTGCCACGACGATGGAACCTAGATTGAAGAGGCTCAGATTCTTGCATAGCTGGACGCCGCAACGGTCATCACCAAGGAAATGCACTTTCCACCAGCAGAGAAGGCTGTAAGCGGAGTTGTGGATTATACGAGCGACGATCGGGATTACGTACTACTGGCTGAGACATGGCTGCTGGAGAATTACGAGGATAAAGGAACAATTTCAACCGAGAAAGGCACCTCGYCCTCGATCTCTTTGAGAATTGATGCGGTTCGGCGGCGTAGCGCCCTCGATCGTTGTTCTACAGGCCTCTACGACTCTGCTCAAGAAATGTGAGGGGTGCTGTGCGTATGTGAGTTGGAACCCGTCGTCGCAATTACTGATTAACTGTGTAAATAGCAGTCTTTCGCGAAGGATTGGAAGCAGCAAGCAGTTGATCGCTAATCTCTTCGACTCTATCTCTCTCTCTCGGACGCCAATCGTAGGTCAGAAGACCAACATCTCCGGGCTCATTCATCTTCTCCGCTCTTCATGACAGCCAGCCTTCTATCTAACGTGCGCTTCTCCAGACGTCTTTGCTGGCTAAAAGATCGGTGTGCTTTCATGTTCGGAAAGCATGCTTGCATGATCGAATGACTCTGCTTCTGGCATGTCGTAGGAGCGTGCAAACGTGGCACGTTGACAAGAGTGTGATATTGAACAGCGGCATGTTGAATCCTAACCTCTGACCTAACTCTACGGTGCGACTTCTTCCGGTTCGTCCTCTCCACGATATTTGCTTGCTTCTCGGGGAACTCACACATGGGCAAGATATAGGGTAGGTACGCTTGGGTAGGCAGATATCTACCTAGGTTCGATCTTACTATGTACTTACATACTGAAGGAATCGCAGAACTGGGGAAAAAAAGAAGCGTCTGCATGGAAGTAGATATGCCTGTCTCAAAGATTAAACCATCCATGTCGAAGTATAAGCAACTATACGATGAAACTGCCAATGGCTCATTAAATCAGCCATAGTTTACTTGATAGTATATTGAAGTTGTTATAGTTGGGGATCCCGTGTTTGACCACCGTCTACCTGTTCATACAACCAACTTTTAGCAAGGAGTACGCTGTCAGGGCAACTAAATGCCAATGCTGCCAGAGCCAGAACGCAATATGCGGAGATTCACTTGGCCTGCTGAATGATCTTGAACAAATAAGGTGACATGGAAAGAATGTTGGTCGTGGAGTCGGCAATAGGCAATTTGAACCGAGATTGCCGGACACCATTCTAGAACGACGAGCTCTTGACGAAACAGGGGCTGTTACCTCGCCTACTCTTTTTTGAACACTTCGTAATATCGACGAGTCGACAGTCAGGAGGAGCAGGCAGCCTTGCGCCAGATCATTGCATCCCATCGGCTCCGGGATCGATCTACGACGTCGCAGAAGAGTCCGGTTACCGAACAAAGCGTCGAAGGGGAACCGATTCCTGGATTCCAAAGAGCTCAATACTGTGTGTAGTTTTGCAAAGAGTCAAGGGGCAGATTGGCGGATGTCTCAAGCATATACTCAAGCCAGAGATGGTGACATTCCAATGATATAAAGCCAATGGAGCGTGATCTTTGAGTTGGACCTCTCAGGGTTATATCGTAGAGAGTGCAAATCTCACGACTAACGAGTATCGCCACTAGGCAAATGTGGTTGTCTTGGGGTTACTGTGTATGGAGGCAGCTTGATGACCTGTGTTGAACAATAGAAGCAGTAGTCATCTATTGTCCTGCTTCCAATGATGAGTAAATTGTTGTTTTCCAAGTTTAACGGCGACGAGAGGACCGGCGTCATGACATGTCCTCTGAGCAGACATTCCGGTCTCGAGGGCCACAACATCAGGCTGACGGCAGATGGATGTGTCAGAACCCTACCTTGACGTGGCAGAGCTGCGCAAGCTGAATCTGACCGCCAAGGTTGTCCGTTTTGACAGCCGAAGAAGATCAATGTATGGATCGCATGGCAGACACATCATTGGAAACTGACTGCCAGTCACTATGTCAGTGCAGTCTTTGGCGCTTTCGAAGTTGCGTACCGGCGACAACGATGCCGGTTTCTTGTCAGCCTTTCGTTCCTGTGCTTCTGAAGATGAATTCCTCCTCGTTGATGAGCTCTGGAGGATGTTCCCTATGTGGCCGATGTTGGGGTTTCTACACCGTTGAGGAGTCTTGAGAGTACCATCTCGGACTTGAGTCACCAAGCTTCTCCCTCATAAAGCATTGACAAGTCAGAACATCGAAGCCCAGGCGTTGCCGAGCATTTCGCTAGCCCAATGTTACACAGCATCATGCAAGCTGATCGCGGGGCACTTCCCCCTTGGCACCCTATCCGATAGATCGACTCGTCCGTAGACAGGCACCACGATCCCACATGACATCCAAGTCGTCGTATGCTTTTTTTTTTCTGGGGTGCTTACAGCCCTGTCGAGTCGGCGTTTGTGTCAAGGCAACTGACAACCTGTACCGTCCTTGAATGACAATGACAAGCTGACTGGAACGCCATTGTGGCCGGTGGACTTCGGTCCCTTTGTCACATTCTCCATGCGAGATTCGGTGCTGATTGTCCCCGGATTCGTGTCTTCGGCGTCCAGCAGGTCGTACTTTTGAGACCATCGATGGGATTCCCGATGAAGCACGGCGAATGGCGTCAACCAAATGTTGCAAAGACCAGAACGCCGATGGATGGTGGCTACCTAAGTAGCAATTTCCACCCCAACAGATATTTTGTTGGCTGAGATCGATGAAGTGCAAGGCTGGAATATGCTGGGGAAGAGGAGAAGTTGGCCAGCCGACTTGGCATGCAGGGCATTTAGCKGCTGTCCCGTTTCGGGAGCTAGCCGGGCACAGGTCCGGTGAATGATTGTTGCACCTTTCCATCAAGAACAACGATGTTTGACATTCAGCGTAGTTCTACCCATCGACTCTCACTCCAGTGTGCTTGCTTGTAATGAACATTGCAGCAATTGGTTGTTCTTCTCAGACCCCCTCACCATCTCGAACAGCCGTTGGAGAGCCGAAATCCGAAAATAGCGAGGAAAGGAGAACGATGAAACGGCTCTTCCCCTCCAACCATCTCACCCACCTCGTACCACACCCACACTCTGCCAACATCCGGGACACAACACACGTGCAGCAGATCCTCCGCCTCTTTTTCTTGCTGACCTCCCTCCCCTACCTGGTACTTGTCATCCAGCATGACGCGTAATGCCCGAAGCACGCGGCCATACGTTGTGCGTCGCCAGACATTCATGTTGTGCGATCTGACAATGGCTGGAGACAGTGTATAACAATTCCACATTTCTCTGCATCTACATTCCCTTTCTCATCATCATCATCGCATCTCTTCAGCATCCTTCAGAACAAACACATCACAAAACATCATTCGCAATGTCTTTCCACAACACAATCCTCGCTTCAGCGGTCCTCCTCTCCAGCACAGCCTTGGCATTCGGTGGTTCAGGAGGCACTGCAGGCCAACAAGGCAATTGGGGGGGATCATCTTACGGCGGTGGTAGCAACGGGAACAGCGATACGGGTGCTTGGGGAGCATTCCCTTCCTGTGTTTCTTCGTGCAAGGACTCCGGCATTGACTACACCTCTGGCAACACCTTTTGCGGCAGCAATGATGCGGTGACCACTCTTCAAAAGTGTGTCGATGACAGTTCTTGCAGTGACTCGGATAAGAACTCTGTGTACTCTGCTGTGGCGCAGCTGTGTGCGAACTCTGGGAAGACTATTACACAGGGACCATTTGGGAGCGTCACGGCGACAAGTGGTGAGTATTGAACATTTGTGCAGCTTTGAGAAAGATTCTTACTAACACTACTGACTCAGGTGGATCTGCTTGGCCCTCTGGCTATGGAGGAAGTAGCATGGGTGGCATGGGTGGTATGGGCGGCATGGGCGGCATGGGTGGCTGGTCTGGCGGCGCCGGCTTCGGTCCATTCGGAGGCAATGGCTACGGGTCAGGTAGCAAAGGCTGGGGTGCAGGACCATGGGCTTCTTCCGGTGGTAAGTCCTTTCAAACATACTTCACCTTTTGACAATTTCTAATACAGTCAACAACAGCATGGACCGAAGGCCCATGGACTTCCTGGTGGGGGACTTCAGACTGTCCTGGCTCAACTTGGTCAGGCTGGACTGAAGGCTCCTGGTCGAGCGAAGCACCTTGGACGACATGGAGCGGCTGCGAAGCCACCACTACTGCTTCTTCCGTTTACACCACTACCGTCACCATCAGTGGGAGTGCACAAGCTACAACAGCGACGAGCTATGGTATCAAGCTTGCACAAGCTACGGGCAATTCCGACTCTTCCTCTAACAGTAACGACGGCAACACCAACACCAACCCTAGCAGTACCGGCGGCACTCAAACTTTCGATGGTGCTGCTGGTCGGAATGCGGCTTTTGGTGCTTCTGTGATTGCTATTATTGGTGTTGCTGCTGGCGCTGTTTTGTTGTAGGAATATGGAATCTTGTTGGGAAGTACATGAGATGATTTGAATGAATATGCACAATGGATTGGCCCGAAGTTTGGCATGGATATTGAAAACGCGGAGCACGGTGCCGTATAGATTGATCACGAATGCAAATCTCCGAGTCAACGTCATTTCTTTCCTTCTCATTTTTGTCTCTCAAGCATTACGCTCGTATCTATGAGCATGAGGCAGCACCCCTTTGCATGGCTACAGCTTTCCGTTGAAGAGAAGTCTTTCAATATCACCAGGATACGGGCGGAAATGACAAGATGCATCTGCTCCAGATTGTCAATCATACAGCCATCTAGGGATTTCTCGTAATTCTGTTCGCTCGGGCTCATAGTGTCTCAAGACCTCGCTCTCTACAGGCTCGACATCTCTGGACCTGTTAGAACTATTRCTGCTAGCAGAGTAGCTCGTCAGACAATCGAGAGAGCAGTTCAGGGCGCTGTTCTTGTTGATGGTCTCTCATATCGAGAAGGCTAGTCGCTACGTTATATATCCCCTCCTTGAGAGAGAGACTCCGCCGGCTGTATAGCCTCCACGGGGAATAAAGGTCACATTCACGATGTGGTACTAAGAGTTAGCATCGACGAGTCTAATGTCGTTCAGTCCATGGGAGCAAGTACTGGTTTTGATTCTGAATTTCAGACMGTCTTAATTTTAGATATGAATGGTCATCACCGTGTTCAACGGATGTAGTCCTGCCTCTACTGATTACATTTCGATGAGTGGAGAACATCCCGGCGCGACGAAAAGAAGTAGATCTTCTCTCGGATTATACTATTTTCCCAGCTAGGGACATGCGGGCGATAGTGAGTATTAGCCGCTGAACTCCAGGACTTTACGCTTCTTGTAGCGGACGTAGGGAGTTGCAGATAAGGGTAAAGTTGTCGAGGGACGTCTTAGTTGGGGAGACGTAGAGGGTTTTTTGATGCTCTTGTGGAGGTTGGCTAGGCTAGTGGTAGCAGCTGTGACGGCTTAGACGGGGTCGTTAATAGACATGACTGAGAAAGTGGAAGAAGAAGACATGGTGGGGGATAACGGCTTGTAGATGAGGAGATATGATGAACCTGGTGAAGGCACTAGAGGGAATATGATGAGATGTGGTTCTGAGTATTGCGTCTTGTCTTGTGACGTGGTAGTCCTGCTCTGGTGCTTGTCGCTTGTGGATGCTGCTTGGTTAGTTGGATGCTGGTGTCACACCCCGGTGCAAGTTGATCTGAACGCCTCATACGGGGCACTCACCATCCTCTTCGCTACTTCACAACTCCCTGGGAACGAATGTAGTTCTAGGACTACACTGAAACGCCGTTGCTCAGTCCAGTATACAAGTCCCAGAGATCAAGAAGAAACAAGGAAACTACACTTTTCGGAGAAAGTCGTACTCTTCAGTACATATATATATACATCACACACAAGAAAAACAGCCTCTCCCGCCCTCCATCCCCCCAAACCAATCCCCAAAACCCCATCCAAAAACCACCCAACAGCTCCCCACCTGTTCCCAAAATCCCACATCCCCATCCCAGAACCCCCCCCCCCAAGAAAAAAATCCCTACTCCTCTCCCCCCTCCTCCTCCTCCTCCTCCAAACGGCGCTTCGCATACGCAACTTCATGATCCCTACACCTCCCAATCAGCAATCCATCTCCACAAACAGTAACACAAATTATACATACGCCAGATACGTCGTTGACAGAGCCTCGTCCAGCTTCCGCCGAGCCCAGGCGATCCCTTCTGCACCGCCGCGTTTATTGGCGCCCTGCATGCTGGCGTAGGCGTGCATGAGGACGTTTTGGGCACGCCATTGGGCGGCGAGGGCGTCGTTGTGGGCGGCGACGAGGAAGGCTGTTGTTAGGGAGGACATTTTAATTCGGGGGTTTGTATGGAATCGAGGTATTTGTAGGTGTTTGGGTAGTTCTTGGAGGATGTCGATGGTATGGTGGGGGGATTTTGCAAGGGCTAAGCTCTAGAGGGAGTGAATGAAAGATGCGAGGTACCTACAACGCCATGACCCATGCCATGCCGTCCTATTCCACACTCAACACTCAACCTCATAGCCATCTTTCCAAGGCCTCCATCCCACCCTCGCCTCTTCGCCTGAGATAACCCTCGCAGCCCTCTCCCATCTCCACCACCACCCTCGCCCTCTCCCTCGCCTCAACCCTCGCACTGGCAATCCTCTCCCGCTCCAACAGTGGACTCTCCCCCCACCGGATCTCCGGCCAACTCGACCCTCACCAAGCCGCCAAACGCTCGATTTCCTCGAAACAACGGCACCTGACTGGCATATTCTCCACCACCATTCCCCCGGTCAACCTCTCGAATCGAATTCTACATCCCGCCGCACAAATCTTCGGCATGGAGATGCCATTACACGGCATGGCGGGGATGTGCAAGACATCATGTAGTTTTGATGCCGCAGATTCTTCCATCGGGATCTTGAGCTTGTAGGAGGATTGTGCCGATGCCCAAGACTCGTAGGTCGTCGTCGGCATGCTCTTCTTCATCTTCATCATCCTCATGATGAATGTCCTCAGCCAATCCCATTCCATGCGTAGCGGAAAGGTCGATTTTCGTATACGATGTCAACCACGAACTATTCCGCACATAATGCACGCCTCCCTCATGGAAGATCCAATCTTTGCAGCGACGGTGCGGGAGGGCCGGATTTCGTCTCGCGGTACGGCGGAGGGTGGATTTTCTCGCTTGGTCGGACTTGAATTCTCGATGGGAGGATTTCCAGGTGAGAGGTTTCGGGTGGCGGCGTTTTTTGGATCTTGGAGCCCAGGAGGGATTGGGCGAGTCGGGCGGGGCTGTTCTTGCTGAGGATGCGATGGGCGAGTCGGTCGGGTGGAATGGGAGCGGGAGAAGATGCGATGGGCGAGCGAGCACTTGGGCTTTTTTGGCGGGCAAGGGCGTCGTCCATTGTGTTAGGAGAGTTTTCGAAGAGTTCCATTGGGATTGATGCTAATGTGAGGGAAGAGGGGGAGATGGATGCTGTATACCTTCCTTATACACGGGATATTGGAAGGGACGCCAATGTCTAGGATAGACAGGCATCTTATCTATCGATCAGGAGCCCCCGGTAGATCATTTAGTTCCACTAGCTAGCTCCCCGGCAGATGTGTACCTACCTTACCTTTATGAAACTCTAAAAGTCGGAATCTGCTCGCCTCCACAAACTCACCATTCTTCCAACAATAACCAAAGCATGCCGAGAATGAGCAACGCAACCAGCAATGACAATAAAAAGACCCTCCTGAAATCCCAACTAGAACGGCTCACCACGACAGCAGGAATCGAATGCCTCAATGCCCGCGACTTCTCCCTCTCCACGCCGTCGGGGGTGGAAGTGCGACAACACTTTGCCCCCAACTTCCTCGTCGTTCTCGATCACCTGTCCTCCACCCCCATGACGTGGGAGGGGAGGCGTGCGTGTTGATCCGGGCGTTCATGGTCGAACATCCGGATGCGAGGTACGTGGTGCGGAATGTCAGTAGTCATGTGGATGAGTCGGCGGGGACGGCCACTGTCTACTTTGAAATGCTGATGGAGGGGGCCAAGGTGAGGGAGAGTGGCATGGGGACGGCGGTGTGGAAGCGGTGGGAGGGGGAGGGTTTGGGGTGGAAGTGGATGCGGTATTGGAATATGCGGAATATGAGTGGGAATGAAGGATTTGTTTGATGTACTTTTCATATATATCCATCTATGTTTAGATTCACAGGTATCCATATTTATATCCAAATATCCAAATATCTTCACAATACGTGGAATAGATGGAAATCTCCCCTCCCCATTGTGACCTTTTTTTCTCTCGCTTCCAAAACGCGGTGGTCCAAGCTCGCTCCCTCAACCCCACATCACACGCGCATGCCTCCACCAAACACCTCCAACAACTTCTTGCTTGGTTCAACAAGTTCAACGTCCTGCACATCTTGCCCGCTTTTTTCCTGCACATCTTCCCCGCGCGTGCTCGCCCGTTCGAGGCAATCCAAATACCTTACTCACCATCATTCTCACAAGAACAATCGAATCCCCGACAGCAATCAATCAAAATCAATCAATCAATCAATCAATCCAATCCAATCCATCCAACGCAATGGTAGCAACCACGCGGCATTCCCTCCCGCACCAACCGTCCGGAGCCTCTCCTWCCGCCACGCGTCGTAGCCTTGCCGATACGGAYGGACGAGAGGCGCGTCGCCTGGTCACGAATGCGCATTTSGAGGACAAGAATCAGACGAATGGCACAGCATCCCTAGGGACATATCAMTGGAGGGGAGCCGTGTATGAAATCACGCCCGACACCCCACAGGAATGGATCGATCAGGGAGAGGCCGAGTGGGCGAATACGCTGAAGAAGCGCGAGAGGCAGAAGAGGGAGCGCGAGGATGGCGTGAGGGAGAGGGCAGAGGAGGTTGCTGCCTTGAAGAGGAAGAGGGATGGTGATGCTGTGGTGGTGGAGGCGGCGAGGAAGAGGAAGAGGAGTGAGGAAGTGGCGGTGGAGCGGAGGAGGAAGAGTGGGGAGCGCAGGGGAAAGAGTGAGGAGGCGGTGGAGAGGAGGAAGAGCGCGGGAATGGCCGTGCAACATCCCCCTCGACGACAATCTCAGGCGGCGGAGCGGAGGAAGACGGTCTCAGCAACCACGGTCATCCCTCCACGGAGCAGGAGTGGGGGGGGGAGGAGTCGCGATAAGGAGAGCGGTTCCAGTACCGCTTCCTCCAACATCCATGTCGCCAACCCTCGTTCTTCTTCTCACCACCATCCTCCCACCACCACCACCACCACCACCAAATCCGCTACAAAAGCTCCCCAGAGAAAGGAGATGAGACCTCCCCCCACAGACCCCGAACATGATCTACCGGATGACCCCAGATCCGAATCCGATACCAGTGATATTCCCACCAAACGTGGCACCATCAACCTGAAAGATGGCGCAAAGACCCTGTCCGCAATCGCCAAGGAACGACGGGACAACATCGCCAAGGGTTACTGCATCGCTCCCATCCTCACCAGAGAAGACGAAATGCAGGAATTGGCCAAGAATCTGTATGCTCTAGCCAAGACGAACGATCGGGTGGAAGTGTTGAAGAAATGGTGGGACGGGCAGAGAAAAGACGGAGCATTCCAACGTCTGATTGAAATTGTAAAGGCCATCAAAGCCGACAGGACCGCCATCCAACCAGTCGCCGATGATGTGGAAGGTGAAGAGGAATTAAGAGACTTCGCCGAGAGTGTGGGGGAAGTGGAGAATGTGCAGGTCCTGTTGAGGGATATGGCGGTGGAGGAGGAACAGCTGGAAAAGGAGAGACGGGAGTCTGCTTTGAGAGAGGGGGTGGAGGATGTGGTCATGGAGGAGGGTGCTACAGTCCTCCCAACCCCGAAATCCGACCAACAACCCATCCCCTCAAATCCCAACGACAGCAGCATACAAGCCACAGCAGGAAGTCTGATTTCCAACCAACCCACCCCTCCCGCTTCCCCTCACTCTTCCTCCCCCGATGCAGACAAACCCGCCATCCTGCCCATCTTACTCCCCGAAACGGATCGGGGCGGAAATCCTCTTCGCTGGAGTTTGGAGATGGATCCCGCGCGACTCAATAATTTGAAGAGTCGCTTGAAGACCAAGGAGTTGCGGGATCCCGAGAGGGCCGAGTATGCCATTGTTGAGAAGAGGCGATTGGAGGGCGAGAGCAAGACGCAGAGACGGCGTAGAGTGCGAAGGGAGTTGAGGGAGGTCGAGGGCTGGACTATTATCCCAGATCCTAATCCTGAGGTTCAGGGTGGTGGGGATGGTGAGGAGATGGATGGCGTGGAGTTTGAACAGCAACAACAGCCTGATGAGGCGGAGGAAGTTGAGGAGGAAGAGGAAGAACAAGTCGTCTACGAACATGAAGATGATGATGTTGATGAAGATGAGACTACTGAAGAAGTCATGGGAGAGATTCAAGAGACTCCTTCTTTTCCTTCTTCCTCTTCTTCGTCATCTTCTTCTTCTCCGAGGAGAAGGACAACAATTCCCGCGACGACGACCATGACGAAGAAGAGGACGTCAAGAGACGTGGATGTCGTGGATTGGGAGGCTGAAGGACAAGCTGCTGCTAGTAAAGTTCTTGGGGGGAGGAAAGGTGGGGCTGGGAGGGGTATGAAGGGGAAGGGGAAGGGCAAGGGGAGGGTTGGGTGATGCTTGGGGCGCTTCCTCTGAGTGTGGTGCTGATATGCCGGTGGATTGGGTTAGGTCGGAGGGTGGTTGAGTTGGGATGGTTGAAAGCTGATCGATCAGATGGCGGATTCCGGCCGTTTTTGGAAAGGGAAGTGAAGGAATGGGAATGTATGACTGGACGGGGGATATTGAAAGGAGGCTGAACGTTGAAGGGAGAAGGACGCGATGGACTCGGAGACTTGGTGACTTTGAATCATCGTTCTCTTGACGACCGCACGAACGAACGAATGAAGGGGGGATTGATTTTTGTCGGATTAGTTGACGTGATTGATTAATTGATCGGTATAGCTAGCGAGCGAAATGGAACTTGAGAAACCATTCACCGATTGGATCATCGGTAAAGGCAAACTTTTGGCCAACGGGGTGAAATATCGGGGTGAAATAACGGGGTGAAATAACGGGGTGAAATAACGGGGTGAAATAACGGGGTGGAGAAGCTGGGTAGCGAGGTAGATAGAGTAGACTGGCTTTTAACTACACTACTTAGTACTTGGACAATGTAATGTTACCTTTTGGGAAATGTATTCACACGTGTAGAGATATTTCGTTACTATTACCTACCTTCTTCGGACATTCGATTCGAGGTTTAGGGAGGAGTATTGTTCAATGAAACGATGGTAAATATTTTCTCTTCTTCTTCTTCTTCTTTGTAGTAGTAGTGTTGCTAGCGCTAGATGATAACTCCATCGATAGGTGAAGGTATGCGCTAGACGTCAGCCTAAAGATGTTTGGTGTATCTTTTGGCTAAGCTAAATCGGAGTGGTTCAGGTACTGTATCTACCTACCTTATGCGATGTGCACTTGTTTGTATTTCTACGGGGCGCTGTTTGAGGAGTTACTAGAAAGGTAAGATGGAATTTCGCGGTATACATACTCGTGATTGTTTTTCTTCATCTCTCTCGATAGTGTCACCTCCTTGTAGTTTCCCGTTTGTAACGTGTCTTGCGTCGGTTAGTATAGCTTAGGAGAATAAATCAGGCCCTCCATCTATCTTCTTTCAATCTATCCAATCTACAACAGCCCCGGTTAAGAAGACCACTCTCTACTTGTGATCATCTATCATCTACCCCCCCTGCTTCGAAATAAATCCATCTCATGAAAAAGCTCCCAATGCATCCAATTCCATACCCTCACGAACAACCACACCGCTAATCACCTTTTCATCCCGCCATAGTTCTCATTCCCGAATCCTTGAACCGTCCATCTCTCAACCCATCTTTCCACTCAGCCCCTCAAAGTCCTCTCCGAATCAGCAAGAGAAGCCGAAGAAACAGAAGCAGGAGTAACAACAACCTTCCCATCACTCTTCTGTGGCTCCTCAACCTCCCCCTCGCAATAAGGACACGCACACCAAAGATGAGATTCCTTATGCTGCATCTCATTCATCTCCTTACCCACCTTCGCCATCTCCCGAAATTTCCTATCCCTCTCCCCACGTAATGATGGTAGGCTCGACTGTCCATCCCCTGCTCCTCCTCCTCCTCCTTGCATCTCCACAACACTCTCAACAAGACCCTCATCCGCTTGCCCTAATCCCTGCACATCATTCACGCAATCTCCACAATCACAGAACGCAAGCATACGTCGATGTCGCATAGCTATCGTTTCGTCACCTTTATATCTCTCGGCATCAATTCTCGCCGTCTCTTGCACTTTGATCGCCGCGAGTTTCTGCGATTCTTTGCGTCCCGAGATTCGACAGCAACGATCCAGACGATACATGGCACAGACATCTTTCCAGAATCGCGCACGTTTGATGTTGGAGAGGGGTGTTGTGGAGCGTACGAGGCGGATTACGCCGGGGAATTCCCCGAGACGGAAACTCTGGGTTGCGTTTTGGAAGAGAGTTTCACAGGTTTGTAGCTCTTGGTCGGCGAGTTGGATTTGGGCGAGCCATTCACTGTGGGGGATATATCTTCTAGAGGGGTCGACTGCGTCGGATTCCTCTTCTGCTTCGAATCTGCCGGATTTCTCGTCTTCGACGACTTGCGAGCGGGCTTTCTTTGCGGCTTGTCTGAAATTCTCGGCGTGGTAGTGCAGAGGGTAGAGAGTTCTGAGGTAGAGCATTGGATCGGATGTAGATGTTTTCCAGGCCGCATCTAGGAACTCTCGTGTGGCTTTGCGGAATGACTCTATGGTCCTGCGATACTGGTTCAGGAAGACGTCTTGCACTTTTTTCGGGGTCTTGGTGGTTGATTTCTTCTGATCGACGCTTGTGTCGGGGATGTTCTCGGTCAAGATGAGATCTACAAGTTCTTTGGACATCGCCGAGGCCACGATGGAGTCTTCTGCTGATGTTGGCGAGTTCATGATTTGTCTTGATTTTGGTCCCACTGCGAAAGTGGTGGGGAGTGTCAGGAAGGCGACGAAGGGAAGAAGATTAAGAAGGCCAGAAGACTCGGCAATCCCCGGATTGGACAGGAAACTGGTCGTGGCCATGCTGGAGTTGCCGTGTAGGTTCGGAATCAGCATGTCTCGAACCTTTGGTCAATGTGAAAACTAAGCCTCGTGTCTACCGCCGGTACCGTGAACACCTAACCCTAAGTGGATATCGAATACTCCAACAGCAACCACTCTGCCTCCATCCTTGTCAATATAGGTCGTTCCTCAGGAACCCACGTTGCAGTTCCAATTCATCTAAAGTCCGGGTCGCTGGTTTCCAAAGTTGGCGTGACGGATTCATGGTCTCAAAACTGCATTGTCTTGGCGTCGGGGGATTGTCTGAGACATGGTAGAACTTGTTCGTCGACCACCAGAACCTTTGTAGCGGATATGTATGGAACGTTCTGAGTAAGTCGCGGGGTTGAGTGGTCGTTGGTGTGGCCAGTTTTGGTGGTGGGCCAAGCTGCTGTTGTCAGTGTGCATGGTAGCCGGGATGTATGAACGCTTTTAAGAGATCAATCGCTGCGCTCAGGGAGAACTTTTACATACATGGCGCTGCCCTCGAGTAAATCGCCCGTTGGTATGTCGAGGGCCGCCGAGTATCCGGCTCATTTTGTCAGGCCCTGTTGGTAACGCGGCGCCAAGGGCGAAGTTGTAGTCATGTGCTGATGCCACTGTCGATCCGTTCATTCTCGATAATTCCTGGAATGTTGCTGTTTGTGTGGGGACGGAATCGAGATGTAAGTATGTCGAGGCTGTGCTGGAACCTTGCTCCGGCCGCCATCTTGGTCCACCCATTGTCCTTGCCCACAAAGTCTTTGGCTTGGGTAGCTTCGCCAGATTTGTAGCTTGATCCCGCAAGCCTTGACCTACGTGGCTCTTCCAAAAGTCATTGCTGTAGGGACGAAGCTTCGTAAGTCGTCCGGGCCATGTGTTCCAGACGCGTGCGTTATCCCGTTCCCAGACCCATTCCCAGGAAGAGCTCTGATCATCGATCTCAAACGTACGTCATTCCATTCAGGTCACCGTCCGCTGATCCGTGGCATCGTAACTGTAGGTCTCTCTCAACGTCCGGGATCATTTTGACATGAACACCAGCCTACCCCAACCCTAACCCTAACATCAAGACGAGGCAGCGTATTCCGAGACAGCTTCGCCCAGAGTAGAATCTAGACAGTCGGTGTCACCCGTATAGACTCTTCTGCTTCGTGCCTGTAGAATATTTGCTGCCTATGTTCACGACAAAAAGCTAGACACATCTTGTGACGAGCTCGCTGTTCATGTTCGAGGACCAAATAATCCAAAGAAGGTTGTCTTTCCCATTTGCGGGATTCGAAGGCGGAAGTAGGAGATGGGGAGCATCATGTGTCTCGGGAAGTATCCATGCGGGAGTTGTGGAACCTTACCCCAGGGTAAAAGCATCATCGGCCGTCCCAACGGAAATCGGACTTGGTCGAGCCTGAGCTTTTGCGGAGAAATGAACCATCGGCATGAAAGGGAAACGAAGTTGAGAAATCTGTCAAGAAGGTATGGAACATCAAAACAAAAGGGGGATGAAGTGGAGGAAATACGGGGAGATTCAAACACAAGAAGATGCTCCTGGAGAGCAGTATATCGCCGTCCGCGCCAGGCAAGAGAAGCGTATACCGGCGCATCTCTGTAGTTGTTCGAGGTCCGCGTCAATCTTTAGTTGGCCGGTGTTGCTGAGCTTTGAGGTGCCACAACAGCCGATTGTCTCATCAGCGTCCCCTGCTGCTATCAGACGGACGAATCACCAATTTGCTCGGGCGAGAAAGAGTTGCACTGATGTGTTGAAGGAGGTTTCAGAGTCCGTAAAGCCTTGCCTTCGGTATGACATCCGCAAAAGCAGTGCTGTCGGTCTCGTACTCGCACCGGCTGCTTTTTTGCATTCTTCTCGTTAGAGCTGGACTGGACAGAGTTGACGGCTCTTCRTATTGCACCTTCCCGCGTACGCCTGCAGACGGAACAATGCATTGAACGAGTTGTCAACCGAAAGGGTTTCGTGGAGATCGTGAGATGCTGTAGGTTTCGTAAGGGACATGAGTTCGAGGGCTCGACGACAATGATTCGCATGTCGATGTTCCATCAATGATGCAGGGCCAAAAGGTGAAATCGAAGCATTCCAATTTCAGCATTTCAGCAGGTTAGGGCTTCGGCAAGAAAGATCCGAAGAAAACTCACATCCACACCACCCAACGCCCCACTCGACGCCACCCACTGCTACAATCTGTATACTTCATCTCATCAGACCACAAAATGGCGAWAAGGAAGCGTAACAACGCCCAAACAGTATCAGCTGTCAAGAAACAGGCCCTTCCCGCAGGCATACCGTCGCCTCCATCTGACAGTACCACAACATTCGAGCCAACAAATGCAAGCTCAATCGTCCTGCCCGAGGACATTGAAATATCCGTCGAGACATTGCAGACTTTGGCCCAGTATCCAGCAATCATCAAGTCGAAGGCATGCAAGGATCTTCGAACAGCGGTTTATGCATTTCGTCAGGCATGCACCACTGGACTCAACGCGGCGTCTGGTGAGCAATGCAAGACTGTCCCAGGTTGATGATCACCACTAATGACATACAGAGGGCAACAACCTGACAGCGCGTATATCTGGTGCGCTCACAGATGGGAAATATATCGACGCTCTGGTTCTTCTCGCTGAGATGCGCATTCGCAAAGAGACTCCCACCCTTGGAGCTCTTTGTCGATGGGTGCGCACGCTTGATGTGGTTYCCGGACTCTCCGACCCTATCAAGGAGATTAGCAAGCCTGCCGTCGCCCGTTCGTCCAAAAACCTGGAGCTTCTACAGGTCCTCGACTCTATCCTCCGTGTGACGGGTCCAACCGATACCAACCCCGCAAGTGTGTTTGGGAGTTCTGAACCCATTGCACTTCAGCAGATATGGGACCTTCGCGATGCCACACAGTCTGTGCGGCAAACCCGAGCCAGCGTTCTTGATAAGTCCATTTTCAAGAGCTGCTCTCCGGATCTCAAAAGTCGCTTCCGCATTATCGAGACGACTCCTGGTCCGGCCAGGAAACCCCCAAATCTTCACCCTGCAGTCTTGTTCGCCTCCACAGACGACACCATTGTCTTGAAGAAGGACAGCACAAAGCCTGAATGTCACAGTCACCCGGTCGTACCCAATCTGCGTGTGATCAAAGATGTGTTATCACCGGAGGAGTGCTCATCAATCATCGCCGCTGGCGAGAGCATGGAGTTCATTCCCGATGCCCCGCTGCGACCGGAAGGCGAAGAAAGCAGTGTCCTTGCGCACAACTTCTACTGGGTTGTTGACCAGGCCTTCCATGACAACCTCTGGGACAGAGTCAAGGCCTTTGTTCCGGAGAAAGTGGCTGGAAAGCAAGTTCGCGGGATCAATCGTCGCTTCAGAGTGTATCGATATGTTCCCGGTGCGGAGTACAGATGTCACATTGGTTCGTCAAATCTCACGGAAAGGCAAACAAACGAGCGCGCTAACATTGATCCTAGATGGTGCCTGGCCACCTTCCGGCATTCATCCCACCACAGACGCCTATCAATACGACGCGTCTCCATCAGATGCCCGTCAATCCAGCCTCTTCACCTTCTTGATCTATCTCAATGATGAGTTCAAGGGCGGCGAGACAACCTTCTTCATACCCAGCGTCAGAGAAGGCGTCATGAACGCCTATCCTGTGAAGCCGCTTCAAGGAAGCGTCGCTGTCTTTCCTCACGGTGAAGCACAGGGCGCTCTGCTCCATGAAGGCACGGGTGTAGTGGAGGGAGCCAAGTATGTCATTCGAACCGATGTGGAGTACGATGTTGATGTCACTGCCATCGAATGAGAACAGTGGGCATCTTTCTGGGCATCAATGTGCATTGACCGAAGAAGCTCAAAGACATGTGACAAGAATCGACCACGTTCAGAGGCTACAATCATTCAACGTCGTGAAAACCCTGCAGTCTCCTCTACTTCCACCCTTCCCCCTGATGAGCATAAACCCAGTCCCGCAGTGAGTCGGGGAGATTATTATCAATCTATTGCGGACCATTGTCAAAAGACATCGGGCACTACTCCGTACTGCTGCAATGTGTACCAAGGCCGATGTTCTACCCATTGAGGGAACAGTTCGCCGGCTTCGCGCCCACATTCCGCTGCTCTACGCACGTGTCTTCGCTGCAAGTGCCAATGCGAGAGCTGTGCCCGCAAGAGATCCCTGCAGGACAACGTGGAACACCTGGAGAGCGGATGAGCTAGGACCACGCCAAGTGCGTTCATCGTCGAGATGGCATCAGGTGATGCGAGACATTGAGTAGGATTTCTCAAGGCGAAGAATACGCGAGCAAAGCGGCCGAAATGCGAAGTAGATGCGGCAGTTGGAGTGAGATTGGATAACATTTTCATTCACAGCTTTCAATGATTTGGCTGCCTGGCAATCCCCAATGTGACTCACCAAACAAACAACATCCACAACTACAACTACAATGGCAAACGAGAGCCAAGAACACTTAACATCAACCATTTCTTCCATTGTTTTCGCCGAGAAAGCTGCCGCCAAGTCGAGTCCGACCATATCCTCCACATCCCGGCTGAACCTTGCAAAATGCGGGGATTCCGTCAGACGCCGAGATGCTCCACGCGGGGAGAAGAACTGCATAAGTATCTGGAGTACGCCTCATCGATCGCTGCAGACATTACCGCAACGTTTGTACGGACAATGAGGGCAGTTTCGGGATTCTCGCTGTTGGCGTCGTCGGCCGCAGTGGTTGCTGGCCAGCAAGGTGAATATACTCCTCGATACATGACTCGATGATGGTCGCCGGCTAATACAAGACAGCAATCACCGCCGATGGTGCAAACTTCACATTGACGGGAGACAATGTCTCGTACCTGTTCCACGCCGATACGACAACTGGCGACCTCACTCTGGATCACTTCGGAGGACCTGCAGATTTCATGCCAGCCGCCGTCATCTCCACTCAAGGATGGCACGACGGATTGGCCAATGACCGCCGCGAATTCCCCGATGTTGGCCGGAGCGATCTCCGCTTGCCTGCTATTCACATCAGACACGCAGACGGAAGCACGGTCACCGCCCTCACCTACGAGTCTCATGAAATTGTTGCAGGGAAGCCCAAGCTTGAAGGACTCCCATCCACCTACGGCAGTGAGAGTGATGTCTCGACCATCATCGTGAGGTTGTATGACAACGTCTCGGATGTTTCTGCAGCCCTGCATTACTCCATCTTCCCCAAGTACAACGCCATTGCACGCAGCTTCCAGCTCAGCAACAATGGAACGGCCAACATCACCATTGAGCGTGCYGCCAGCTTCAGCGTCGACCTTCCCAACAACGACCTGTTGATGACCTACCTCCATGGAGACTGGTCACACGAGGCCAACCGTGCGGTTAAGAAGGTCGAGTATGGTGAGACGGGATTCCGGTCTACTGCTGGTTATGCTTCCCACCTCCACAATCCATTCTTCGCCCTCTCTCCGCCCGAGACCACCGAGTCTCAAGGAGAGGCGTGGGGATTCAACCTTGTCTACTCTGGCAGCTTCGAGGCCATGGCGGAACGTTTCTCCAACGGATACGTTCGCGTCCTTCTAGGACTGAACCCTCTTCACACCACCCTGGGTGTTGCGCCTGGTGAAACATGGACGTCACCCGAGGCGGTCGCTGTCTATTCCACCGAGGGTCTTGGCGGCATGTCCAGATCGTTCCACGACCTATACCGCAACCATCTCTCCCGTTCCAAATTCACGGACCAGGTCCGACCCGTTCTGTTGAACTCTTGGGAGGGACTTGGTGCCAGCATCAACGAAACCAACGTAGTGAAGCTTGCAGAGGAGACTGCCGCCCTCGGTGTCTCTCTCCTTGTGATGGACGATGGTTGGTTTGGCGTTGAATACCCTCGCAACAACGACACCATGGGACTTGGAGACTGGACTCCAAACCCGGCCAAGTTCCCACACGGCCTCAACCCTTTCATCCAGGAGGTCAACAACTTCACCGTCGCCAATGCTTCCACCTCGTTGCAATTTGGTATTTGGGTGGAGCCGGAAATGATCAACCCCAACTCTACGCTGTACCACGAGCATCCCGAGTGGGCCCTTCACTCTGGTAAATACGCCAGATCTCTGACAAGAAGTCAGCTTGTTCTCAACGTTGGTTTGGTGGAGGTCCAGGACTTCATCATCAATTTCATGACMAACCTCCTCAGCACCGCCAACATCCAATACGTCAAGTGGGACAACAACAGAGCGATGCACGAGCTGGGCAGTCCTTCTGAGAGCCATACATACATGCTGGGCATGTACCGCGTCATCGACAACCTGACCACCACCTTCCCAAACGTCCTCTTCGAGGGCTGCGCTTCCGGTGGTGGCCGTTTCGACCCCGGCCTGCTCCACTACTGGCCACAGCACTGGGCATCCGACAACACCGACGCCTCCGACCGCTTGACAATCCAGATGGGAACCTCACTCGCCTACCCACCATCATCAATGGGATGCCACATCTCCAAGGTTCCCAACGGAGCCACGCAACGTAACATTTCCATGGAATACCGCGCTCACGTCGCTCTCATGTGCGGCTCCTTTGGTTTCGAATTGAACCCCGAAGAGCTCAGCGCGGACGAAGCCTCCCTCATCCCCAGCATCATGGAGGAGTCGGCATTGGTGAACCCGCTCGTCATCTCCGGAGACTTCTACCGTCTCGCGCTCCCCGATCACTCCAACTGGCCGGCGGTGCAATTCGTCTCCAAGAGCAAAGATGAATCCGCCGTCTTTGCTTTCCAGCAAAAGGCTACGTTGAAGCCTGCACCACCGCCATTGAGACTACAGGGTTTGGACAAGTCGGCGAGATATGTCAACACCTATGACAATGCGACGTACAGTGGTGCTTCGTATATGAATGCGGGTCTGAACATCGACTTTGCGCAGGCGGATTACAAGAGCAAGTTGTTCTATCTGCGCAAGGTTTGAGATGGGTTGTTGGTAGCATTGGGTGGATAGCCAGCGTTGTGTATGCTAGCATGTATGAGTTATGTTTGAACGACATCATGTCTTCCTCCTTCTTCTCTCCGTGACTGTGGATTGTTGCAAGGTTCACTGGATCTATCACGTCTCGAGGCTGGTGAGCTGGTCCTAGAGGCTGATGAATGGATCAGACTCGTCATTGGGAAGTTCCGAGCGAACCGCAAACCGTCTAACAAGTCATAGCGTACCACGAAATGATATCTTCCGATTTCATCAATCATCATGGAGGGAACAGCGCATCAACCTCTGATGAAGCTGGACAAAACCCGGAGTGAGAGAAGAAGTGCGACTTCATGTGCTGCCCAATTCGTCTCAAAAGGGCCACTGCTCAAAACGGCATATCTTACAAAGTCTCGGCATTCATACTCAATCTTCGACGTCAGATCTCCATCTCGTAGTGCATATGAAGTCTAACGGCAGCAGACAAGCTCTGCGTTATATTAGATTACGCTCGCCGTTGTCGGGGTTGCGTCAGCCCGAGCATTCCCTTGAGCTTTACTCTCGTCGAGTATCTGATGCGGTTCTTGCTTTCGACTCCTTCATACGACTACCAACCCGACGAAGATGCCATGCCAAATGATAGATCACTGTTGCGATTCCTGTGATGGAGAAATGCTCAAGACGGTTGGGTTGTTGACATTCCAGGCCTTGGCATACGATGAGCAGATTGAAGTTTAAGCACGCCCACCGTTGACGTCGTTTGAAGATCTCGATGTAGATTGTGCACAAGCTTCCATGGTTCGTCAGAGTCGGGTGTCTCAGGAGACTACTTTTYTTTAATTCTCCATACGAAAACTACGAGATGGTGAGCAAGGCTGACGAACAAGCCAAGCAAAATTCGAGACTTGTCACTGAACAGATCTTGATGATGCTTGACCATCAAAGAACAAGGGCTTCGAGCAGGGATGCAAGACGCTTCATCCTCGGCCTCGCGTGTACTGTACTGTACTGTACTCCTCTTTTTCCCTGCACCTTGAGGACAGGTCAGCTTCTCAAGTTGACCTACAACGAGGTCTGAAATCGTCTGAAAGCAGTCACAACGCCGCGATTCTTGCGGGATGTACCGCATACAACAGTCGGCGGATTGCGAGCGATTCGACGTGCTCGCCGCGGCGGGGTTGCCAATCCAAGCACCAAGCCCAGGGCTGTAGATGTACAGTGAAGTGTACCCAGCTCGACATKCGGCGGCGTCCTCGTCCTGACGGCTCACAGCTCTTTCTATTCGTTGACGTACATTTTTCTTTATGGGGCCGAGATGCCTTGCCTTTGTTCTGGCTCGGTCTGTCCATTCCAAAAGCTCTCTTCCGGGCCGCATCCACGCGATCGGTGAGGGGTTTGTCCTAATCCGGACTGGACTGGGTGGACGAGTGCAAACGAGCGCAAACTCTAGACTGCAACACTTCACCAGACATGGAGCGTCAGGTGATGATGAGGAAAGACTATTGGCCAGTTCGCGCAGTGAGATCGCCGAGGCAGGCGTATGATTTAGAGTTGGCTCTCGTGGAGATTTAGCTTGGTACCAACGCCACCGGAATGGAGTCTGTGGAGTGGAGGCGATCCGCTGGGAAATTCTGGGGAACGCCCGAACCACCGAGGCAAATCTGCCGCAAACGGCGAGCATTATATGAGATGAATGGCCGCGCTCGTGCCCACGGTTTGGGAGCTTGTTCGTTGTTCCTACCTCACCACTGACTGACAACGCCTTTTTCCACCATGGAGCAGGATTTCGCAACGGCCGAGAAGGCACAGGGTCGCTACAATGCGGAGAGCAACAGCAGTGGCGAGCACTTTGACAATGCTCTCCGCCCCGAGTTGACCCACGACAGTGTTCTGGGGATGCAGTCTCACGGACACTTGGGTGATGGGGACGACAACCCTTATGTTCACCAGCATGTATGTGGGACGATTTCATCAATCAACGGCCTCGGWACTGACAAACGAGACAGATGGATTTCCAGCTTCTCTGCTCCCTCACCGCCATGTCTTTCCTCTGGGTCGGATCACAAATTCCCCTCTTTCTCTTTGGCAGCGTTCTTCCTGACATTTACGGCGAAATCGGCGGTGCTGGAGGACGATGGATCTGGCTGGTCRTTGGATACCTGATTCCCAACGCCGCCCTGTGCCCCTTCGTCGGAGCAATGTCGGATTTGTTTGGTCGCAAGTGGGTCGCAGCTGTCGGCCAAGTCGCTCTGATCATCGGACCAATCGTCGTTTCAACAGCACATGACATTAACATCGCTATTGGTATGCATTTCTTGCACGGCTGTAATCATGACACACAGACAGCGCTAACAATATCCTACAGCCGGACAGGTCATTTCTGGTTTCGGTGCCGGCTTGAACGAGCTCATCGCTCTCTCTGGAACTTCTGAGCTCGTGCCCGTTCGCAAGCGTAGCACTTACGTCGGAGGCGTTGTCTTCACCATCCTCCCCTTCTGCCCGTCCCCTCTATGGGCACAGCTCATCGCAAAGGCCTCCAACTGGCGATATGTCGGAATCTTGGTCGGAGTGTGGWACTTCATCGGTCTTCTCCTCGTCGTCTTCCTCTATAAGGACCCCGCAGCCCGATACAACGCGAAGCGACCAGTCAAGGATGTCCTCAAGGAGATTGATTACGTCGGTGGATTCTTCAGCATCTTCGGTATCACCTGCTTCATGATGGGCCTTCAGTGGGGAGCTTCGCAGTACACCTGGGGCAGCGCCCACGTCTTGGTTCCCTTCATCCTCGGTATCGTCCTCATCATCTGCTTCTTCATCTGGGAGTTCAAATTCGCCAAGTTCCCCATGTGCCCCAAGGGCATGTTCAAAAAGGACAAGCAGTCAATGATTGTGGTCCTCCTCATCACCTTCTTCAGTGGAGGCAACTTTTTCGTCATTCTCCTCTTCTGGCCCACTCAGGTTTACAACATGTACGGCAATGAACCCATTGGCATCGGTATCCGCACACTGCCAATTGGATTTGGTATCATCTTCGGCGCTCTCATGGGTCTGGTCTTGATTGGTGTAACCAAGGGTCGCACCAAGGGTCTCATGATCTTCCTCACAATGGGCATGACTGGATTTGTCGGTGCCATGTCTGCGGCCAGACTCGACAACATCACGCCGTTGGTGTACCCAATCATCACTCTTGCCTCGATCTTCACCGGCGCAGTCATCATTCCATGTTCGATTATTGCGCAGATTGTCTGCCCCACCGAATTCATTGGAACCGTCACTGCCATCACGCTCGCCATTCGATACATCGGAGGTGCCATTGGATTCACCGTCTACTACAACGTCTTTTACCACAAGCTCAAGGGCGAGTACCTCAAGCCACTCGCTACCGAGGCCCTTCTGCAGGGACCCTTGTCTGTCAACATTATCAGCGTTGAGCAAGTTACTTCTGAACTCACGAAGCTTTTCACCTACGTAAGCTTGCAATCTCTCGCATTTCTAGGTGCACTCGACTAACACACTTGCAGGCCGCACAAGCCGAGTATAAGCAATTAGAAGATGCCATCCAAACCGGAGGCTTCATTCTCGACTCCAGCAAGGCCACAGCTTACGACATTGTAAGTCCACCCGCAAAAATCTTCTCCCTTTAACAAATGCTGACTACTGCGCAGATAATCAAGTACACCCAGATGGGTTTCGAACAGGCGTACAGGTGGCCATACTGGATCAGCATCGGATTTGGAGGTGTATGCATCGTGTGCTCGTTCTTCATGGGAGACATCCGCAAGCATATGTAAATCGCATTTCGCATTGACGGCCGAAGAGAGAATCAACGACAGAGGCGCAGGTGACCCTACGGGGTATGCCTACCTGCTTGTACAGACTCAATAACGAATCCAAAAAATACAGAATTCTCAACACAGCATACCACGTCTTTCTGAAATCCAAATTGGTCTTGTTCATGGCGGAATGTAATGTCGCAGATCTGTCTCATGGACTTGCTTTGCATGGTGTAGGCGAGCATTCAACATGCAACGGCATCTTGCTGGACTTCCACCCTCCGCTGCCGTTCGAACATGCCTAGGATATGCAAGTACATGGATACCTTGCGACAAAGCGAGGACCCCGAGGACCCCGAATCACAGCAGCTGATCACCTTCCCCACACTCCCCACACGTAGTTGGTGCCCCACAGATAAGCGTCCCCCCCCACACTCAATGTGGCCAGTGAAAGTGAAGGTTGCCGCCCTACCTACCTCCTTTCTGAACACACCAGCTAACTCCCCAGACCTCCAGCCTATTGAACACCTTCATAAGGATGAGAAGAAGATGCTAAAGGACTTCAGGCTCTCTGTTACAGGTACTGGTCAAGTTGTTCAAGAAACAGCTGAGTTAGAGATTCACTTTGTTTGGACTGAGAATGAGGACTTCAACAACTGTGTAAGCCACAGGTGTTCAATCAACTAGCTAAAAAGATTAGCCAGAAGCTCAATGCACAGTGAACCACCCTACGGTAGTAGATACAAGGACAGTATGTAGTTGTTGAGAAAATGAAGTTACAACACCATCAATTAGCTTCAGAATCCATGCCAAGACCTCAGACTTTTGCAGGAGCGGAGGTACCGCTCGCCTTCTACTGCGAACGTACGAACTTGCCGGCTGAGAGAGGCGACTAACCGATTAGCATGTATCCATGTCGTCCTCGCTCGGTACCTTAGCTCTCCAGTCTTCCGTTGCCTCGAGCAAACTCTTGAAGACCATCTCCTTAGCCTTAAGGAGCATGTCGCTAATGGGCTAGCATCGGTTCTGGTAATGGCTCCGAAGCGATCATTTGACTTCGCAGCAATCTTGGTATTAAAGTACGCGTGATCTTAAGTAATGAAGACTAGTGAGGAGGAGTAGTACCAGTTTGACAAACATTCGTCCGTCTGAGATTTGTGGTACAAAGGGGAAACATCCTCTACAAACGAGATCATAAACGAGATGGCCTTTGTAATCATACGCTAAGCGCGTTCTTCGTTCGCCTTAACGAAGCCCGTAATAGCTCCATAACCTATGTTAGTTCCGAGGAGGAAGACGTGGGTAGCGTCGCTAAGCTCGACGTAGTTTTCCCACAGATACGTTAGAAGTTCAGGTACACACAGGTAGGCAACAGGCAAAAAAATCCTATATTTTTCCCCAATAACGACAGGATGATTTTGAAGAAAGACTTTGTTCGATGATTAGATATTTCAATTATACGTATTTGACTCTCTTCGTAAGTCTACTTCTTTTTATGCTTAGAGCTATATGTTCGTTAGCGTTGTCGTCGATTCACTACTAGGAGAGGCGGTAACCTTCACATCAATTTCGGCGGCCCTTACACAAGAGTCATGACATATAACTCTACTAGTCCGCGGCACATTCTGTGCTGTATGATCATTACCGCAATAGCTTTAGATGCTTGTAGTGGCGCTGGATTGTCTGCAGCCTGACCAGCGGCAGCAAGCACGCCCTGCTTGCGACTGTTACGGTACTCGTCGCGTTCGGCCACAGTGGCCTTGATTCCCTCAGGGCCTTGGTTGACAGTCGCGAAACCCTCAGGCTGTTTGAAAACTTCCGATTCATCATCTCTCCTCGTCGCTCTCGTGCGGTTCCTTCTTGATTCCAATGGAGTCGATCAGTTCTTCTCCGCCCAGGAAAACTCCGTTGTGGTACACGGTGTACCCCGTTTGCTTCAGTGCAAAGTGCGACTTCGCCTCGGAAGCGACCTGAGATAGCTTCAACCAAGATTGCTCACGCATTGAAAAGACAAAACCCCGCCCCTATTCTCTGCGAAGACATCATTCGATGACATTTAATCATTGGTATTCGACTCTCCACAAGGTTGCTGCTTTTTATGCTGATAGCTCCCGGTTCATGAGCGTTGTGGACGATTCACCACAAAGAGGGGGAGGCGGCAATCTTCAATTTCGGCGGCCCTTGGACCTCAACACATGCATTTCGTAATATATATACAGTTGATACGACAGAGGCTTCAAGCTGCCAGGTTCGTCCTCGCAACAGGTTCCATGCCGGTCTTTGCAGCCATGGTTTTCGTCCATTGCTTCATGGCTACCTCTCGACAAGCCGTCTTCTCACCCTCATCGGCATGGTCATGATACCCTTTGCAGATGTCTTCCCGCCATGGAGGGGGTTTGGACTTGGACTTTCTTCGAGACTCGACTTTCGCTCCTCTACCATTCTGCATCCATCGCTTCATGACCTTGGCGCAGAACTCATCGGGAAAGCGATCGAAGTCGTCGCTCTCTAAGGTGATGGCCTTTTGGAATACAGTGGTCCAACACCAGGCTGCCTCGTCGACGAGAAATCGACAGAGTGCAGAGTCGGGTGGGAGATTGGAGAAGGCTTTGTTAACGAGCTCATGGGAAGCCGAAAGCCATGGCCATCCTGTTTCGCGCTTTTCCGCCAGCATGTTGATGATGGTGTTGCGAAGCTGTGTGATTCCTCGCCGGTCGGAGAAGACGAAGAGGTCTACGAGCATGTGTTGAGTGCGGCAAATGGTGTCGTAGGTGGATTCGAACACTGTGCTTGTCAGTAAAGGCCTTAGCCATTGGGAGAGTGTCGTGCGATAGTCACCTCCTGTGGAACTCTTTGGTTGGGAGACTTGGTCAACTGCTTGGACGAGTCTGTTTGATGCGCACACGGTCAGCATGTCAGAAGCATAATGATGGCTATACAACGGGGCGGTACGCAGCGTTCTAACAAGGAAATGTCGACCATCAGCTTACCTCTCGGATGCACTCTTCTCCTTCCACGCTTGCAGGTCACTCTTGAGATTGTTTGAGTAATCCTCGTATTCTCTGTGGTCTGCAGGCAATGGCAGATAGACCTCCTTCKCGTACAGAAAATCGAGGAAGAGCGCAAAGTCGCAGACAGTCTCCCCTCTGAGGTCGAGTTCGTTGCTCGCGGCTTCCAGGAATCCGCTCCGCAGGGCGCCCCTGCAATAGTCGGAATATTTCTGGATCAAGCCTTTGTGGACACGAAAACGTAAGCGTTCGAATCCAACGACCACGGTCACGTACGACCGGTAGTCGTCATGGATCTCCGAGCTGGGCATGAGCATGATCGTTGCCTTGTCAATGGCGTCGGCCAGTGACTCCGTCACCTCTTCGCTGTAGTCTTGGAGATAGAAGAGAACCGAGCGGCTGCTCCATGCATCTTCGGACATTCGATCTACGGGCAACGTCCCGAGGTCTCTCTCCTTGAAAACCACCTTCAAAGCCYGATAAACATAGTCATCAGGGAATTCCCAGAGCCTTGGAGWTATATGAACGGCGTGCAAGAAGACGGAGGCTTCATCTGCAAGGTATGATTGGATGGCGGCTCCGGCAGTGAGACTAGAGTACAGATGCGCGATCGCTCCTCTTGTTGTGGTGCGACTGAGTTGACAATTCTGCGAGTGCAACACGGCGAGAGCGGTGACCTTCAGCGCTGGGATGTCTTCGGCCGCGGCAAAGGTGACCAGCCGGGCCAGTTCTGCGTCCGGTACAAAGTCTGCAGCAGTATCACCGGCTTCTGTACCATCGACGAGGCGCTCCAGGTCGTCGTTGGATGCTGAGCTGGTTGAAGGGCCCAGCGGAACCAGGAGACCGGTGTGAAGCCATGTGACGAAGATGGTGAAAAGGGACGTGGGGAGATGTTCGAGTTCGACAACACGGCCTCCCGTAAGGCCATCACACTCGGCAACCGAGTTGCTGATGCGCTTCTCAAAGGAAGGACAACTCAGACGCAGACTGGTCAGGAGGACTAGAAACTCCGTCTTCTCGGCGCCGACCTTGAAAATGTAGTGCGGGACCCAAAGACCGCTGAAAAGGAGTCAAGATCGAGTATGGGAAGTAGGCAAGGAACGTCCGTCCACCCTCGACTTACAAGTAATGCGTGCTTGCGCGCGCCAGAGCAGCTTCTGCGGCGACTTGTTCGTACCGTGCATCTTCTGCCACATTCTCAGGCAGCTCAACTTCTGGCTCCTGGACCGACTTTGGTCGGAAGGGGAGAGTCGTCTTTCTGCCACCCGCCAAAGGCTGCTGCTGTGGGGAAGTGTCGAGCATGTCGATTGTTGATGCTTCCATTTGCATGTCTGGTGGACGCGTTTGGACGCGTGGGTGGAGAGAGGATTGCGGCAGAGCTCCGGAAGCATGACCTTCGCCGTCATCGCTGCTCCCTGATTATTATTGTCCTTCCCTGCAGGTGGACACCACTCCCCCCTCACCTTTCCTATGATACTATCCTCTTCTTTCAATCATTCGCCTCGACTCAAGCAGATGGTATCTCTGGTCTGCGGGCCTACCGTATCATCTTGCTTTGACGAATAGGGGGAAATGAAATCGAGCATTCTCCCCCGTATGTAGTGTAACAGTAGCAAGATTCGGTACCTGTTGGTTCGAATCCAGTCCAGGTAGGCGTTGCTTATGGCAATCATTTGATGTTCACAGTTGTGTACGTAGGATCCATCACAATATCACGTTTGCGATTTGGTACTCGAAGCAAGATAGTCTGCCAGGGGAGTAGAGCGCGAGATTGACTAGCTTGGCCTTGTCGTCTTCCCAATTTGACTCCTATTTCTCTCTCCATCATCAATTCATCCTCCTTGGACTGTCGAAGCGCCATCTAATATCACGCGAAACATGGCCCTAGAACAGTCACCGCAAGTGTCAAGCAGCCTCGACCGCAAGAAGTATTGCGCGCTGGAGTGTACCGCTGCCATCCAAGGAAACGCTGTCCCAGAGGCACTCGGCCTACCTCTCACCCGGCTGTGCGTCATTCGAGGAATCCGCCACCACGATGGATACGCCCACCATCTCAGAGGAGTCAGCAGTGATTTCACACGAGCCCTGAACGCTCGAGACATCATGAGCGACCGCATCCCAGTGATGCGCTCGAGCGACGAATACCCGTACTGCATCTGGCATCCAGATGTGGCTTCCGAGGAAACATATCGCCAAGTGGCGCACAAATATCCGTCGATGAAGTACCAAGTCGGACGGGCTTGTGCCGTGGCAGGGTACYACAAGCTGTATCAAGAGCTCGACCTCCTCCCGGACGTTCACATCGCCGAAGAAGCTCGCGAGTCCGGAAACTTCGCCATCTTCGAGGACATCATGTCAAAGCGGAAGAGGTACAGCATCATGGATGACTATGACCGGTCGATCAACACCAATGACCCCCAAGAGGGCCACATGAACGGCGACACAGCTGTACGAGCTTCACTCGAAGTCAAGCAGCGATACCGTGAGGCAAGTATCCCGATAGATTTCGACGATGGGGAGGAGATTTTGGACCTTTCCGGCGGTCCCGGCTATGACACGAACCCATTCAACATCACCGAAGATATGAACATAGATGTCTCAGACTCCGAGTACCCATGCTATACTGCCCGCCACGATGTCGCACATGGCGAGCTCCTTCTTGAGCTACTCACGAGTCCACTCCCCGTCGATCTACCCACTGTCGATAAGGACCTCCTGATTTGCATGGCCGCCTATCATGGTGACTTGGACCGCTACGCGCGGCTCCGAAGACCGTTTATGGTCCCGGGAGAGCTCCACAGCTGCGTACGCGGCATCTATCACAACACCATGTTTGCAGTCTGGTGGTCGAAGCAAGACCACGTTCCGCATGAGTCCGGCTACGGGATCAGAGAGGCCGTCGTCGCACGATTCATCATGAACAACAGTCTCTCAAAGGCACCTTCCTCGCTGTTCTGCGATACCCCATATCTCATTTGGTATCCGAATGTCGCTGCACGATCAACATACGCTAAGCTGGCAGAGTTGTCACCACGCATGCTTCCACAGATTCTTCGAGCTTGCATTGTAGCCAACTACCAAACACTTTTCGACACGCTGATGGCCGACAATACCATCATACCAGACGACGCTTTGCTCGGAGAAGCCGGAGAAAGCTACAATCCCCACTACAAGTCAAGTCTCGAAGCTCAGATTGAGGCTGTTGGAAAGAGGGAGATGGGATCATGCGAGAAATGGAAACTGGACACGCATCGTAACTTGATGTACCGCTGCAACAATCTCTACAAGACAGCGGGATTCTCAACAGCAGACACGTGGGACTCCCTCTACAACGGATACGGATGTAATGCTTACAGTCTGGAGCTTCTGGCCTGTTTGCCGGCCGAGTGGAGGATACCAGAGGGTGAAATAATGTGTATGAATGTGGACTATGTCAACTGGCCGGTGCAGAAGACGGGAAATAAGTGAGGTCCATATTGTCAGAATGTAGCTTTGGAGGTGATTCTTGTGAACAATTCGTATGAGAGAATCATCCAAAAAATCCGCGCCCTGAACTGCCCCCCTCTCCGTTAGAATAACAGGGCACTCTGCTAGTGATAAAGGTTCTAGCAGCTCTAGAACCGTCAATCTCTGCGGAGTGCAAGGCCTAAAGACGTCACGAAGACGACTGGAAGTGTCTTGTCTCGATGAAAAATCCTTATATCGACAGCTCTGCTCCTCGAACTGATCTCTCTATTCGCAAAGTCGATCAATCACCATCACTCCTCCATGCCTCGGTCGCGACGCCCTCACCATACAAGCACCCTGTCAAGAGTCAATTAAATGCGTCTCTGCTCATTCGTCTGGCAGCCATCTCTCTCTGCCAACAAACGATCTCTAATCGGCAGTCTCTCACCCATGGAAATACCGAATGACCACATCACCAATGAATCGATGTCCACGGATCGGCATACATTTACTGAGACCTCAGGACTTCGCTTCCCCATTCCCAGATGTATCGAGCACCATCGAACAGGCGAAAGGATGCTAATAAAAGTGACCCTCTTAATCCTGGCGAAGTCTTCATGAGCAGCTTTGCTAGAAGTGTAATCAGAGCTATCGATATGAGAAAATCTTCAAAAAGAGCAGCGCACTGAACTGCTCTCTCGATTGATTAACGGCCACTCTGCTAGTAGCAGGGATTCTAACAGGCTTCAAATCATCGAACCTGTAGAGAGCGGGGCCTCGGGATATTATGGACATAACTGAGGATGCATTTTCCTGATGAATGATCCTCATATCGACAGCTCTGAGTGTAATGTTGAACGAAAGTCTACTCGAGACATGATTGATCATTGTGGGCGATGCATTTCTTCGAATCAGAAATAGCGATGATGAAACCCAGAAAAACTCGCTCTAGGCTGCGTCCGCAACCGCGCAATATCATCGCCATAGCCCTTGACGTATTCTCGACAGTCGCAAGCGTTGTACTGCGTAGAGAGAGCATTTCCAAGGATGAGTGATTGCATAAACACTATTACTTTGGAGAAAAGAAAGACAAGGTGAGTAAGGGAGATCTGGAACGATACAATGATATAATATACATCAATTAAAAAATCTGTCGTGAATGCTTCCCAGAGAAAGAGTTAGCAGCGACATCAAAGCCGCCATCTCAACTCCCTCCACCACTTAATCTCCGTCTCACCTCCTGTTTGATATTCGTACTACATATACATCTCACCACCCATCCGTTAAAAGACAAAGGAAATTCGTCGTATTCGTTGCTGCTTCAAAAGTCCAGCTCTCAAAAGTGCTCCAAAAAGGAATCACTCAGTGATTTGTCCTTCAAAAATCRTATGCGAGAGGAGTCCCTGCTCCTCCACATTTAGCGCGCAGAACTAGCACACCTCTGCGCGTCCCCAAAGAATCCTTGTCCTTGGGTCATGATAGGTGTGGGTCTCGCGCTCATGCCCATAGTCGCACGTGCGCTATGTACGGAAGCCGTGTCCGAGTAGAGAGTGCTGGTGAAACTGCGGACGGAATGAGAAGGTCGGATTGATTGGTAGTCGGAGAATGCATGGCCCCAGATGGGGGATTCCGGGGAAGCGGGAGTTGCAATATCGGGAGAAGTGTTGCGGTATTGTTGCAACTTTTGCATTTGGGGCACGGTGAGACTTTGTGTCGTTGGTGTGTATGGGCGGAACTCGGTCGAGGTTGGGATGGCGGGGGGCACGGGAAATCGAGCAAGAGTAGAGTGGCGGAGCTCTTCCGTGTCGGGTGATGGTGGGAGTGCTGGGACGCTCTGCGGACGTTGTTGTTGTTGATGGTAAGGATGATTATGGGGGTAGCTCCAGCGTCCGAGGTCTTCGGGAAGAGGGGGGTGAGATGGGGCATTCTCGCTGACTGGGAGTAGGTTTCGTGGGAAGCCGATGGAGCGAGCGGAGATGCGGAGAGCGTTGGCCATTTGTACAGAAATGCGAAGCTCGGATGCTGGTCGGGCAGCTCGTCGAGATGGCGGGAGCTGATAGCTCAGTCGTGCCAGTCCCGCGGGTAGATTGGGTAGTTCTGGAGCAGGTTCTTGAATGTATGGTGGTGGAGGCGTTTCGAAGATGACAACGCCGGGCGTGGTTGCCAAAGTCTGCGGCGGGCTCTCTTCCACAGGTTGCTGCTCTTGCTCCCCGCTGAAAGGTCGAGGCTGACTTTCGTAGTATGGATGATTGTGCAACGCTGTGCTGATGGGGCCACTGATGAAGGAACTACTGCTGCTGCTTCTACTACTGGCTGTGCTGCTGTTGCTACTACGAAGTAGGCCGAGCTTCTCCCTCCAGATCGGTTTTGAGCTGGCGTTGCTATTGGTGCGACTTCTGGTGGGGCTGCGCCACTTGTTGAGCACAACTATGGCTATGATCCCTAGAACGACGKCAACACCGATCGGGACAGTGACTGCAAGTGCGAGGGTAGTGGTGGAAGGTCCATGATCGGAGCTTATCTCTGCGCTGGTTGCTCCCGAGACGACAGGTGGACCTGGGTTGGTGGTGATTGCTGTTGGCCGTGGAGAAGTTGAGTCAAGCAGCGGGGTGCCTCCTGAATTACCTAATGGCATGGCTGTCGGGATCATTCTGTCAACTGCCGTTTGTGATCTGATGTCTCCAAACGGACTCGATGATGTCTGGGGGATCCAAGGAAGGGGAAAATTGTTCTCCCCGACCTGCGGGATTCTTCTCATCATGGCACCCATGGTGGTTTTGAGAATGCGTCGACGTCGATCCTAAGCCCTCAAGGTTGGAGCGTTGTTCGCTGTCTCGCGTGGTCTGGATCTGCCGAAAGCTAATCGTAGTGGAATTGACTGCTGGAAGTAGTTGTGTCGGAAGTTGGGCTAGAAACGAGCGTGGCAAAAGGTAAATGAGGAACTTCTTGTCGACACCAGGTCGATCGTGCAATGTCTTCGATGGCTGAATCGACTTTATTGAACTCTGATGAGAGAAGGTTCAACTGGCAACGACTGGAGTCTGCTATAAGTAATATACTCCTGCCCCTTCTCCCAAGACGCGTCCTTTGGCAGTTTGCGACTGTTGTAGCTGTTATGAACTGTTGTACAACGATCAAGTTCATATCGCTTGTCAACCGATTTTAGCGCGTACCAGGAATTGCGTACCGAATTTGTTACTCGTCAACGGCCGTACCAACTTGCATCAAACTACCCCAACTTTTCGCCGCACCTGAGGCCGCTCTGCCACGGTGAACATTTTGCGATGATGCGAATTCAAAATGCTGTTTTGCAGGCGATCGACATGCAACATGTTGAAAATCATTGATTAGGGGTCATGGTCAGAGACCTTGTTGAGACGCCGGCCGAGTCTCGTAATGTCGATGGCCATAAATTGACCAACTCGTCGTTTCTCTCAGCTTGCAACGGCGTGCCAAGGCTGTGCTCAACTGCTTGGCGGTTTCTACACCAATCTCCAGCATCTAGCAATCCAGCGTGCGCTGCAGAGAGTCCTGTGATTGATGAGCTGTGTACTGTCATGCTCTCTATGGAGGCAAGTGTAGCGCCCTGAGCGGCACAAACACTTCGGCACACGTCTTCCTGCCTTTCGCTACGGACTTGAAGAGCGATGAGCAAAGCTTGAGTGTGCATCACTTGATCGTATTGTGCTGTACAGTCCGAAATAGTTCTGCGGTGTAGGGATACTCGGAGCATGCAGGCTTGTTTCAACAAGCAACGTCTCCTGAGTGGGTCAGGCACTGACGGAGCTGCCTTGATGAGTTCAAAGACCACTTTGACACTTGGTCTAGATGGTGCTCGCTTGGTACCGGATTGTTCGCCTGCCTTGCACAGCGACAACTATAGCTGAAACAGGGACTGTGGCGAGAACAGCCCATGCCGTTGTCGTTGAGAGTCCAGATTCCCGTATCTTCCCTCTATGCACTCACATGGCGCCGCAGTCTTCTCGGTGTCTCGGTCCTGCCAGCAGTTGGTACGTTGCAGTCTGTTCCAATCAAATCCCGGTCTTCGCATTGGCCAGCAGCATACGGGCAAACAACTGCTCGGAATAGCAGACCATATGCGATTCTTCGCTGGCTTTCAACACGGGCATGCTGTTATGCCGACTGCTCCCCGCCAGCGTCTCAAACCACACATGGAATCCATGAACGTGTCAGTTTGGCCACGCTGCTGACTTGTATGGAATGAGCGTCTTTCTCATCTTGATAGAGTTGAACTGTCTCCGCCAGTGAGGCCAACGAGGACCTCGCAGCACGAGGCATATTAACGTCTTGCGGTACATCTTTGCTGCTTGTGTTTGCATGTCTTCTCCTGCATTTGACTACTCCTGCGTTTGAGGCCACGGACGTGGCGTGCCACATTTCCAGGCATGGTGGTTAGAGGGCGGGTTGCTAGCAACCGTGATTCCCACAGTGCGAGGGAAGATGGTATGGCATAATTCCATGCTCGCTCTGTGCAATCAAAACTTGGACAGCATCAAGTCGACGTCAGTTCATCGTCGTCGATGTCGTTGTGGTGTAGGTGTGTCGTGGGGCTCGTCAACCTGGCCATGTCGTCGCGGAATGCTCGGCACTTTCGGCCCGATGGGGGAGAAGTGTTCCTTCCGCACACCTTTGACGAGCATGACACTTACCAGATATACTACCTAGTTTATGATGATGGTTGTCACACGCGCACCCGCACCAAGCCACAAGAGAGAGCACGAGAGAAAACTGTTGCCATGAATGATTGACTCGTAAGGCCCAACGCCCTACTCGACCTTCCTTTCTACCTCCTACCATCTATCAACCGGCGAACAACACCGACAAGACAAGGTGCGGCCCTCTATCACATGTACCCAAAGAGGTCTCGCGACGCTCCCTCTACTCAGCGGCTGTGAGAGGACAATCACCAGGCCGAGGTCGAAAGAGCATTATAAGAGACGAGGAAGAGCGCTGCAACACGAGGATTGTCAAAACGACGTGCGATTCAATGGGAGATACCAATAACATTGAAGACAGCTGTTTGGCAACTTTCAACAGCCACCAGTCCTCCGTCTTGGCCTTTCTCGTCAACAGCTTTGCTCCTTCTCTCGGGACATCCGCTCTGACGGTACCACGAACTATGGAAGGGATATCATGCATGGCCATGCTTTCCTTCCATTTCATAATCAGAAAAATCACAATCTAGGTGCTTTGGTGTAGTGCTAACATGGCGGAGAGGCCTCGCCACTGGTCGTTCGTTGAAGTATCGAGGTGGAATATGGCTTTGAAGTCTCAGGTTCAATTCCTGAAGGCCCCCCAATTCTTTAAGATTTCTTGATGGGCATCTGTTTCTCTTTTACTTGCTTGAGCGACATACGAGTGGGTTTGAGCCGCGACTGTTCTCGTCTGCTTCAATTGTCATAGGAAAACAAGACCTTTCTGGAACAAAAACGGTCATCCATCCTCTGCACCTYCTCCTCAGCAATGTGAAGCTTCCATGTCAATCGGTCGCGACCAGGGTGATTCCCATCGTCCAGACGGAAGGACGAGGTAAGAAGAGACAGATCAACGGGCTGGATTCAGAGCACAACGGCATTTCTGCTGAACCTTCCTCCCAAGGCGACTGTCATTCCCGACCTGCCACCGTTCAGTCCGATCTCTGTCACAACAACGCACGTTGATCGAATCCCAAATCATCAGCGCCTACACCTACATATAAAGATCCGCCCACATCTGCCTCCGCTTGCTTCCCATTCTCACGCATGCTTCTCCACGGATGGCTTGTCCTTTGCGCGACAAAGCTGTCGAGTAGGATATCCATCCCTATTCGAATTCCCTTTACCCGGCAGTCCTTCGCCGCCTGTGCATCACCGAGATTCGTATCGCTCAGACAAGGCAATACACGTCCACTGCGCAATGACGAGAAAGCACGCAAATTACTCGACGTTGCGTTTCAGCAAACAAATTTCTCCTTAGTGCGAGGCGTTCAGAAACATTTGACAACATCAAAACGTTGACAACATCAACAGTCAAGCAAACAGCTCGCAGAAATTATTACACCAATTTCAACTCTACGCCGTTGCACCTGCCACTCGCTACAGCCTACATACACGTGATGTGGAACCATGTCGATCTCACATGTGACATCCAGAATTCCTCTGGTTCGGCCGTTGCGAAGCGCATCGACGTGCATAGAACGTCTTTCGAACGTTTGCCACGTAATAAAATGCACTCGTTGCAGTACGAATTATCACGAAACAATCCATACAATCTCCCACAAACTTTCTCAAGTCCTATCTCAATCCATTTCTCATCACAAATCGCACGGCGATGCAAGTGTCCTGATTAATCATCACAATTTCGGCGTTGCCTCTTAGTTCAACCAACCACCACCACAATCATCCGGCACCAGCAGTAACCGAGTCGAGCTCAGGCAAATGAAATGCCGGTAGCACAGAAATACACTGCCGTACTTTAGCGACCTACTAATCGCCTTCTAGTAACCGATCGCCTCGCCTTCTTGGGGCGGGGTACTTCTACTCTCTACGGATGTGAGAGTCTCTTTTAGACCTCGCATCAATGATAGTGACATCAACAACCACAATGACTTCCCCCATAGATTTCGTTGAAGAAATATACCGTCCAGCGTTCAAAGATGGCTATGCATACATCTCCTATGGATTACCCTTTACAACCGCTTGCGCGAAACATATCGATGAGACGTTCCAAGCCTCCCGGGTGTATATCATTGCTTCGGGGTCTCTGGCAAGAAACACTAATCATGTAATCCAATTGCAGAAAGCTTTGGGAATGAAAGTGGTGGGCACGAGAATTGGGATGAGACCGCATACCCTCTGGTCGGAGATTCTGGAGATAACGAAGGAGGCGAAGAGTTTGGATGCTGATATCTTGGTTACGCTTGGAGCGGGGTCTTTGACTGATGGTGCAAAGATTATCGCTTTGGTGAGTGAGTGGAAGATTTCACCACTGCATGTTCTATGGGATGCGGTAAAGGCTGACTGATATCCTCCTCAGGCATTGGCCAACGAAGCCTACACTTTTGAAGATCTAGATCGTCTACACGCGGGAGACGACTGGAGTCAACAACGCAACGATATCAAGAAACCTGAGCTCCCAATCATCAGTATCCCAACTTCCCTCTCAGGCGGCGAATATTCCTTCCTAGGCGGCGGAACGAACGATAGAACCCATCAAAAACATGGTTTTGGTCATCCAACCCGAGGTCCCGCACTGGTGATTCTAGACCCACTATTAACAACCACAACCCCCGAGAACGTCTGGCTACAATCCGGCGTTCGAGCAGTCGATCATTGTGTAGAAGGCATGTGTTCACTTTCAAGTACCCCGGAGAGTGACGCTGATGCTGCGGCGGGCTTAAAACTTCTGGTACCGGGATTGTTGAAATGTAAAGCCAATGGACAGGATGTTGATGCGCGAATGAAATGCCAGATGGGAGTCATTGAGGCGATGAAGGTCGTCTTTCAGCATGGTGTTCCCATGGGCGCTTCACATGGAATTGGTCACCAGCTTGGTCCTCTCGGGGTGGGACATGGGGAGACGAGTTGTATTCTTTTACCGGCTGTGTGTGCTTATAATGTGGGCGTGAATGCTGAGCGGCAGCGGAAGGTGAGGGATGTGTTGTGGGCGGATGAAGATGTTGCTCGGCTTTTCGATGCAAGGGGACTGCAGGACGCAGATCTCAGTCAGTTGCTGGATGTGTTCATCGCAGAGCTGGGCATGCCGAGGAGTTTGAAGGCGGTGGGTATCGGTGAGGACAAGCTCGATTTGTTGGCGGAGAACTCGTTGCGTGATCGATGGTCTGCGACGAATCCGAGACCGCTCAAGTCGAAAGAGGATGTCATGGAGATTCTCAAGATGGTGCAAGGATGAGATGATGGCCCGGGGGCTACTTTCTGTTGGTGAGTTCTACTCTACATATTGGTGACTCGCAAAGTGTTCTAGCAAGCGCAGCACTTTGCATATTGTCACCTCGATTGCATCGAGCACCACATGCGAGCCTGCGACTTACGTATTGCGGCCATCGCGGCATATCCGGGTTTGGGTCGATCCTGTGGTCGAGAGCTCCAAGATGGTTCATCGTTGATGGAGTAGGGTTTGCAGCGATCAGCTCTCCCGACGCGATATGTGGCTGAAATCAACGCAGTCGAATGTCCCGCGTTGGCGTTTGAAATCCTTCCACTTTGGGGGTTCTGCCGTGGCTGAGTGATTCTCCTGCTCGCAGCACTCGACGAACGACGTACAAGGTCCACGTAAAAGGCTGGTATCAAGAATATTATCGATCCTGGCACAACATCTCAATCTCCAACAGGCTCCTTCTTGTTGAAAGTAAATGCCAGCACGCCTTTGACCGTGCCTCCCGCGAACATATCCGAAGCCGTCTCCAGCCTCGCGCCGACTTCCGCCCACTTATCCGGTCCCTTAGGCTGCATGATAATCTCACCACAAGCTTTCAGAAGCATGCGAGCTTTGACCGGACTCAGATTTCGAGCAGCGAAGACATCGAAATCGTTCAACACGCCCCATACAGCAACCAGACACATGACAAGACAGCTCTCTCCTGCTTCGCCTTTGTGCACTCCCCAGTTCGAGGCCATGAGCACGTTGGATGCCATGCGAGAGATGCGTGATTCGAGTTTGGTCTTGATCCAGAGATCCTGAGCTTTGTACATTGCTGGGAACAGGCCGAGTAATCTCCAGCAGATGCGATAGAGAAGAATGTGGGTGGACCAGTAGTGGCCACCGGCTTCAAATTCAGCAATCGTGGCGAAGGCCATAGCGTAGGGAGTAATCTCCCCGATGGAAGGCTCTGCTGTCTTTTTGATCTACACAAAAGAATACCTGTCAGTAAGGTTAAAGTTCAGGCAAGGGCACCAGATGCATGTCAATTCTATCTCGACTTCAGCAATCATTCTTTCATACCGTGACATTATGCAGCAACGCATTCTCTGCTTCGACATCCTCGATCGTGAGGAGTTCCTTGGCTAGGGCAATGGCGGAATCAATCTCTTCGGGTTGAGGGTCTGCCAGGATGGACTTGACCATCTTAATCAGTCTTGGCAGGCGTATGAACAGCTCCATGCTCAGCTTCCTCAACCTCCCTACCACCTGCGACGGTGTTCGTAGCTTGTCCCGAGTCATGACCACAGGTTCTGCTTTGAGCCATCTTGAACTCTCAAATGGAGATGCGGTCCCTTCCACACACGGTCCGATAAAAGCTACAGGCCAAAAGGTGTACACTACAGCTCGCGTCAGCTCGCTGGGTGAATTGCTTTGGGTAATCTTCGACTGCGCCATGAGCAGCGCGACGACCCCAGCCATGTGGGATTTCAACGGGACAGAAGTATAGGCAAAGATCCTCTCAAATGTCACCAGTAATGAGACGGTCAACAGCWTGTCATCTCCCGAGACAGACGCCGCCATTCCCGCCTGCAAGGAGGTAATGGCACGCGCATAACTTCCCAAGCAACTGTCCTGAGTGATGGGAGTCTTTCGCTCGGCAAGTTCGACGGCCTTCACAATCGCTTTGGCCGCACAATCCACGGACTCATTATGCCCAATCCGAGCAGGAAGCAGATCAAACCAGGTTCCGTTCCGCTGAGTACGATGGAGCATGGTGATGACTTCGGTGCGAAGACGAGTGGAGGCCGTGGTAGGCTTATAAGTCGCAAGCGGAGAGACATCATGACTGTCGTATGGTGGTGTGTGCAAGTTCCTCTGAGCACGCTTTTGCTTGTGTGCCCAAGCGCGACCGTGGTTGGAAGTGGCGGTTGTGGCCAGCGTTGCCGTACGTTTGGCAGGATAAAAGTGGCGCGCCGACCGCGCTACGGCCCTCGGGTCGGTGTTCTCATCCGCGACAGGATCGTCGTCGTCGTCGAGGATTTCGTAGATCCAGGTTTCCTGGTCGCTGTCCGGAGGGGTCTGCATCGCGGGAGATTTGACTGCTGGGCCTGCGCCCGCCGAGGAGGATGCAACAGGACAAGTCGCCGCGCGCCCACGGCGAAATGCAAGGTCTTGATGAACGAACGGGTGCCATTTCAGCCTCGCGGGACACTATCCGTCATTAGTGGGCTCGGCCGGTGGAGTGCTCGGTTATTCAGCCGCCGTTCGGTCGTACAGATGAGATGTTGATGGTCATGGGAAGTCGCCATTTCTCGATGATTTTTCCGGGGTTCAGTATGGAGGATCCGAGCAGTTTTGTCAGCCAAGTGAATGTCTGGTGGTGAAGTGCAAGCTGATGGGGACGAAGGAACGCATTGCGCGAAGGAACCGCGATGACAAGGGCTCGGCGGGGCATGCCGCGCCCACTTACGTCGTCTCGCCTAAGTTCGTACCGAGCATGTCATGTCTCAATTCAATATCGCAACACTGGCAGAGCGATGAGAATGGTACAAAGGCGTGAAGTTGAGGAGATCAGCGGAATGTAGATTTGCCACGAGAAAACACGTGGTCCTGTCAATCTAGCAAAGTAACAGCCACGACATGAAAGTTTGTGAATATCGATCAACTTGACATTCCAGACCGTCACATAAAAGAAGGCGGTCATTTTGGCAGCGCATACCCGCCCGAACTGTGCAACACTTATTAGAGGTAGGTATGGAATCCTGGTCATCATACTAAATCGCAGAATGACAGACATCGAACGTGGTCATGACATCTGAAAGCCATGGACCAGCGTGCCGACTAGAGATCGATCGCGTCATTCGCATGATGTCTTTTCCTTCATGCCAACACTATCGACTTGAGTAACAAGGCCCAATGGCTTCTTCGCAAAGCCGGCAGCAAATAGTATCGCAGGCAATCAATATCGAATCTCGCCGACATTTCTCTGACTCTACTCCGACTTTGAACATACCTAAATTACTCGTAGCGACGTGCAGCCAGCTAGCTATACCAGCTCACGCAACGTATAGAAATCCAGAGCACATTCCGCTCACAAGGAACAACACCTACAAATCCCATCAGCATTCATTCAATAAGTTATCCAATTTATCGAAGCGCAGCAATTCAAAGGTTACCAAAAATCAGAGTCTAGAAATCTCCTCAGCCGTCCAGAAGGACATTTATCGGAGTCTAATTAAAACATTTTTTGAAAAGGGTAACATCATGTAGGTAAAACGACGAAGGTCGTTCGTGCGAGTTTTTCGAAGATTGGCATTTAGACTTACATTACTAGACGGTGGAAGGATCGAGGTTGAACGGCGTTGTGGACTCCTAGGTCGCGTTGCTGATAAATTGGAAGAAGTGTAGAGGTGGAAAGCTGAGAGACGGATGAATTTTCTTGGGCGAGGGATGATTGTGCACGGCCGTTCTGAGATTGAGTCGATTCAGGGGGTTGTTTTCGGCACATGGAGATCTCCACTTTCTTCTTCTGTGTGTATTCTCTTGCTCTGCTCGCTGTTAACAGTTCGAACATTTTCAATAATTAACAAAGACATCATCGACTTCGAAACCGGACCAGTTACCGTTATCGTCCCTCGACAGCTTCAACTTATTCTCTCGTGAATCTCTTCCAAACGACTAACCCGTCGATGGCTTTCTCTTGCCAATTCCTACAGCTGTGTTGGTCACCGCGTTGCTTTGACACTGACCATGGCCGGTGAAATCGAAGGTTGCCGCCCTCTCCTGTCCGCTGTAATCAAAAGACTTTAGTGCCCTCCGCACGAGAAGAAAACGATGATGCGACTTCAAAGCCATGACCTCTGCGGATCCAGGAATCTTTGACCGCAGTGACGACTTACCTCCAGCCGGATGGGAGATTCGCTGCTGGGTGAGTGCCTCCTCGGAGATGCTGGTCGAGGATACAAGATTTCTTCTTGAGTACTAAGACACTTTGTCCACCGGCGTCAATCTGCATCTTCCTCACTCTGTCGCTTCCCGTACTCTATGCTTCGGACGGTTGGGAACCTCGCGATATACTCCCCAGAGGTCGTGGGCTGGGATGTCGTCGTCGTCGTTGCCAGTTGTGGTACCGACGGCCTTGTGGATACGCTGTATCTTCATGCGTTCCGCATTTACTCCCAGAAATGGCGTTTTTGTAGGACTGAGTCCGCAGTGTTGGACATCTGCTGGCGGCGCAATACAAGCAGATCTGCTGGCGGCTTCTACGACTGAATACCGCGTTTCGAGGTGAGTGATGTTGGAGTAGCAAATCAAGCAATAGCTTTGTCGATGGTGAAGTGTGACCGTGGTTGAGTCTTGAAGTCGTGTTCTTTTGTGGCATAGATTCGCCATCTTCTACTACTCTCATCTCCGCACATGACCGGATCTCCTGTGGTGCCGACCACCAAGTGGAAGCTGCGAATGGGTAGAGACTCCTTCAGCCAGCCTGCGCCCATGAGCTGATCCCAGGAGACTCATTGCAAATTGCCGATGAGATGTGATGAAAGTCTCCCAGAACGACCTCACTCGTGGTGTGCTGCCCAGGCGTTGCTTGACATGAACCCACACGCTGCCCAGGACAGGATGAGTGATGTCACTATCTTTGGTTCTTGCGTACAAAAGCCTCCCACGATCGACGGGCTGACGGCTGTCAACGTCGCAGCGGTCACGAGCATAGTTGATGTTCTCGCTGTGGCATGGCCAATCGTCCTCCGGATATACCTCCTACCTCAGGGCACCTCAATGTAGAAGATCGGAGTCGGCTCCGCTCCGATCGCCGGCCGGGCTTCCCCACATCGCCGCCGCCTCCACCAAGGTACAGTAGCTCCATCTACAAACAGCTGCCTCAATCACTCAACCAGATCGCCAATCTTTCCGCCTCTCCTGCCCCATCTCACCTCACCACCTCCACCCTCACATCAAGCCCATGATGGCGAGGAACCTCCCGCCTCCCAGCTTCGAGCTGGATGCATGGACATCCCACTACGATGGCCAACTCCTCCCCCTCCGACTGCTGCACATTGCGAGGGTGTGCCCGGCGTTGGGTGCATCGGCCATGGAGCTCGCCATCAGCACGGCCAAGCGCGGCAAGGACGTGCAACTCTACAACACCTTGTGCGAGGTGGGCGGTTTTACCGTCGACACGAAATGGGCGGCGCAACAGCACGAAGACAACATGCGACAGTTGAGCAAGATGGAGAGCGAGCTGAAGGGATACAAGAACAATCTGATCCGTGAGAGCATTCGCATGGGCCAGGAGGATCTCGCCAACCATCACCTCATCACCGGTGGTCCCGTGCCCGACCCGGCCACTCCCAGCTCCACCCAGCGCGCGGGATACTACGCGGCGATGGAGGCCTTTGGACGCATGCGCGATTACTGCCACACCCCGACCCACATCAGCAGCATGCACGTTGGCATCGTCTACACGGCCTTCGTGCAGGCCGTCCATGCCCAACAGATTCTCGGCTCCGACGGCGCCATGCACTTCAGCACGGCGCAGTTGAACGGCGCCCGTCTGCGCTCCACCGGCGTCAAGGACGAGGAGCAAGCGAAGCTGACTCCCATTGCCTGCGTCACCACGGGCATTGGGCACCTTGGAAGGGRGGAATATCGCATCGCCGCCCTCTCCTTGATGGCCACGCCCTTTGAATACCACAATCTCGGGCCCGTCTTTGGCAACGATTTCGAACGCATCCTCGCCTCCGCCAACGATGTCGCCATCTATGGAGGTCTCTGCGCCCTGGCCACCATGTCCCGTCAGGAACTCGTCGACAACGTCCTCGGCGGTCCCTTTCGTCAATTCCTCGAGCAGGAACCGCACATGCGCAAAGCCATTGGTTTGTACACGACTGCAAAGTACCAGGCCTGCATTGAACTCCTCCAGCACTACTACTCGGACTGGTCGATGGACATCTTCCTCGGTGCCACCGTCTCCTCCCGTGGCATGTCCCACGTCGATGCTCTCTTCAACCTCATCCGCGAACACAGCATCACCGCCTACTTTTCCTCCTTTTCCGAAGTCACCATCTCCTCGCTTGCCGCCACATTTCCTCCACGATCCACCTCCTCCGAAACGATGGAGCGAGAAGTGTTGCGGATGATTCAGAACAGGACGCTCGACGCACGAATCGACCTGGTCAAGGGCGTGCTGATCGCACCGCGGAAAGAGGCAAGAGCCGCGGCGCATGCAGACGCGAAGAGGGCGGCCGAAGAGGTAGAGCGCACCCTGCTCTTGCGACTGCRCAAGGTCAATATGGTGTTGGCGGGTCTGGAAATCCCCAAGCCGAAGCAGTACGATCCCAACTCAAGATTTTGATGCTGGACGTGATGTTGGACGTGATGCTGGTGAATGAGGCGGGATCGAGCATATTGCTTTGCTGCATAGYGTAGGCGTTGAAGCGGGACGAGAAGAAAAAGAGACAGTCATACATACCAATGCAGAGCGCACGGTTTGCTGTTCTCCTGCTCGGGTTGAGCCTTTGAGGTGCCAAAAGAGAACGATGGCCCGGGTATATAAACACTTGCTGCAGTGCGCAGCCTTGACGATGTTGAATGAATATCACAGACTTATGATCTAATCCACCTGACTTGCTTGCCTGTTGCTCGTCTGGTCGATCTTCTTTTTACCAACTTGAAGGCCATTCAACGTGTGGCGGAACGATGCAGCAGAGAGAGGTTCGTTCACACGACTCAGAATCAACTGAGGGGCACTCCGGCGTGGCTGAATGCTGTACGACGACTCACCTCATACGGACATGGGACACGGAGCAAGCTGGAAGCGAGTTCCATCGGCTTTCCATCGCCTGAACTTCCTTCATCTCAGATCTTGGACACGTAGACGCAAACACCTCGTCGAAATCCAGTGCAATCCGGTCCAGGTCAACCTAGACTGATCCAGACCAAAAGCGCACCCAAGCCTCCCCAGTCGTGACAGTCGACTTTTCATTTACTTCACGACATCCTAACATCGAAATACCACGCTATTTGAGACATTTTAACATCAAGAGACCAAGCCATTCATCCAAATCTGCAGCAAGTAGAAGGAACCTTGCAGGAAATAAGATCAAGAACATCTAAAACATGGCCCCTAAACCTGCGCCTCCCCCAGTCCCAGCCCGCCTCTTCCCCACTCGCACCCTCACCTTTCCGCACCCTCCAGGCCCCTACACCTCCTCCCTCGCCCTACGCGACTTCGGCAACTTCACATCCGGCTGGAACCCCTCTCGAGCCCACATCACCCCGTCCAACGAATKCCGCATCACGCTCCTGAAGAACGCTCTCTCCGCTTCCGGCGGCATGATTGCCAAATACAACGTCCCTCCCGGTCCGGAGTATTCCATATCCTTTAAAGTGAAATTTGATGAGGATTTCGAATGGTGCACGGGAGGGAAATTTGGGCCCGGGGTATTCTTCGGGGAGGGAAGCGCTGCGGCGGGGAGTGGATGTGATGGAACCGGAGCGAGTTGTAGGATGGTGTGGCATACGCATCGCAGGACGGGCGAGGTGTTTTTTCWGGTCTATGTTTATTGGGCCGGGCAGACGGGAAGTGGAGGGAAGTATGGGGATTGTTGGGGGAGGTTTCCTCCTGAGGGGAGCAGTTTGGAGAGGGGAGTGTGGTACGATGTGAAAATGGAGGTCAAGGGGAATTGTGGGAGTGAAGAGGATGGGTCGTTGAGGGTGCTGATCCAGGGGGAAGTGATTGTTGAGAGGGCTGTGAGGTGGATGACTTGTTGTGCGGAGGGGGAGAGGGGATTGGTGAGGAGGATGGAATTTGCTACTTTTAGGGGCGGTGCTACGGAGGATTATATGAGTTGTAGGGATGGGTTTGTTTCTTATAGGAATGTTTGTTGGGAGAGGATTGGGGAGTAGGGGTGATGGAGGGGGAAGGTGGTGGTGGTGGTGGTGGCGGTGGGTGAGTTGGGATGAAAAGTATAGTCTCAGAGGACGTATACAGCCTGCACGGGAGCGACACTCATCAGACAAGACTTCGAAACAGATTCGGGGCCGATTCTCCGAAACTAACTGAGAAGGAAAGATTGTCTCGGTCGGTCAATCAACCGGTCTAGCCATCCGAAGTATACATAATAATAAGCATGGCGTTTGAGGCGTCCCCCACATCGAGACCACTTTAGCGAGACTGTCGTTCCCAATTCAAAACAAGAATCGTGGCGGCCATCCCAAAGTTCCAGACCATGCAGCCAAGATGCCCGGAATTACTGCTTTGGGAATGCTCCACGCCTCAAGTTTTTCGCCAATCATAAGAGGCGGAAATATCAAACGGGATCTAGACTTCCACCACCACGTGTAGACGGCGTGTCCGTTCGCAGACCCCATGCACAGTCCGAGTTGGGCGTTTCGTGGCGTGCTTTCGTCTGCATGCCCTTTTCGTATTGACCATGCATGCATACATGCATCTCGTTCCACCTCTTTTTAATGATCAAGCCTCCCCTGAGTCTTGCAAAACTTTCTTTGAGGCGGCGGTTCCCAAGTTAATCTTTGTTGTTGTCGAGTAATTATTCCCCACCATCATCATCATCGTCGGCATCAGCATCAGCATCACGCCATGGCCAAAAAAGTGTCCGACTGCGATTGTGGCTTCATAGACGCCGACGAACCAACACACACAACCTTCACCTCCCTCCTCCTCGTCGACTTCACCAAAGCAACCTGGAAAGACCTCGACGACATCTTCGTCCGATCCTCATATACCGTCAACCGCACCGACGCAGCATACATTCGCGACTTCGAACCCTCCCAAATCCAACTCACATCTTCAGGTCTGGAATTGACCGTCTCTCCCTCCCCAGACGGCCTCATCGTCCCCTCAGCATCCATCTTCACCCGCTCCGCCGCTTTTCTACACGGCTCGTATCGCGCACGAATTCTCGTCGGTGACGTCCCGGGAACTGTCACAGCCTTCTATAACTACCACAATGATACTTCCGAGGTGGATATCGAATACGTGAGTGCCCGAGGCCCTACATTACTCTACAGTGTCAAACCACAAATCTACTACGAAAACACCAACCCTTCAGCTGAAACTTACCAATCCGAGACCTGGGGAAACGACACCTCCAGCACGTCTTCTTCCTTATCTTTCGAGCAGAATTTCCACGAGTGGAGTTTCACTTGGTTACCAGATATCGTACATTTTGGTCTGGATGCCAATTACTCCAAATCCATCACCAAAAATGTTCCCCAAGCTCCCGGAACGATCGTTCTGAGTCATTGGAGTAATGGCAATCCAAAGTATTCGCAAGGCCCGCCGACGGTGAAGAGTACCAAGGTTGTGGAATTTTTGCAGGCGGTGTATAATGATGCGAATGCTACGGCGTTGGAGTGTAAGAAGGTGCAGGAGGCTTGTGTTATTCAGGATGGGAGGTTGAGGGTTGCGTTGGGGATGGAGGAGACGGATGGTGGTGTTTTGAGTGGTGGTGGTGGTGGTGGGAGTTCGTCTTCTGCTTCTGCTTCTGGATCTACTGCTGCTGCTGCTGCTGCTGCTTCGTCTTTCTCGACGCTGCCTGCTGTTAGTCATGTTAATTCCGCGACTACGGCTGGTGGTACTGCGAGTCTTTCGCCTGGCGTGGTGGGGCTTTGGACTTTGATTCTGTTGTTCTTTTTGCGATGATGATGATGGTTTTGAGATACCCCCTGTGGAGTTTATTCTTGTTTTTGCTTTGGGAAGCGTTTTGGGAAATTTGCATGCAAAGTAGCGTCATATGAGGAGTTTCTTGATGGTGTAAATACTTGATCTTTGAGGTGATTTGTGAAGAGCTTCGGAAAAAGGTCAATTGAATCACGGTTCTTGCTCTTTCCTCATCCATCGGTTCCGTGTCTCGTAGTCGCACACCTCTGGCTGGTCTATATCGCATCCTCAATCATCAGTCGAATCTCAGTTCGGGAGCTCTCTTGGAAAGGTTCAACACTAGCCTGGAAAAGAACTTTCATATTTTCTCTGTGAGAAGTCTGATTCTACAAATCTTCCAGCAACTCCACTAAGCAACGCTCTCATCTATCGTGAATACTCCCCAAATAGCGCCCTCCCGAATGCAAAAAGGTATCTCGCTCGGCCTAATCATCAAAGACATCTTCGCCAACATCATATCATGCATGCATGCTTTCCATTTCTCATTATAGCTTCGCCGGCGCCATCTTTTCCTCGTATTGCTCATTTCATACATCTCTTCTTTCTAGAGTCTGATCTGAAGACTGCTCTCTCGACAAAGACTCTGTTTTTGAAGCTCATGAAGACCATCCCATTGGTAGTGTCGCTCGTCACATTACCGAGAGACCTTGTTAGGGGGGTTTCCCTCATTATAATGGCACCTCTGTTCTCCGTCTGTGGGAGGTCTCCCACCGGCCGTGATAAAGGCTGAAGAAGTGACTTGCTTCTTTCCATCGTCATACCTCAAGGCTTAGCAGTGGGCGCCAGCGTCGAAGGTACGGTGGTGATCTCATCGGTGGCGTTATGCACACTGGTGGTCTCCAAGCTGACGACCTTCTCAATGACAAGTGGGGTTTTTTGAGCCAGTGCGGATTCCGAAGATTCGACAACCACAACCGCGCCATGATCAGACTCAGGTGCAGCTGAATTTCCAGACTTCTTCCTCTTCACCAACGCAGCTGCCTTTTGGCGAAAGTCCTGGAACTTGTCGGAGAACTTGTCGGAATCCCAATACAAGTAAATGGTCATGATGACCATGCCGACTGTGATGAGTAAGAATAGCGGGTTGTCGAACATCTTGTAGATGAAGAAGCCRATACCGGTGAATACGGCTCCGAACCAGACGACCAAGTGGCCTACGAGAAAGGTCCGCTGTAAAAAGGTTTGATGTCTGGAATGCTTGTCAGTCAACACATTCATGGGATTTCCACTCGTAGCAACTCACTTCTTCCGCTCGGTCGCGGATCGAGCGCCCGTTCCCCACCCTGTAGAATTCAGAGTAACGAGTGCCCACAGCTTTGTCGGGAGTAGTCCGAAAAAGTGAATGAATCCATAAAAGGCAAACAACAGCAGCCATAGATCAAATTCAATCACCAATGCGACCAGTGACTTCACAAACGCCAGCCCAAAGATGGTTATGAGCCAGACCAGGGGACGCATCTTGTGTCCGGCTTGTGGGTCGAAAAGGAGGTGAAAGCAGGTGGTGAGGAGGAAGAACGGGTAGAGGGTGTGAATTGTCATCTCGAGTAGCATCCATGGGTGGTGGTAGGCAAAACTCTTTGGGAACCAAAAGGCTTCACGGAAGAATGACTTTGTCCATCGTGTTTGCTGAGCGATCCATCGGACAAAAGTCTTTGGGGACTCACTGTCACACCATGTTCGGTGAGTGTAGCGCGTTTGAAGGCCGTGTCCGAGAATCTGGTTAGTGAGATGGCGATCGTCACCAAAAGTTGTGTGCTTTCCACCAAATGTTTGAAGGTTCCAAGGTCCTAGGATAGTGTCGAGGTCGCAAGCGCGATACAGGGCGATAGGCCCGGAGAGGCAACTAACACATCCCCAGATCGACTGACAAGCTCTTTCAATGTTGAATGCGAACCAATATCTTGTCGAACACAATCTGGTAAGGAGATTGTCTGCACGGTTCCAGATCTTCACGCCGGCTGTGATACCGCCGATTTGAGGGCCGGAATGCATCAGTACCATCATTTCGTCGAGTGCATTTGCTTCCATGATTGTGTCGGAATCGGTCGTGAAGATGGCGTCTCGAGTGCGAATGACGTACCTATGTTGTATGTTAGCGATTGCTCCAACATCGAAGAGGAATTCAGAAGCTGGCGTGGGCTGTTGTAGGAGCTTCTGCTTGCGGCTTGCTTACATGTTAAAGGCAAATGCCGTGAACAAGGCCGTGCGCTTGTGTCCATGAGGTTGACTGAAACAAACAGCATTGAGAGTACTGATGTTCCACTTCTGGTCCCACTCCAAAACCTGTGCGATGATAGCGTGTCTTGCGATTGACAGGGCTGTTTCGTGTCCTGGTCGGAATCGGCCAGTAAACCAATCACAATACTTCTTCACACGAGATCGGGTATCCTCGGGTATGTTGGCCATATATGTGTCAAAGTGGARTGTTGAAAGTAGTATCGGCAGGTGTATCAATGGAGCCTTGCGGGAGTCCGTGCCGTAGGACTGGAATTCGTCGACAAAGGCCTCGGCCATGTCAAGATCGGGCTGCTCATTGCCATCCACGACGCCAATAATGCACTTTGGGGTCAAAGTTTGCACCTGTAGGGTACGAAGGCATTGTCTCCACGCCTGATCATCCTCGCGATACCCAACAATGCCAATCGAAATTTCGCTTCCAGGGTTCATGATTCCGTTTCCACTTCTCGACTTGTCTCCCTTTTCGCACTCGTCTACCGTCTCGACCGCCGATGTTCTGTTCATCGCCTGCTTGGCGATACGGTTGACGTCGTAGCGATTCCAAAGTGCCGAAGYGACCTGGAAGAAGTACTCGCCAAGGACGATTATCCCGTACAGTCCGATGGAGGTGACGCCGAGATCGAATACACTCAGACTCATGGCATAGCCGGTGATGAGGGCGGCAATCAAGCCGAATGCCAGCACGACATTGAACGTCAATTTCCATGGGTTCACTCGAATGGGTTTGCGTGCTGGGCAGTTGAACACTTCGCTGGCTTCGAAAATGGCGGGTTCGCCGGGCCTGGCTTGTAGTGGGTTTCTTGCGGTCGAGTCGTCGCAAGTGCCGAACAGATCAGATGGCTGTCGCTTGTGGTCGCCGAGATGGCATGGTTTTGGTTGTTCAAGCTCAAAGTCGGCAGAAGAGCAATCGCTTGTGTATGCATGGCTGTCCCGGTCCTTCTCCGACCTTGACTTTTTCGTTGCAGCACTGAGTGCTGGCGATGGTGGAGTTGCTGGACGAGATGGCGAGACAACAGTTGACGATATGCATGAGGGAGCGTTTGATGCGTTTGAGCCTGCTGGCCGGTGTACCAGATGGACTGGTCGCCCGGCGGAAGGTATCATCCGCACCACTTCGGCCACACCAACTGGATCAGAAGCGGGTTCATTGTTGAGAGAGAGACTGGAGCGAGCAGCCCGGATGGACGGCATGATGACAATCAAAGGGGGATGATCGAAGCGAGAGTGGGCGATGCGGCTGCAACAGCATCGAGGATGATACTTATTAGATACAGCTCATACCTGCTCGAAGCGGTCTAAGGCCCAAGCCTCATCTTGCTTCGTTTGGATGCGGCTTGAGAAGTCTCGTCCTCCGCTTAACGGGCGTCCAGACTTGCCTTGCCAGCACATGCAAAGCACAGATGCAGCCATAGCCAAGAGCCGGACCACGGATATGAGCGATTCGATCAGTCCACTGCATGTCGCAGGCTCCCAGCCATGCGGCTGCTCGGGAGCTCGCCGAACTGATGTGGCTGCGCTTGCGATGTGACTGTAGTGCTGGCTACACTTACACCGATGCAGGGATAAGACTCTAACACTAGGGTGATATGCCACATGGCATCTCCACTTGAGGCGTGGCTTTCGGCAGAGACCTGGACGCCTTGGCACATCAATGTCGGCAGCCCGTGTATTCCTTCTTGTGAAAACTGCACACTTGCCAATTTGGGAACGTGTGCAAGTCCAAAAGCTTACGGATCCAGAAGGCGCATGATCGGCAATGTCGATGCTTTGATGCATGAATTGGGCAGACTTATGTGAGCAAAGAGGTAAACTTTCACACGTGTTCGAGGCGTTCAATTCTTGACACTGCGAGTAAGGGCAAGGCGCCTCGACATCGGAGACTCCGCGTGAAGTTTCGACTCGTGCGAACCTCCCTGTTAGTATCAGACGCAGGAGACCTCTTGCCCGAGAGCGAGACGAGGTGTAGCGAGAGCGTCGTGCGAGTCAAATTGCCAGAAGGGTATTCCGGCGTGGTAAAATGATGTATTCATCCAGACACGTCGTCCCGTGTCTTGCTTCTGGAGAACACCAGGACTGAATCACACGGTGCATCTTCAATGTTGGAGCTGGCTCCTGGGAGGCTAAAGTATGCTCGTTACGAGTGTCATCAACATGGCATTGACCGCACGAGGTGAGCGTCAGTCTGATCACAATTGTGAATGCAGAATATTGCAGTGCTCATCAGACCGAAGGTTTCAAGCGTTACGCTCGACCTGCTAGTAAGCGCTACGCGAAGACTGTCATAGCTCAGCCCAGACCAGATCGTGAGGAGTCCTTGTATGCTGGTGATGAGTGAACATCCCTATCGCGTTCGGGATGCGGGAAGCCAATGTCGCGATTCCGTGAAGACTCAAAGCACGCGATCGAGACTGCTGTGCAGGAAGGAACATTACCCGAGGGAGATCTTTACAATTGTTGCCTTGATGCGACATACTTTTCAGGCTAGCGCCGGGTCCATGCTCGCTGCACTCTCGCAACGGACAACCATTGCATGCAGATGGGGTACTTTCGCCCATTGCTTGTTATGCAGGCTCGGAGGCATCGAAACCTTGGAGATGTGGAGATTCTGTTCCCGAAGAGAAAGTGCACTCCGAGACTGAGGCTCAGGCTCCTCCAGAAAAGCATTGAAGCCTTCCAAGACCACGGCAAAAGGTGAACAATCCAGTTCTGCAATTCGCCACGAGCTTCGAAGCGCTGAACAGCAGCGCACATCATCCATTCAAGGCTGAAGACCAGGCAGGGGTACTGACAGCACCTGCAGTGTCTTGATGGCACCACATCTTCACAGCGTCCCCGCACCTCTGGCAGGCAGATCGCTTCAGCCCACGAAGAAGATCTTGGCCATCATCTCAAGCTCGCCTCCAAGGTTCAGACGAGCTCAACCCCAGTGCCTGCTGAATGGTAGCACGCACGTGAGACCATGCAGCATGGCGCTGCCCCAAACACGGATAAGCATCGCAATGTCGCAGATGTGATATGCTTCCAAGAGTAGCCGTGAACATCCCGTTACTGTCGGCATTCCTGATGGCGATTCACGTCTAGACCCGCCAGCGTGCTCGCGTGTCGAATGAACCGGGAAGACTTTTCGCTAGTCAGGTAGGTATGTATCTTCGTACCTCGTCAAATTTTCGCCCAGCCGCGGGTGTGAGATCCCTGGAAGTTTGAACAACTCTACTGCGAACTCTATTCCAACGGTCAGACGCCACCAAATCGACAACACGACCACTCCTGCTTCTGGATTCCCAATACCTGCTGCATGCAGTGCCGGAACTATGCCGAATTGACGACACGGCAGACCTCGTGGGCAAGCGAAAGTCGACCAGATGCAGCACAAGCCGAGCGCCCGAATGTCTGCAGATGTTCCAGAAGATGGCTTCTCCTGCCCACTCCGATGGCGGCCTCCACGGGCGAGGAAGACTCTTCGACATCCCAGGCGCTATATGGAGCTCACGTTACTGTTTGCCACGTTGCGTATGCAAGTCGACCCGGCCGTGAGTAGCGTTAGGAACCGAAACCGGTCAAGATCACTACAAAACGTGGCCGCAAGCGTTCGCCGGCTTCAACTTCCTGGCGAGAAAAGTACATGATCTTCTTCGGGCGATTAAAAGCTTTGCCAGTAGCAAAAGGCCAGAGCGCCAAGGTCGGCGCCAAGGAGAGCAGACAAGCACGACTTGTTAGCCCAACAAGGTCGAGTCGCTGCACAACAACGTTCGAAACTACTTTGCTCGATAACAGCCACTTGTACGGGAGAGATTCGATTACTTGCTCGTCTCACGGGTCTAGGCACTCTGCACATCGTGTCCAGTCTGTCCGTGCTGCAGTCTTTTTCGGTCGACGCATCGAGAATGTGTGCATCGCTGAAACCCCTATCTTCCACCCTCCTCGTGCTACGTACCTTTTGAGTTGCCGCAAGGGAATGGAATGCATGGTCTCCACTACGGCACTGCCGACACCACGCACGTGGCCTCAGCTCCTACAGTCGGGCCCCTGCCTGGCGGAAGCAACATCACACGAGCAGTGGACTGACAACGGCCTTCCCGCGCCTTCAGTTCGAACCGAGCTAAAGACGCCATCGTCATGGCTTTTGAAACTTCGCATGGCGAGGCCCATGGAGGTTCAATGGTCTTTGATCCACTACTCGCAGATCGCACAAGCCCACATTCAGGTTTTGGTGTAGAGTGTGCGGATATGCGAGCCTCGAGCACGCTATGGCGTAAGGCTGACTGTAGTGCTTTGCATTGATCAAGCACCCAGCACGGCGGATAGAAGATATGAGGCAACCGATGGCTTGCAAGATCATGCAAGCCCTTCAGCCTTCGGGCAATTCACAATTCGAGCAGTGGTGTGAGTCAAACAGCTCTTATATCTTTCAGTCATTGTCCCGTTCTACAGTCGGAAAAGCATTCAATTCTTCCTCTTTTACCTTCCGCATCAAGTCTGTACTCTGACGACCACAATAATGATGGCATCTCTCACCAGCAGAACGGTTGTAGAGCTCCAAGCTCCGAGGAAGAAGTCTCTGTCTTGGGTGCCATTGGAAGCCCCCGATTCACCGCCACTTACGCCCCCAGAGATCGTGGTGACACGACCAGAGCAAGCACAATACTTCGATCAGCGTATCTTTGCTCCCTCGCCGACGCCCGGCAGCCCTACTGTAGCAGTCATTGGTACTGGCTATGTTGGTCTGCACCTCGTCGAAGCATTCTCTACCGCATACGATGTCATCGCCTTTGACGTGTCGGAGAAGCGAGTACAAGAGATCAAGAACACCGTCGCCAGCAACGTGACCTGCGTATCGGATCCCAGCCGACTCACCGATGCCACTCACTTTCTGATCTCCGTCAGCACAATTCTGAATCAATCACAACGTTCCATCGATATATCTTGCATCAAGAAAGCGATCGAGACAATAACAAAATACGCACGACCCGGATCGACCGTCATCATCGAAAGCTCGGTCGCTGTCGGCATGACGCGGGAGCTCCTTGAGCCACTCATGCACAGCAAGTCCCTACTCTGTGGCATGTCTCCCGAGCGTGTCGACCCCGGCCGGGTATCTCCAACATACGAAACCATCCCCAAGATCATCTCCGGTCTAAACGAGGAGTCGTTGCAATCCATCTCGGACTTGTACTCTCGAGTCTTCCAAAATATCGTTCCCGTCTCCAAACCCGAAGTGGCAGAAATGACCAAGCTCTACGAAAACTGCCAACGCATGATGTGCATCGCATATGTCAACGAAATGGCCGATGCCTGCCGCACTCTCTCCGAAACATTATCCCACAAGAGTACGACGAACGTAGACATCAACATTGACCCCTGGGAGGTCGCCAATGCTGCAGGCACAAAACCATTCGGCTACCAACCATACACACCATCTCTTGGTGTCGGAGGACATTGTATCCCCGTCAACCCTTACTATCTCCTCTCCAATGCCGAATTCCCACTTCTGGAGGCATGTGCCAAGCGCATGGAAGACCGCCCCGCACGAATCGGAGATCGCATCATGTCAACTCTGAGCTCCAAGACGAACAGCAGACCCAGCATCCTCATCGTCGGGCTGGGTTTCAAGCGTGGACAATCTGTCCTGTCGCATTCGCCTGGTAAAGCGCTGGCTGTGCATCTCCTCGCTACATATGATGTGTATGTTGAATTTGCGGATCCTTTGGTGGAGCAGAGCGCCGTGTCTTTTGTGCCTCGCTTTGATGATGCTTCTTGGTCGGCCGAGACGCTGGAGCGCTTTGATGCGATTGTCGTGGCTGTGGATCAGCCTGGGTATGATTATGATGTGCTTGATCAGGTGCAACGGAGTGGGACTACACATGTTGAGTGGTTCTGTCGGCGTTGAGTGACGGTTGGAAGCCTCTTTTCCCTAGTAACGGATGAATGGCGTTTATAGATATCAATGCATGCTCTTTTTACTTTCACACCATGGATTGTTCCACATGCTTGAGAAATGATTGAGCTGTACGTCCATATACGTCGTTCAAATTGTGGGCCCGGTAGACCCAAGCTGAGTTTGTCTACTATCTAAATCTACTGACCATTACGTGTCGAAACCACAAAACACATGAGATAATTTCCAAGCACGCTGGATATATGCTCCCCTCTGGCAGATATTGATCGTCGTTGGAACAAGTCGTCAAACAAATCTCTCTACCCCAACCCTAACCCTATACTTCTTTTTTGTCCAACGCAGACTCCAGGCAGCCGGACAGGCCTCGAGCATTATGCTTTCCATCCCTGTTCCAACATTCCTCGACCCATCTTTCAAACTCCATTGATTACGATCGTGTTGAGCGCGATTTTGTGATTGGGCCAGGACGGCTCCTCGGCCATGTTGTGAAAATGGGTGTTGATCCCTCACAACCACCACCACCAGCGACTCGGATAATGGACTCTACGACCGCCGTTGCACCAGCATTGACTGGTGTTCCAGCATTGGACGCCTCGCGACTTCATTTCTCCAACGATAGGGACGGAACAGGTGGCGCAGATGAGGGGGAGAGTGGCAGGGTGATGGAGAAGATGTCATGATGAGCGATGGGTGGGACGAGAACACCGACGAGGCAGATGATTGAGATGGCATCTTTCCATCTCACGAAGCGGCCGCAGAGCATCTTTGGAAAGAGCGGTAGGTGAAGAGATAGCGGATACCCCGACTATCCCCTTCAACGAAAAAGAAGGGGGCGAAAGTACAACTATATCTTGCACGTTGTGGTTCAGAGCAGTCAATTGGCCTCTCGGAGTGGGATCTTCTCTGGTCGCCATCCTCTCCACGAACACCTTCGTAAATGAGCCGAAGAGACCGAAACAAGCCACGACAGATTCCTTGCCGCGTGCACTCGAAGCCCAATCGGCCTGGGTTGACTCAAAGGAGAACTGGATACGTGCTCCGGATGTCGTCCATGATACACATGTATTGCAGCAGCATCCGCAAATCGACACTGGACACGGCGAGAAATCGGCCCGGGAGCGATTCCGATCGCTACAATGTTGATACAGCGAGCTGGACTACATGCAACTGGTCGCGTATGGCGACTGGCTCTTTCGCCTTAGAAAGGCGTCCTCCATCCAAAACCGGGCCATTTCCACCGACGACTACCGTCCTATTGACAACGAGACGGCGCTTCTCACTTATTACGGACGAGCATCGCGCCGTCCACGTCCTCGGTGTGGGAATGATTTCACTCCAACGTAACGCACTTTCCGGTGCCTCGCAGTCCATCCAGCCGGGCGTCTTGCACACTCCCGCTGCGAGATTCAACGGCTCATTCATTCCGCGATGGGGGCGCCTTGGATGCGCCTTCCAGTCAGCACAACATGGATCCTTTGCTTCTTCGTCGTGTACGGAGAAACGTCACTGATCCACGCCACTGACTGCTACGGGCAAATGCGGTCGTGCATGGTCGAGGATACTGCTGATCGGGCACGTCTTGATCTATTTTTTCTTGACAGACATAAACCGTCCTCGGCCGCCAAGCCGATTCCTCGAAGTGCCTCAGCAGCGCTCTCATTTGAATTGTCTGTCGTGAAGACACAGCAACTCGGACATTGGAAAGAGGAGACCTACAMTAGCCGCGGCACTGCCGCCATGTTGTGGCCACTCCGAGCCGAATACTGCCCTGATATATCAAGGAAGGTGTGCGGTACGACATATTTCTCGCTTGACCCGCCAACTGGCAACCAAGTCGGCTATTGCTCTAACCCCGCTCTGCCATGTGCTGCCCACGGGGTTACACATGAGCTTGGCGTTGCATATCTTTCCCCCCAAGCAGTAAGTGATCTACCTCTCTCGCGAGAGATACACGCGAGCGGCAAGACGATTCCGCAGAGAAGAGGCATCAAATGCGGAACAAGGCATTGTGGTAGGTAGTACCGACTCGCGAGATGCGCATGTCGCTTCGTTGGTACCGGTTAAGAAGTCAAGTCCCTCTCTTTCCATCTTCGTCGTCTTTTTCTACCTCTCCCTCCTCTGGTTAGACTTGTATTGGAATGGCTTCTGATAAAAGCTCCTCCGTGCATGGTGCGGAAGAGGTACATTCTCTCACTGCCCCCAAAGAGAAACTACCACTGACGGTAACAAGAAACACGTAGAACATGCACTCCACGACGGCGGAAAGGATGGAGGTCTCAACGTCGCCGCCGTGCTGCAAGATGTCGAATCTACGGAACCTCYCCGAGAGTCTCCAGAGATCCGCAGGGTTGTGCGCAAAATCGATCTTCGCCTTCTTCCCGTCCTAGCCACCATCTACTCCTTTGCCCTCATCGATAGAGTCAACCTGCCGAATGCACGCATCGCAGGCATGAACGAGGATCTTGGTCTCTCGATCGGGAACAGATATACTCTGCTGTCCATGATGTTCTTTGTACCATACATTCTCTTTCAATTCCCTGCGAATATCGCGATCCGAAAGATTGGAGCGGGAATCTGGTTGCCTGGGCTTGCATCTGCCTGGGGTGCGGTGACTTTGGGAATGGGATTCACCAAGAGTTGGACGGTGTTGTTGGGATGTAGAGTGCTTTTGGGGGTACTGGAGGCTGGGTGAGTAGATAAATGCACGCGTCGATGGCAAACGCCGGCTAATCTTGAAAGGTTCTACCCTGGCTGCGTATTCCTGCTTTCCTGCTGGTATGTGAGATTTGAAGTGCAGAAAAGGTTCAGTGCCTTCTACTTGCTGGCTTTGCTCTCTTCGGGCTTTTCGAATATTCTTGCATGGGGACTCAGTCAGATGGATGGGGTTGGAGGACTGAGAGGCTGGAGATGGATGTGAGTGTAACTGTGCATATCGAAGGTGGAAGGCTTGCTGACGATTTGGCAGCTTTATCATGCAAGGAATCATCACTGTTGTCCTCGCTGGAGTGGGCTTCGTCTTCATCGTGGGCTTCCCCGATCAAGCGACCCAWCCTGGTTTGATCATCAGGAAGCCGTTCATGACGGTTGAGGAGTCGGCCATCGTGCTCGCACGCATCGACCGAGATCGTGGAGATGCYGTCGTCGACAAGCTAACGAAGCAGAATGTTCTGAAGTACCTTGGAGATTGGAAGGTTGGTCTTCCGTATCTTGAAATCACAATTTTCTTATCTAATTAATGATCCATCAGCTTTGGGAATGGGCCTGGCTCTACCTCCTCAACAACACAGTAACCTACTCCTTTGCCTTCTTCCTCCCCATCATCCTCAAGAACGAAATGGGCTACACAACAGCCATGTCGCAAATCCTCTCTTTCCCACCTTATGTCGCGGCAGCGCCTTGGATGCTCTTCACGGCTTGGTTCGCGGATCGCTATCATAAGCGGGGCTTGGTACTGATCTGGAACTGTGGTGCGGCGATTGTGGGTGTTGCTATGATGGGCTTTGCGTATGATAATCCCGCGGCGAGGTACGCGGGTGTGTATCTGGGAGTTTGTGGGGCGAATTCCAACGTGCCGACTATTTTGTCGTGAGTATTGCTACAATGGATGGATGGTGGAGATGTGCTTGTTCACTGACCGGGTGGGATAGGTATATGCATAATAATATTGTCGGGCAGATGAAGAGGTCAGTGGCGAGTGCGCTGCTCATTGGAGGTGGTGCGGTCGGGTGAGTCTCATTGCATCATATTGAGTGTTGACGACGACCTTGCTGATGAGATTCTACAGCGGCATCGCTGCCTCCAACATCTTCAGACAGCAGGACGCTCCTCGATATGTACCAGCTATGATTGCGGTGATTGCCACTCAAGCCCTCACTATCTTGCACGTCTTGAAGAACTTTTACGTTTATTCGAGGAAGAATCGCAAGGCTGATCGTGGGGAGACTGTTGTGGAGGGACAGCAGGGTTTTAGGTATACGCTTTAGGTATGGAGATGGCATAAGGGAGGGTTGGTGACGTTCAAGACTGCGGACCTGCGAAGGAGTCTACACACCGCGACGGTTCATCAATACAGGACCGCTATGCAGAACGGAGAATGACCCCTTTGATCGAGGAACTCGGACTTGAAACCAACGCGGCTGAAACGATGCATCTGCTATGACCTGGAATCCAAGGTTTGCCGGCTCTGGGTCCGAACCTCCAAAACAACGTCAGCTGCTCGCTGAAGAGCGTTGTAGTTGTCACAACGTACTGCAGGATTCCTCGCTTGTATCTTCAGTTCGTCTCTGGGTATCCGTCCTTGGAGTCGAGATATTTTAAATGGGGGTCAATCCTCACTCGCTCATATTCACTTACCATCAGTCGCTGTTAGTCACAATTACTCATATCTACTCATCTTGACCCAGAGGAGGAGTGTGGAAAAACGTACCCGGCGTCCCCACAGTGGGCCACACTAGTATGCGATCTCTCGACGCCCATTCGTGTTTACAGGAATCCTTCGCAGCAATAGCTTCAATCTCGGAAGCTTAGGGCTTGGGAGGCGTCTTAGGGCTCGTCTCAAGTGTTCATCTGAAGCCGAACTGCATTCACTTGGCAAGCAGACCCATAATACAAGCTACATTCAGACATTCCATTGGMTAGAAGGTGCACGTTCATACCACATAAATCCTCCCGGGATGTTGGAGAAGGCAGCCAAGCCTTGTGATCGAACTGCCAAGGCGGTCAAGGCGTTTGATCGTACGTCGGTCGCGAGGAGGTTCTGTAGGCAGCAGTCCACGGTCGTTGGGATTGCAGAAAGACCTCTATTCCACACAACATGGCAATACAATGATTTCACTCGTGCGCAAGGTCCTCTTGTGTGCGGTGTTCCTACTGAGCCTTGTATGGTATGGCTCCACGCACTTCTACCGCGACCCGGGGAGCGTCTTCTTCGACAAAACAAGGGCCTTTGAACAACGTTACTCGACATATCGCATGGCTGAGGTTCGGCAGCTGATTCACGATTTGAAAGACAATTCTGGTCAACAGATTCGTCGAGAAGTTCCCGGGACAAATGCAAGCCTTTGTGTTACATCAAGCTCAGTGAGCAGGAAAGGCTCAAGTTATCTGGAGGTTCGAAAGTTGTGATCTCTCCACGGCTCTGGAACTGGCTGACATGCTCAGACTACCATGGTCAGTCTTCTACACGGCTTGACAGGAGCAGAGAGGAAGGACTTGTACATCAATATCTTGAACGCCGAGATCAACCCTAGTGATCACCCTAGTTGGAACGAAGCCTGGCTCCACGACGCCGTCGATCGTTTCGAAACATATTCTTTCAGTGGACCGGAGGAAGAGGAGTACATCAAAGGGCTTTCGCAGAAGGGAGCGTACGCGGAGAAAGGCATATATGATTACACGACAGCACTGCGAGGATGTCTGGATAGTGGGACTCCATACATTGCTTTTGTTGAAGACGACGTTTTGTTCGCCGATGGCTGGATGATGCAAGCGTTGTCTGCTCTCGGCAGGATACCAGCTTTGGACAACGAGCACCGGCAATGGCTGTTCATGCGGCTCTTCAACCAAGAACGATCTATGGGATGGGCTGGGAAAGGAATTGGCGAAAATCACGAATATCTCATCATCTTGGGAATCGCATCTGGGGTTCTGCTTGCCAGTATCGTGCTACGACAGAGATGGCGCTGGACACGGCGGTATTTGGATTTGGAAACGCTGTTCGTCATCGTCACGATTCTCATTCCAGGTCTGGTCATCCTTTTCTATCAATGCGGGAAAGCATCGCTTCTGCCACGTTCTCCGGGGGTATTTGATGAGCCGTTTGGCTGCTGTTCTCAGGCTTTGATCTTCCCAAGAGAAAGTATTCCTTTGATCATTGAGTACATGCAAGAACAAAAGAGAGGGCAGTTTGATCTGATGTTAGATCAACTCGCCGCTGAGGTTGGATATAGTAGGTATGCAATGTATCCGGTCCAGGCTCAGCATATCGGTGAGTAGATTTTGGAACGCTTTTTTTCTGCATCTGGTTGCGTGCTAATATTTCAAGGCCTGGAGTCCGCGCGAATGACGGAGCGTGATGAGGCTCAAGCCATTTGGAGTATGGCTTTTGAGGATTTGAAGCCAAATGTGCTGAAGACTGAGCATCTACGCCTCGCAAGGCTTAGGTATGGTAGCAGCGAACTATTCGACGGGACTTCTAGTAATCTCCCCTGAGAGCGCGGGTCAACAAAGCCCATCAACAAAGCCTCGAGGAAGTTTTCTTTCTTTACAACACCACAACGGTGTCGATTTCCAAGGAACAAAGCCAGCAAGCATTGTTCGAAGATACCCATTACAACGAAACATTTGACAAAGCACGTATTTATCGCTTTGAAGACAGAACATGGGCATTGTCAGAGACCAAAGAAGCATCATCTCGAGCCACCTCGCTCTCAACATATAAGCATTCCCCAACATCCTCTTCTCTCATGCATACTCATTCCGCATCGATCAAAAGACTACCGCACTATAATTCAAACAAACGAGATCTATCCATCAAACTCAATCACCATCTCTCTCTACAACAAACAACACACGACGAGCTCTATCCAATCACCTCACTCTCACAACTCAACCATGTTCGCCAACTGCTACCGCTTTGTGATGGACACCTCCGCCAAATGCGGCCGCTTCGTCTGTGGCAACTGCCTTAGAGAAATCAACAAATGCAGATGCAGCAGCTCTGTCTAGAGCGGTGTCTCTCCCTCACGTAGGAGGTACATCATCTCCGTCTCCTAAGCCCGAAGGTCYGTGACTTTTTTGGGCGAGAAAGGTTGATGATCGTTTGAATATCTGTATTGGTAAGTCAGTTAGTCATCTCTTTTGCTATGCGTATCTACATATAAAATGAATTCAAATATATTCGCGCATACTTTCTCCTTTTTCCTCCTTTCGCTTCTTTTAAATTCATGAACGGGTCGCTCGCCGATCATGCTCGTAGTGACTTGAAATTGGACTCTGCATAGAAGAACCTACAGCGCTATATATTGTCGGGGTAATAGTGGCACTAGAGAGTATGCGTCAATTGAGCAGACATCTTCGAGATGTTATTGGAGGCCGATGGGTGAGCGGTATGCTTACCCAGGATCCGCATGGGGCCTTTGCATTGGGTGGTATGGGTGTGTATTCACGAACCGTGGTGGTCATGATAACTGTGGCTAATGCGGCGACGAGGATTTTGATGAAGGTCTACTTATGTGGGGATAGAGGTCGGCGGTAGGTACAAGGGAAGTAGGTTGGTGTGTAAGCTATACATCGTGATGGTATTGCATTCGATTCTTGATATTCTCTTGTGGGAGGGGGGAGGAAGAACAGAGACGAAGTGACGTGGGATACTTGAATAGAAGGAAAAGTTCATGCGGAATAGGCTCTTGTGCCTTCCTTACTTTCCCATGATCCGTCAAGTCTCAGTCTCAAAATGCGTCTTTCCGCTGGTGTGAGAAGAAGGTAATAGACGGAGCCGTATAACTTCTGCTTCCCCATGGGGAAGAAGGTCACTCGTGAAGAGTGATTTTGGGGAAGGCTGGTCAGCTTCCAAGCATCTGTGGTCAACTCTGCACGCGGAACGGTTATGCGTCCATCAGGCCCCCGTCACCCTCTGCACCAAGGTTGAGAATCTGGCTGATGTGGCAACTTCACCGTGCAAGGACGGAGCCCTGATGGAGAGGTACGTATGCGGTCGGATCATCCAGGCACGTCGTTTGCTCTGCGGCTTGTGCGGTACCTAATCCACGCCTGCTTTGTCAACCGATAGTGTCTGAGACTCGCATCACCTTTCGATGGCTACCCCATGGGAACCTGCTAGCAGGACCGAGCTTTCCAATATCCTACGGACTAACCGTTTTTCTCAATAGCACTGGACTGAAACAGCTCCACCTTTGTCGAGTGAAACTTCCTCGCGCTCACTCTTCTCTCAAACAACGCATCGATTTCCCCATACGATCGTCCCTTCGCCTCTGGCAGACGGAAGTATGCCCAGCAAAGACACAAGAAGCACATGCCGGCCCAGAAGAATCCCACCTTTCCCTTCCAATCCCACGCCGAAGGATTCAACATCCGTGGCGTGATGATGCCGTTGATGATTCCAATCACATTGTACAGACTTCTCCCCAGCACTACCGTCTTGGTGCGAAGTCGACCAGAAGGCATCTCCGTGACGATCGCATATGTGAGGGTTCCGACCGTGATATCGTAGCATAGCGTCCACAGCAATAGCAGAGATCCGATGGCGAAGTTGGGTCCTTTTGCTTGTGAGGGTGCCAGCGACACGAAGCCGATGGTGAGTAGGATCAAGCACATGGCGGAAAGTCCTGCGAGGAAGAGTGTTCTGCGTCCGAAACGAGACATGGCGAACCAGGCGATTACTACTCCAATCATGGCTACCGCGTACAGAGCCATGCTGAAGTCGAAGGAGATGGTTGTGGGGAGGCCAGCGTTTCTGAAGAAGTAGGCCGAGAATCCTTGTAGAGATGCTCCGCTCAGAGGTTGGATAGCCCACGCAAAGCAAGTGATTTCTGTTCTTCGAAGATCAACCCCTCGAAAGCAGTCGAGATACGAAGTGCCGACGGATATGTCCTTCTCCAATTCGTCGGTGTGGACCATCATGGCGATGGTCTGCGCAATGTCCGCCTCGGGCGCGTCAGTGGTGAGCCTTCTCAACGACTTCTTTGCGTCCTCCAGCCTCGCCTTCCTCACAAGCCACCAAGGACTCTCCGGCGCAAACACCGCTCCGATGAGTAGCGGCACTGGCCATGCCCACTGCAGCGCATACGGAATGCGATAAGCCCACTGATCTCCCCTGCTCAAGAACCCTCGCAAGGCACCTGTAGCGATCAACTGTCCCAATCCCCACATCATGTTCACATACGTCGTGAGATAGCCCCTCAAGGCCACTGGGCATACCTCTGCTGCATACGTCGTCGTCAACGTCTGGAAGACACCCCAAGGGATTCCCATCAAGATGACTCCAACTTGTAGCATTACGATATCCGTTGCGAAGAAAGGGACGAAGATGAACCCTATCATCAGGATCAGGAATCCCACCATCGTCTTGCGATATCCCAATCGATCCGCTATGAAGCCGTTGAGGATCAATCCGAATATCTGGCCTACTCGAGCGCCGTTGGAAAGCCCGGACTGCCATGCGACGGAAACTTCATATTCTTCACTTCCTGGGATCTTGGTGCCGAACTTCTGATTCCAAGGTGGAAAAGCAAAGAATGCGGCGATGAGGATGATATCGTAGCCTTCCATTGCTACTGCCGAGGAGAGAAAGATGGACCAAGCGATTGCTTTCGGGTAGAGCTTGATGGCCTCTCGAACAGTCATGGAATGCTMCCTCTCGGTTGCATCTTTGGCATCAGCGTTCAGGTCGGTTAACTCTGGAGATGTCGTAGTTATGCTGCCCTTGGCGGCCGTTTTCTCCGAAGTTGCCATGTTGTTGCAGATGGCGCGGTGAAGTTCTTGAGACCTTTTCGAAATGTTTCGCAGGTGTACAAATCAATCCTGCGCATGTGCAGACATCACATCTTGGACAGGCGAGCCGCAAGGGCTCACCGGCCTGTGATCCATGATTTCTGTCTTGTTCACACCCTCAGGCAAGAAGAATGCAACATGAAACCCCGCTCTCACATGCAACGTCGATCGCAGCCGGATCGCGTGCGAGAAGGCGTGCTGCTTTCTTCACACCGCCGCGAAATGTTGCAGCAAAGAGCACTCCTCCACTGTCATCGAGTGATCTCTGCGCTGCGGCAGTGCGGCACGGCCACAGAAGTGTTGCTTTTTCCTCGCAAGGCTGGCAGCAGCAATTCTCCGCATTGCCGCGTCGATGACGGCAGGTGCTTCTTCTGTTCTCTGCTTCCTGCCATCTCCCAGAGCAAGACGACCCAAAAATAAAATGGTGAGCAAGAAGGGCCTCAACGAAGTCCTTTCAATTGTTCCAAATCGACTGCATCTTCGATATATCCCCCAGACATCGGCATCTCAAACCGAGGCGAATCGTTCCCTCATCTGGGGAACGTTGGAGCTAGTGAGGGGAAATCTCTGGGGCTGTAGCTGCAAACAGTTTAGCGACCGCTATGAACCACGCCTCCCAAACTTCAACACACTTCGCCTTTTTCCCCTTTCGGCCTAGAAGTCGCTCAGGACCGTTGCGTCAGAAGGAAGGATGCAAATCAACCATGTCGGCCACCTCCTGTAGTGCGAAAGAGGAAGCCGCCGCGGATAAGCACGCAGTCTTCAAGAAGCAGGTTCTCAGCTGTCTGGTAGGTTTGGGTAGGGTACTCTCTTTCTTTGTCTCTTCTGTTCAACTCCTTCCCTTCTTGAGATACACATGCCCTTCACTGCATCCTTTGTCACCAACCGTCCCTCGGAAGCCCAGCAAACAGCATGGAGAACCGGGCGAAAACCTCTGCCGTAGAGCAGCAGCAGTATCAGCAGCAGCAATATCAACAGCAGTATTCCAGTAACAGATCTTCCTCCCTTTACAAAGACGACAAGTCCTGGGAAGAGGGGAACAACGCGTTGCATCACTTTCCCACCCACCCCGATCTCCCTCAAGGCAACGCGAGAGACGGCAAAGACGAGATTTCGCATCACGAGAACGCGCAGCGCGGAAACTCGCCTCGGAGGGAGGCGACCCGCAATGGCAATCGACCAGATGGAAACGGGGCGGACTTTGAAGATGTGCCGCAGTCGACTTCCAGTCGGGTTGAAAAGACCAGAGCGATGATGGGGTTGCGACCGGAGGCGCCGATTGTGGAAGAGCACGATAATGCTGATCATGTAGGTCTTCTTGTGGCGGCATAATGGTCGCGGCGATTCGATTGCTGACAGCCTGACAGGCGGATCTGAGATGGGCAATCTTCCGAGGAGCGCTGAAGGAGCCGTTTGCAGAGTTCTTCGGTACATTGATCCTGGTGGCCTTTGGCAACGGCTCCGTGGCGCAAGTGATGCTAAGCGCGGGAGAGACTGCTGCGCCTGGAGGCAATGGCTTTGGCGAGTATCAAAGCATTAATTGGGGATGGGGTCTGGGCGTGATGCTGGGCATCTACGTGGCTGGAGATAGCGGAGCGTACCTCAAGTGAGTACCTACCTGTCATCGAATGGAAGCAGAGTGCTAACAATGCCCGTACTAGCCCGGCTCTTACCTTCACAAACTGCGTCCTCCGCAAGCTCCCGTGGCGACGCTTCCCCATCTACTTCATCGCCCAGCTGCTCGGAGGGTTCGTGGGCTCGGGGATTGTTTACGCCAACTACATCAACAAGATCAACACTTACGAAGGAGGTGCTGGAATTCGCACCGTGCCTCCTGCTCCGAAAGCCACGGCGGGCCTCTTCTGCACATTTCCGCAGGGGGATCTCACCAAAGCGAGCCAGTTCTTCAGCGAGTTCATTGCGAGTGCATTCTTGATGTTTGTCATTTTCGCATTGAAAGATGACAGCAACAAGGGATCATTCTCCGCAAGCGGAAGCTGGTTTCCTTTGGCCCTGTTCTTCCTCGTCTTTGGTCTGGGCGCCAGCTTTGGTTGGGAGACTGGCTATGCAATCAACCTCGCCCGGGATTTCGGCCCTCGATTGATGGCATACGCGTTGGGATACGGCAATGAACTTTGGAGTGCCGGCGGGTACTACTTCTGGATTCCGATGGTGGCGCCCTTCTGCGGCGCTCTTTTTGGAGGCGTCATGTACGACATTGCCATTTACACCGGGCCCAGTCCGATCAACACGCCGTATTTCGGGCTCAAGAAGCTGCTGCTGCCGCACAAGGCGATCAAGGACCGGGTCAAGGCACAAGAGAAGGATGCGCTGGTTTGACGCGTCGTGTGGATGTTGTGGATCAAAAAATTGGGTTTGTCGAGAATATGGATGTTCACTGTTGGATTGCGAGGTCAGGTCGAGAATATTTGGTAGGCATGACCTAGAGCCGGTCGAGAAATTTGGGAGTGAGCCGGATCGTACCAGCATTTTGCCTGGATTCTCAAATGAGGGATCCAGAGTTTTCAACTGCTGCAAGCGGCCGTGCATGTGGATGGTCGTGGTCAGTTGCATAGGCAATGAATGACAGGACGTTATCGTCGAGGAAACGACGAGGGAATAAATGGATTGAAGAATTTGTCGTACACCGGAGCTGGAAAGCTCATTGAGTGAGGCGTGGAAAATATAAGCGCCAGTTTGGCTTGAGAAGCTGCATTCAAGCCCCGGTGAAATTGAAGGTTGCCGCCCCACCTGGAGCAGGCAAAAGATTTTTGTACCTTATTCTCCGCAACAACGCAAGCACGATTGAGAAGGAATTCAAGGCATTCGATGAGACATATTTGACTTTCCGCACGGCTGCTACTGTTTGTGCTTGTAGCTACCTCTTCGTAAGCGTTGTTCGTCGATCCACCACGAGGAGAGGCGGCCATCTTCAATTTCGCACTTGACTCTCCGCACGTCTACTACTTTTTATCCTTCTAGCTACCTATTCGTGAGCGTTGTTGTCGACCTTCTGTAAGAAGAGGTAGCAATCTCCGATCCTCCAGATATGACTACCCGTATGGCTACTGCTTTGATGCTTATAGCTACCTCTTCGCGAGCGTTGTCATCGGTCTACTACAAGGAGAGGCGGCAATCATCAATTTCACCGGCCCTTGTGAGCGACTCACCAACCATGAAGTTGGTAAGATGATATCTGACGCACGAACACGAACACGAGCTTGGTTCAACGGCCGGATCCAAAAATAAGGGATGTACCCTGCAACGGTTCGGACGGTTTCAGCTTCCAGCCCCGCCGTGATCCATGTCTGTCAATCGCTGTCAATCGATGTTTGTGAGAAACTCTCACGCCAGGCGGCCAGGGCATCCATCATCCTTCTCGATCCTTCAACCTTGAAGCCCTTTTCTTCCTCTTTCCCTTGCTGTCCGCTGTTCAAACATTCACCCCTGGAGGAAAGGCCGAGTTTATCGTTCGTTGTTCCCCATCGTTCGGTCTTTCCCATCTCGGACTAAGCCACGCGGTGGAGCTCTGGGGTGCCCACGAATGTTGTGCAAGCGGAGAGCGGAATCCTGGAGTTTTAGCACCGTCGGTCGCATCGCGTCACACCTGCCACCAACGCATCGACAACAACAATGTTCGCCATACTCCTCCTCCTCCCACTGCTGGCTGCATTGGTGTCCGCACAGCAAAACGTACTGGTCAATGGCAACAGTCAGCTTCCGCAATGCGCTCAACAATGCCCGCTCCTCCAGCAGGCCAACCAGGCATGCACAGCCACCGCGACTCCCCAGGCAGCATGGGCCTGCTTCTGTCAATCAGCCTACATCCCCACCTTGAAGACCTCTGCCGTGGGCGTTTGCGATTCCACCTGCACGGATGCGACACAAAATGCGCAGGTCTCGACGTGGTACAACAGCAATTGCGGCTCTGACTTTGGCGCGAGTGAGCATGCCGCGGATACGGCCACTGCGGCCACCACCACGGCAGGTGCTCCGGCTGCCGCGGGCACGACCAGCTCGGGATCTAGCAATGCGGGCAATGGCAATAACAATAACAACGATGCGGGCTCTGCCAACCAGAACAGTGGATCTGGCACGACGGATTGGAATCCGGAGGCTACCAAAGAGGGCGGAGATTGGTGGAGCACTCACTATGTGAGTACAACTTCCTCAGACACATTTCGTCCCTTGTAACGAACCTAATACTGACTTTCACCCTCCCAGCAATGGATCGTCATGGTCATCGTCTTGGCAATCGGCCTTTCGCTCTTCGCCTGGCTCGCCGTCTGGCTCAAACGCCGCCATGACCGCAAGCAGGACGCAATCACCGGCGGCTTCAACGCCGGCATCACGGAGAGAAGCGCGCCAGATGGCGGGTATGCAGAGAAGAATGCTTCGGGAACCTTGACCGGCGCGAGTCCCGTGATAGGGAGCGGGCGCAACTCCCCGGCGCGAACAAGAGAGGCTTTCATGCCGTATGGATATGGATACGCGAAGAGTGAGAGCCGATTGGGTTCGTCTCAAGGTGTTGTGGATCAAAGGCCCACAAGTCCGTTGGCTGCTCCAGCCATGTCGAACGTTGAAGAGAATGGATCGATGGGACCTTGGCCAGCGGAGAATTCGTCGAAGCCGCTCTCAAGAGCAGGATAGCAAGATTGGTAGCTGGAACGAATTCATGATTTCATGACATGGCATACTCTCTTCAACATCATCAGCAGTCCGGCGTGCTTCCGGCTTTGAACAGAACTCTTCTCGCTTGATACGCGTCCGCCAATAAAGCCGTCGAAGATCCAAAGTCATTTGAAATTTACTGCAATATCGAAGCTGTAATGGTGGTGCAATTAAAGTCGCTGCCTATCTATTTGTATCATCAATGTCATAAAGGTCATGTTGGTATATTTACAGAGCGCCGTGCGCATTGAAATCCACATGCTCGTGGTGACCCGCATGCTCAAGGTGCTATCCACGGCGTCCGGTTCAGCAGCACTATGATACACTGCTTGTGACGGAATTAGTCTCCTCTCCTGGAGCTCTCTGCCAGACAGACACATATACATTGGTCGGTGGTTGGAGATCTCAGACTCGGTTCGTTGGGGAAGTTGTTGAAGGCGACTGCTTATAGTAAGCAAGCCAAGCCATCCGAGCCTCACATCATCTCGAAGACTGCTTGCTGATGTCGTAATGGAAGAGCGCTCATGGGGTAAGTTCGAGGAGGTCCTGAGGCTCCGGGCATGTAGCAGATTGGGAGATTATCTTCCAGTTCCAACAACTTTCGTATCACCGGTATCTCTGCGTGATCCCGAAAGTTCTTCATGCGATGACACCACACGACCCGACCCTCTTCAAACAAGAATTCCCCGCCTATTTGGAAGAGATTGCCTCCTCTCAAGACATCTCTTTTTCTAATCCCACCTGGATTCTTCAATTCCTGTCGTACTTGTGAAATTTGCCCTTTTTGCCAGCTTGTGAATTTGATGTCTTTCATGTATTGTGGTCGTTGATTGCCAAAGTTGAGGCTTGTGTTCATGCCTAGCTTCTTGAACAGTGATCTCGAGGGATCCGCGTACATTGTGAAGGGGCAGTTGGTGAATCGCTTGTAATGAGCTATCATCTCTGGCTTGCCGCAGCCGATGACGATGATCGAGGTCGGAGTTGGGATGGAGAAGTACTCGCTTGGGGAGATGCTGTTTGTCAGAGCTTGGAGATAGGCTTGACAGGCTCCGCAGTAGAAATGGCGGACGAATATTACGAGTTGTCGTTGGTGTGCTGATGCGGATGGTGYGTAGACGGATCCGAACTTGTGCTCGTTGCCGTCTGCGTCGTAGATTGGCATGTTCTGCACCGTTTCGAGGGTGGCGCTGTCTGGACATTCATCCGTCCGCGTATTGTCGTGATCGGCATCCCGTTGGAAGTGAGCTTGCCACTCCGTCGGAGAGACGACTTGCATGTTCTCATCACAATCCTTGGACTCCCTTACCGAGGAAATGGAAAGAGAGGTGGGTGCCGTTTCGACCGTGTCTGTATATGAGAACACGGAGTCGGATTGCTGATGCCTGGATCTAGGTGTGCTGGAATCCATGCTGCTGTCAGGCGATGCTGGTGCAGCCACGGGTTCGACGGGCGGGAAGATGGAGTATCTCGCTGGCCGGTTGTTGAGGTGTACGCTCTGGATGGCCGCCGTTGCAAGAGAAGGCGGAGGAGTATATGGCCGTTCGAAGCGAGATGCTCCTATGGGACTGATGTCTCGAGTGGAGCGGGCACGGGACGCCATGTTGGTATGCTAGACGCCAGTGTTTCTGTGAGGAACAAAGAGAGCAAGCCGGACGTCGGATGGGTGGTGATGGTGATGAAGAGTATGAGACTGAGCAGAACGAAGACGGCGAACGCAGCCCGCAATGCAGAGGGGAATCAACGCATACTAGTACATGTCATGCGACCCGCTCGCGAGGGAAGTTGCCTACTAGCTTGTGGGCTACGAGAAGGTTTGGGTTCAATAAACGGTTGATGAATACGGTCCAGACGTGGGAGGCGCATTCTTGTTGGACTGGTGTGACGTTCATGCGGCGGCCCGAGCAGCCCATCTTTTGCCCTTGTCCGTCCCTTGGTCCATTTTTCTCCGCCAATGTCGAGATCCAGCCCTGCGCGAACATCACAACGGAAAGACATCCATGCCTGCCTACTCATGACATTCGAGTGCAACGAGTCTATCGATGGGTGATGTTGATCCATGAGTCGAGGCCACAGCATTCTTGACAGAATGGAAGGGACTTTTGCGAGCCCGAGCATGTCATGCCCTGAGCTTCTCCAGCRCTGCGTTTGACATGGAACTAAGGTAAGCCACCTCTCAGATGGACGTGAGCTCGGGATTTTCAGGGACGCCTTGTTTCATCTCGTACGAATGCAGGTGCATGTGCCCTTTCCGTGTTGCTCTTATCAACAATCCCACGGCGGAGGTCCCCAAGCAATCTTACCTGTCGATTGCCACCCACCGTTGGTCTACATTTCCAGTTCCATTTCCAAATCTCAAAATTCGAGCGCCGAGCAAACGTGGAGGGATCGGCAAGTTCTTGGCCGGGAAGTTGGAAGTCGAAGCCGGGCCCGCCACCACGCAGAAGCAGATCTCAAAACTTTCGTCGTTGGGCGGACGTGAAATTGAAGGTTATTCTAAACCTGCGCCCCTCGTGAAATCTGGACTTTGTAGAGATGGACACCATACTCTTGKACATGATTCTCTATCGGACGACGTATACGTCGTGGCTACACCAAGGTATTTTGCGTGGTTCTTGCACGTCGTGTGATATAGACGGCATTCTTGACCCGGCAATCTTCAATTTCATCAGCCCTTGGGACTTTGGGGGTCCTTGCGCGCTCGCACACACGGTACCGCAAGATCTGCATCATCATCCTGTCGTCAAGAGTGGCAACTTCATTAAACAACCGGCTTCTACAAACTCTTCCAACATGAACAACCCTCTCGAAAGTGGCACGCCAACAACCCGTGCGAGCATGCCGACATTGGAGCTCCCGAACGCCACGGAGCGGAGACGTCGAGAGAGATGTCTGTGACTCTGCGCCATGCGCATCATCTCTTCTGCCACAGCAGAAAGCACTTGCATCACCACGTTGCGCGCTGCTGAAGGTATACGCTTGCTCTCACCCATTCGTCGCATCTTCGAGAGCAATGGAGCCGCTACCAACCAACACCTTGTGGAAAGTTCTCCGGAGTGCGACTCTTCGCTTCGCATGTACGRAGTATGGCCCTCAGGCACACTTTGTGCTTGTTCGCATCCGATGGCCACTGCACAACGCCCACGTGACAGGGTGTTACAGCGCTGCATATGCCGATCACCACACCACTCCATCGACTATACTACTAGTAGTGAACGACTGCCGGAGGTGCTACTAACACAGGAATCGATCGGAAAGAGTGTGCAGCAGCCGAACGCCCTACACCTGAAGGCATTATTCTACGCTGGATGGCTGCGGCCTGCATCAACGTTAACGTCGCCCTCTTAACTACGCCGGTGCCCAACGTTGCGGATCGGCGCTCCGGGTCTCGTGAATTTCCTAAGGCGTCAGCGAGTAATGAACACCTTTTGGCGAGTCGCGGAGGTACACATGCATGCACACCCAGAGCAGGTGCAAGCGTGCGCTTTCTTTTGCAATCTGAGGTAAGATATGTGACGACCCGGAAGCACAGATTCAGTGTCATTTGGCTGTCACGTCTCCGCGGGACATCTCACCAACAGATCTTTTGGAAGAATCGTTGAGTTCCACAATTCGGCTGAGAGAGCAGTAAAGCCATTGCTGGAATTCTTGACTTCCCTCATGTCTACGGAGCCCTAGGATCTTTCCACGTTGTGGTGTGGGTGTCATGGTCGGCAAAGAACGCAACGCCTTCGGCTGTACGCAAGATCTCCCATCCTCCCGGAAGCTCGCCTACTGGATTCTCGGGTCTATCAAAAGTGCTCATCTTCGACGCATGGTTGATGTAGTAAGTCTTGCCCTCGCTGTCCACCAGCGCTTGCCAAGCTACAGGTAGACCGCTTCCATCCGTTTCTGCTTCAGGGCTCTGCCAGGTGTTGGTTCTGGTAGCATGGTTGGTGTAGAATGTTTTGCCGCTGCTATTTGACATTTGTTGCCAATGTGGTCTCAAAGCTGCCGCCGTATGAGAGCTTTCGGCCATTGTCTCCAAGTGGTGATGAATGCGTGTCGTTCGTTCCCGGCTGGGTGTCTTTTTACGGTGGGAATGATCAAGTGGGAGGGTTTCTAGTTGAGCATCTAAGTACTTGTATTGGAGAATACGCCACATGGTATGGTAAAGTCCCTCAGTTGCAGGTACCAATGTAGACTGCCAGGTCATAGGACGTGGCTTGAAATCCCTCAATCACAAATGTCTCTACCTCGTACACTGCAAGGAAGAAACTGGGCTCGTTGCGTTCCGTCTGGGGCTTCGCGATTTGTGCTTTCTGCGGGTCGTAGACCGTCGTCAAAAGAACAGCGCCCGCCAACCACATCAGTCTTCACCGAGATGAAAGCCAGTCAAGCCGTCAATGTCGAGACGGGAAGGACCAGTCAGGAATGCAAGAGGGCCTGGAATGTGCGTATCTGCACTTGTGTACTACACTGACCGACAATGCCGTACATGAGCCGATTCTTATGGCATTTTGTCCATTCTCAAATGACGACAGACTTGACCGTAGCCAACTACCGATCTTGACATATCACTTCGCTGGCTGCACAACAAAATCCGTGCTGTCTAGGGTTGGGGTTAGAGGTTAGGGTAGCGACGCATGAGCCAAGATCCTAGCGCTGACGAGACACCTCCTTCTCAACTTGCAACGCAACAATTAATAGACTTGACCAAAAAGCATTTTGTATTTGGTTTTCTGGGAAGACCTTCACATCACGTCCGCAGAGCCAGCCTCTCCCCAAGAATCTCACTTTCGCGGCGAACCGATACGGAGCATTGGGAACGCAAGCCTGGCATGCTGCGAGGATAGGCAGGGACTCGAAGGTCCCGGGCTCTCAATAGAGCGTCTCTGTGCATCAAAGAGAGCCCTGTCGAGCGTCACGGCGCTGGTGAACAGACAGCGAAGCAGCTCTCGCGAGAGTGTAGCGAAAGAGAGGCTTCCGATGGGAAGAGACGCGCTATGGCGGAGCAGCTGTACACCACACCATGCGCGACGGAACTATACCAGCAGCATGTGATCAGTAAGCTACTCCGCCGGGATGCTTGCTGGCCGGTCAAACAAACAAGTCAATCATGTCGGGCAGCGGGCCATACGGCCAAAGCTGGTCGTGCTAGGTGGTAGGATTGGTCTCACGATGATGGGCGAAAGAGAGGCCTAAACGGTACAAGCGAAGTGGAACGGTCAAACCCGAGACACGCATTGCGCTGCACGCATCTTGGTCAAGTTACTGCTTCGACAGCGACCAGCGGACCGCAACGCGGTGGACGCGGCCGACACGCCATACACCCTGTTCCGCGTGGACTGCCACATCGGGAGTAATCCTTTCATTTCGTCTCATTCAGATTATTCATGCATTTCAATCTATTAAGCTCACGCCTTCCAGTGACGTCTTTTGGGGAACTCTGCTACCCACGATGCCAGCTGCTTTACAACGGCATCCTGGACCTTCTTGCAGCCTGCATTAACTTTGCCGTTCATGGTGATCAAGTCACTCGTGTGGAACCCGCCTGGCACGATCTCCACTGGAACCTGCTTGGTGCTTTTCAACGGCCCCTGGGGCCTCAGATCTGAGGACACCGATGCTTCCCTCCACGGATCGGAATCGCCATTGACATATATCAGACGAGTGGTATTGTCGATGTTCCAGCCACCGGTGTACGCATTGACCTGGTCCTCAGTCTTRCCAAGGGCGATGCCAAAGCTCTCTCCGTGTGGACCCTGCGGAAAGTATAGCCCGCACTGGCGAGTCCAGTATTCTGCCGTCACAAGTCTGCTGACGATCGAAGGCCTACCTTCCGGGGCACCATCCTGCCAGTATCCGAACGGCTCATTGCAGGTCATAAACACCCACTGACGGTCGATGGTGTTGCTCAAGCTGGTGTCCGTGTACATTGGGTTGCTGGCGTTGTAAGTGTCGAGGCACCCAATGTCGTGGTCGTCCGTCCAGTATCCATAACCGGCACACATTCCTGGGAACTGGACTTCTTTCCACCACTTGGCATACCCGGCGAGCGCTTTCTTCAAACCGACGCCACTTGGACCCGCGACAGCCTTGCCCGTGGCATTGACGGAGTTCTCAATGTAATCACACCATTTGAAGAATCCGGTGTCCTGATAGAACTGATTGCCCTGCCACAGCCACGGGCCGTTTTCAAGCGCTGCCATGAAATCATCGTTGTGTTCCAGAGCCTCGAGCCCGAACATGGACTTGAGATCGTGGATTTCCTTGTTGGAACCATGCATGAGTATGCCGTCCATATGGTCAATCACCAACGAGACGTCTTTGCTACAGTTCTGAGGCATGCCCTGCTGAACGGGGAGAAAGTATCCATAGTAGTCTGAAACAGCCTGGACTGGAGCGCTGGAAGAGTGGTATGCCCACAGGGTGCCTGGGTCAACGCTAGCAGTCCATGCCGACAGTGCTCCGGAGTAAGATCCGCCCATTGTCACCCAAGGGACATCCTTGGCGTTACTGCTGCCGTGCTTTGCGAAAGGAAGTTTGACATGGTTTGCGAAGTAAGTCAGGTCTTTGATCGAGTTCTCTAGGGTCAAGTATTGAAGGTTTTCTGTGGTGAGATCGGCGAATGGAGACGACACTCCCCAGTATCGGTGCTCGAGCACAATCGTCGCAGCTCCGATTTCTTGCGCGAGTACTCCGGTGGTACCTGGTGGTCATGTCAGCACTCCTGCACTCCTGGTTCTCCCGCTTTCTGCCGCTGCAACTCCAACCAACGTTCAACTTGCCGCAAGGCTGCTAGCTTTTATGCTCATGCTACCTCTTCGCGAAAGTTGTTGTTGATTCACCACAGGAACAGCCGGCGGCCTTCGATTTCACCGAGCCTCGATCATTCATTTCGATCCACTTACGATTCGTGGTGAGGTAGCTTGCATAGCGAGTGGCGTTGACTTCACCAGGCGTGAAAAGGATCACCGGCGAGCCAGGACCTTTCCAGAAGGTCGTATCGTAGAAATAAAACTGCGAGAACGTCCCCAAACCAGGATTCTTGTGGTCGATCAACTGCTGGAAAGTTGCATTCTGCGATCCCGCAACTGGAGCTGTGCCTGGCAAATGCTGGCTATTGCAGCCGCGATTGGGGTAACCTCCATTCCAGTCGAATTTCCCCGCTTGTTGTTCATGGTGAATTTCGTGGGCGTATGCCAGAGCTGCTCCCGCTAACGCGGCAAAGATGGACCGCATCTCAGATGCTTGATATGGTTGAGATGACTGGAAAGGCGATATGGTTGAGATGAAGGGTGGGAGGCATCGAAGAGATATACATTCTCGCCGATTCTGCGTATCTTTTCCACGCTTGTGACTATCGATGCCACCGTGCCTTTCATTCTGCTCGTGTTATTGGTACCTCCTGCCTAATAGGTTGTAGAGCGATGATTGCCTTCCCAAAGTCGATTGGTGTATGCGTCGATCTCTGCTCCGCACTCGGCTCGTGATAGCCGTTGGTGGGTCCGCGCAAAGTTCCAACTTCCAAGTCCCGCTGCATCCTCTCTGCCTTCTCGCCAACCACAACGTCTGATGTACGACCACACTGCAGCAGCGCTATCGGGTACAGATAGAAACAGAAAGATTACCCTGATTGCTCATCGCTTACGACTATTGGTGGTGCCACGAAAATCATAGTCGTGGGCTATATCGTATCAACCTACCCGGAGCTTGTGTCCCCGCGCAGATAAGCTGGCGAATCGCACAAGCAGATAGATGGCTAAGACACCGACCCTAAGGTTGGCACGCTGCTTCTCTCGGGCAAGACATGGCGGTGTGCCGCGACTGAAGGCTTATTATGTCCTCATCATGAACATCGGCCTCCTCGTCACCGAACCATGATTTCCTGAACTCCTCCGCCATTATGCCTTCTTCCTACAATACCTGCGAACTCTGGTTGTTCAATTTCTCCTGGATACGATCTGAGCCCGCGAAATGACCTCAAGGTCGGCGTCCAGACCACCCTCATCTATTGCGAATCCCGGGAACTCCGTCAACAGTACACGCTCGTGTTCCTCCTGGTTTGTTTCCATGGACATTGAGTCGATCTCATCGCCTCCGGTGTACCATAGAAAAGCAGTCGTCTCGCGAGCCGTGGAGATCTCGCACTTGAACACTAAGGCATCAAGTATAATGCCGGAGAAGCGCCCTGCCAGGGCATACATCGATGGACCGTAAGTCTGGCCGTCGATGCCGTGTGTAACACCCAGGTGCTGCTCTAAACGAACTGCGAAGTCTTCCGATAGCTGGTCGGCGATTGGTCTGAGCATCAGCTGGGTCCAGTCACCTTTGACGAGACGGCGCAGATATGCCTTTCTTAGGACAGTGTCACGATCGGTCCCTGTCTAAAGTCAGCGTGGATCCCACCTACACTGCACGATCGAGAATACTTACGGTGCTCTTGGAGCACTTCGTCGATTTCAGTTGCCGCCTCCCATTCCTTGGCCTTGAAGTCGTTGAAGGTCTCCACTCCCGGCTTCTCCCAAACTACCCGAACTAGGAAGGCACTGAAGAGTGAGAGTGCCAAGGTCTCTGCAGAAGCCACAGCAACAATAGCGCTTTTCACAACCTTTGTCTTGTCAACTCCTGTGATCATCAGGTAGRGCTGTTGCACGCCGAGAGGTGGTACCAAGAGGAACTTCGCCGGCTGCTTTAAAACCTCGCGGGCTGCCAATGCCTGATGAATTCGGCTTTTGGCTTGAGAAAACATTTTCAGAAGATCGCCAGAGAGTGGTCCGGTATTCAGCGTGTAGCGTGTCCCATCCGGCAAGAAGTCATCGGGAGTTCTGATCCGAAGAGATGGCCTAGCTGGCTCTTCTATCATGATCCTGCCTTGCTGTACGAGAAGTTCTGCCGCTGGCTCGGAAGGAGACGACGCAACACCATCGCCGGTCCGTTGGCCATCGCGCTGCGGTGTCTCCACATCTGGAATCTGTGGCTGCCGTGCTCGTCCAAGGCCAGGCTCATTTTGGGACTGATGATACACTGATGAGTTGTGATTGGAGGTAGATTCAAACGACCATGAGCTGGGCTGTGAATCGGCAATAACTTCGGTCAGTCCAATCGTCCTTGCGTGCGATTGGTGCCGCTGAAAAGGATACTCTGCGCCTGATTCACGCTCGTGTCGCTCACCTACAGCAACTGAACCACCGTCGGACCGTTTGTGATCTGCACTGTCGCGGTTGACGAGAAGTAATGGCGTCTTTGAGGAGGCCATCGTCTCCAAGCCCTCACTACTCTGTTGTTGCTCAAGTGTAGTGGATGAGTCGTCTGAGAGTTCCTGATCCCCCTCGATGGCCACTTCCCGACGGTCGGCATTGTCTGACACCTGACCAGCGAAGATGCGATACTCCTCCCACAGTGGCCGTGATTTTGCTATTCGGCTGATAGGATTGCGCAAGAAGTCGGACACAGTTGTTCCGCTCTCATAATCTCTAGAGAGCATACCATGCATAAGATTGCGGACTTGTGCAATGGTTCTCTGTTTGATTCTTTGAGACACTTTGTCCTTGATCTGCAGGCCGGCAAGCTTTCCGTGCATTTCTCGCGCCAATTCCATCGGTAAGGGAGGCTCTACGCCTTTCTGCGTGTAGTTGGTGTGGATGAAGTCGATGATACGACATTTCTGATTCACAACATCTCTGTTGTACGCCAGACTGTCTGATGGTTCTTGTAGCGGACGTTTGCCCGAACCGGAGGCGGCTGTCCTGGGTTTGCCATGCAGACTCTTCGGCGCTGTCCGTTGAGCTTGGATGCGTGGCTGCTTGCTTTTTTTGGCTACTTGTTTTGATGGGGAGCCGAATGGCGAGCTGGATCCGTTGCCATTTCCGCTCTCGCTGCCGGGGGAAGAGAATGGGAGAGAGGCAGCATCCTCTGTGCTGCGTCTCCGCTTTACTCGCGCCATCTTGACGGAAGGTGAAGATGATGTTGCGGCAGAAGTCGTGCAGGAAGCTGTCGAGGAGCTGTTTGGTCGTGCCGCTAGCAGAAAATGATGATGCACGCGCGCGAGGAGGAGATCACAACAACAGTGAAGGCGACCAAAACAACACGACGAGCTTTTCTTCGGAGCAGTCCAACCATCGCCAGAACAGTACAGAACGTCCGAATCGGCGGCAGGAAATTGAGCGGCGAAGTTGCATCACCTGCGACCAACTGAGCCTGCCTCACTTTCTCGAGCGGTGAGTTGCTCTAGCAGCTTTTTCCTGTCCATCTTAGCCACCATCCGTTGCCAAACTTGTTCCTCGCACCACCAATGACTGCGCATCATTTAGCAAGTAGACTGACGGCGGAACAGCAGCCATGGAAGGCAACGCCGCAGCACGCGGCGCGCCAGAGGCTCTCTACATCATCGACTACGGCACCAAGACCCTTCCAGTAGGAGCTCAGATCAGGCACGCTCGCCAGCAGCCAGMTCCCGGTAGGACATCCATACTGCGTCTCCAAGATCAGCCGGGCACGGAGTCGCCACAGCTCGTAGGCTATGTTTCACGCAACGGTGCCCTCGAATTTGTCTGGGGATACGAGTTGAGTAAACTCCGTCAACACAGCAAGCAGAACACCAGCAAGGTCGTGGCCGTGTTCGAGCGACTGAAGCTAGCTATCCTCGGCACCAGCGAGGAGTCGGTGGTTGTAAGAAGGAGTATCGAAGACGGCCTGAAGCGTCTGGATGTGCCGGAGAAAACCGCAGAAGATTTGTTCGTCCGTCATCTCATCGCCCTCCGGCCCGCCATCTCTGCCGCGGTTTCGAAGGAGTTTGCTTCACTGCGCAACAATCGGTCCGCTCAACAACTCAACAAGATGCCAGTCCATGTCTTCTTCGCCGCTCCAGAGATCGCTGAGTTGGACAAGCTGCACAATCTCTCAAAGTTGCTAAAGCGTGCGGGCTTCCCAGAAACCACCCTCATCCCAGAAGCGGAGGCTGCTGGTGCCTGGCACGCTTTCAGGTTCTGTCACGAGATGCTTGACCCGAGGATATCAGATGAGACCTTTGCTGTTGGTACAGGGTTGGTTGTATGTGATATAGGTGGCTGGACTTGCAACATTTCCTCGTTCACTCTGTCCGGATCGGCTGCCAAGGGTGCTCGGATGGGAATGAAGAGCACTGGCAGAATGGCTAGTAAGTCTCGATTCCTCGCTCGAGCACGCGGAGAAGTAGCAGCTAACATATACACATTAGGTTTGCCGCTCGGGTCCGAGATGGTCAACTTCAAACTGCTTGATTACATCAAGGAAGATCTCATCGCCACGTTTAAAGACTTGCCAACAGCCTTGGCCGAGCTTGGAGTAACGGAAGATGCCCTGGACTACGACTTGAACAAACACTTTGAGTCATTCAAGCTCGGCTTCCAGGAAGAAGGAACACGAGCAATGGAGGTCAGAGGCATAGAGACTGGCGACTACTACCAGAAGTGTGGTCAGATTCCGGCATTTTCCTATGAGATCACTGACGACCAGGTCTCAGGATGGATTGATGACCTAGCGAGCGATATGATTCCTGCAATTGAGCGGATCTCGTCTCCTACTTCAAGAATCCTGACGATGACTGGAGGATTCTCGCTGAATACATACCTGATCGAGGTCTTGAGGAAGCACTTTGAGCCTCTCGGTCTGACTGTCATTACACCTGGAGGAGGACCCTATCGGAATGCCGACCTGGCTGTCGTCAACGGCGCACCCGCCCGTTTTGATGCCAATGCTCCAAAGCGTCCCTTTCCTTATGCCTTGGGAATGTCGCAAGACGAGACCTACGACCCAGAACAACATCCGGACATGGACACTGACTCGAGGGGCACCATTCCCGACCCCGACGATCCAGAAAATGAAGAGAGAGAATGGGTGGAGGGCCGTTATGTGGAGATCCTCCCACGGGTAGGTCTTGACGTACGAGTCGCTGCGTCCCGGGATGTCTGCTAATCTCTTCTAGGGTAAACTGATGATCAACAGCTCTGGATCGTATGTTCGCTGGTTAACGCGCGACGTGCAAGAAGCTGCCTTCGACTATGAGAAAGAGATCTTCTTCACCTCGGCGAAGGTGCTGGAGCATGCACCTACCCGCCCAGACGGCCACCTCCGCACAGACCTCAAGGTTTATGACACCATTAAAGCCTCTTTCTCTGTGGAAGATGTGATGGAGATGCCGTTGAAGGAAGTTGAGTACGACTCGAGCCAAGCTCAAGTAGCATCCAAACCACCCACAAAAGGCGTGGCGAGGTCGTCAATACGGACGAAAGCTATGATGGAGAAGTCACAAGGTCGATCAGGTCTTCAAGTGGAGCAGGACGAATCGCCAGAGCATCAACTTTTCCTCAAAGTCACAACGATGCTGAATGGCATGACCGTCTCGGTTAAATTGGAGAGACCACGACCTGGTTGCGACGTGTATGTGGAGATCTACAAAGACAACGGAGAGGTCGTGTCCCAGCGTGACAAGCAGGCGCTATCTAATAGCGCGAAGGGAAGAGAGCGGGTGTGGATCTTCCGTGATCCCCCACAGAAGGATATGATACATGTCACATCGACTAGCTTGCTGAGTGAAAAGCACTGGCCGCAGTTGCAGCGCGAGGAGGGTGTGGACGAGGCCACCGCCGCGAACACGGAGCGACGAGACAGTGTGTTGCAGTCGATCGAAGATGACGATGCGGACGAATATCGCCCTACCACCAAGCGGACACGTAAACGTTGATTGKAGCAGATAAACGAAGTGGTCCTCTAACCGACCAAGGAGGAAGCGGCAAGTTCGCATTCGTTCGAGGACATGATGGATTGGGGCAGTAAAGGCCTGCGCGACCTGAGAAGAAACAACGAATGACTTGCGAAAGTTGCCACCTGTGAAGGTGCATTGTTTGCGGCACAGAGACTGTCGGAGGAACGGATTGGTAGAAGAAAGATTGGGCAAGTGACTCAAGGCACAGCAGAATGATAAAACGATGTCTCACATCTCTACTCTCCGAGTCGATCAAGTTCCATGTTCCCTCGTTATAGAGTTTAGTTCTGTGGCGTACTCTTGCCTGCACATCATATCTTCGTCCCACCATTTCCCAAAGAGGCTGGCACAGGCGCAATTAGTCCATCAGCGGGTGGTACAGCCGCAGCCTTCAGGTCCTCATTTTCGCTCGTGCTTTCAGCTTCACCAGCCTGGATGGCCTGCTCTCTTCGAAGTACGACCGCATCAAGTTTGTTTGCGATTGAGGATGGTAGTACACCACTCAGACTTTTCAGGATCGAGGGCAGAACCTCATCTATCTTCCGTATTGTTGCGGCAAAGGTGCCCAAAGCCAGTACTGACATGCCGATAACGAATGCCCTTCGGTAGCGAGGAGAATCATCAGATCGGAAAATCTGCGCGCCGTAGATACCGGCCGTGTTGGCTCCCATGATGACCCTGAGAGTGCATCAGTGTTTTGTTCGAGCATGATAAGAAAACGTAATCAACCTACATGGCCATTGCGAGCGCACGCTCCTCGGAATCTGTGCAGGTGAGGGAGAGCCATGCAATATTCAGAGGGTGGGCAAAGGTCCCAAATGTTTGCGTGAAGACCACGCCAAAGTAACGAAGGCCTTGATTGCTAATCTCAGTGAATATGCGGTTGAAAATGTACGCCAATGTCGCCAGACTAAGTGTCAAGATGACAGTCTCGCCTCGTCGATTGCTAAGAAAGAGGTCAGTATCCCGCCGTCTGTGTCATTTKCTTGAATACTCACAAGCGATCGGAGACGAAGCTGAAGAAAAAAGAGACCGGTATCTGGGCGAAGAGGCCCACGGATGCAAGGGCGTTGGCGGAAAGATCAGCGAATCCAAAGCCTCTGACAAGCGATGGAGCATAGGTGTCGAAGCCACGCTGAGGTCCATTGTTGCAGAGCGTGATGAGAACATGGATCCAGACCCTCCAGTTGGAGAACTACATACGTCAGTGTGCTGCGCAAAAGTGTCAAATGTCCAACGTACAGCTTTCTTGAAAGCAGGAAGGCCGATTCGCTTCTTCTTTCTACCCTTTGCAGGGTCATCGAGAAGCACACGGCCTTGCAGAATGTGCACTTCGCGCTCCGTGAAAATGTGGATCCACGGCAGAAAGGCACTGCGAGGTTTCTTGAAGGAGTCGGGAAGGAGGAAACCTAGGATGAAGCCGCAGAAGATGGTGAAGCCTCCCATGAGGACAAATAGCCAGAACCACCCAGACTGCCCAGCGACACCACGCATGTGCAAGATACCATAGGCGAGGAGTTTTGCAGATGCTTGTCCAAACTGGTTGCCAAAGTAGAAGATCATCACGCGCTTGGCAGTCTCTTTGCGGGTGTACCATGTCGAAAGCGTCCAGAGACCCCCAGGAATGAAGCCAGACTCTGTGATACCGAGAAGGAGGCGGGTGGCGATAAAGGAACCGTAGTTGTTCATCCAAGCTTGGAATGTGCTCACCGTGMCGAAGAGGAATAGTTGTAGGGTGAGCCATTTTCCTGGACCGACCCGGTACAGAATCATATTAGAAGGGATTTCGAAAAGCACGATACCCAGAGAGAGCATTTGCTGGCCAACGTTGAACTCATTCTGGGTGATTCCAATGTCGTCGAGGAAGCCATCCGTAAGTGCGTTTGCGATGTTGCCGCGGTCCAGTTGCAAGCAGAAGAAGCCGAGAGTCAACAAGGGCATGATGATCAAGTCCAACTTCCGCTTTGCTTTCCTCTCTTCTTCCGGAGTCCAGTCTCTTCGCGAGTCAGTTCCATCCTCACTGCCATTGCTGTAGACATAGTCTCCAGCAGACTTCACGTCGAGGTCAGACATAACTTCGGAGACGTTGAGTAATGACCAAAAGGAGAAACAGAAACCAACGTCGAGGCAGCAGAGCAACTACATGTACGAACAGATGCCTTGGCAAGCTGCATGGCGTGCGTGTTATTTGCGAATCTTCTCTGCAAAGGCGACATCTGGATCAAAGAAGGCTTTGTAGTTCGGGGCAGCGCCCTAACTCGAGCATTGACAAGGGACTGTACAGCCTGGTCACTGGCCGGCGATAACGAAATCAAGCCTCCACGATGTTCTGGCTCGTGGAAGAGCGCAGGATATTGGGATCGTTGACGGAAACCAAGTCGAAGACGCAATAGTTTGCCGATGGAAGGCGTGTTGTGCGCCCTTGGCCATCTTGGTAGTGAGGTCGGTCTGCGATCGAGTAGGGATGTGCAAGTCGTTCCAAGTGCTTGGCTGGCATGGTGCGATATTGGGGACTGAGCACGCCATCTATTCGCCAAGAAGTGAATGTATGGGAATCCTGGGGAGTCCTACGGTCCATGTCGCGGATACCGACCGAGCAAACATGTTCATCAGATCTTCTTCATTTTCAAACGAGTCCAGGCCTTGGACAGAATGATGTGCGGTACGATGTCGCGATGAAGGCATGGCCGTGAAACCACATTCGTTATGGTGAAGTCTTTGTTTGGGCTGGGGTGGAAATCTCCAGCATGGATGTGTTGACCGGAGTTCAGTCCGCGGACAGTCAGCAATCCCGTCACGTTGAGGATCTTCAGGTTGTTCCTGCAAATCCTGTTGACGTCAGCAGCAACAAAATACTTGATGGACTTTCATCCGCTACTACAAGAGATAGATACTCGATGCTTGCGAGTTCTGGCACGACGCACGGCTTCATCGAGCAACGCAGATGTGTTGGCATGTAGGACTCTCTTGTTTCGAGGTTGCAATGCTTGCGTGCATGTTCCAACAGCTGAAGATTGATTGCCATTGTCTGGTCTCAAACTCGCAAGTGCCCCTGAGACAGCCCAGCAGGCCTTTCGCGCTGCGAACAGACACCGAGTTCCGGGGACATTGCAAGAATCGAGATGGCGTTCCACCCACACAAGGCAAGAATAGGAACAGCATCGGTCCCGGGTATCGTAGGTCATTCTGACAATGCATTCTACCGCCACGGAGGCCTCCTCAGCAACCAGGAAGCATGTCTTCTTTACAACACTAGGCGTAAGTGTTTCTCATTGATATCCCAGCTTTACGGCTGTTGCTGATGCTTTTACTATGCTTTTTCCCATAGCGGCACCCCGTCCGTCTACGTAGAGACTCCAACGTCTACCATAGAGCGGCCTTTCAAAACTGCGAGGGCATCTCTATATATATACCCGAGCTTACGCTAGGCTACTGGCATCCCCTGATCCATACACCGGCAAGCACAAGTGAGCCGGAACGAGAGCTCCTGAAGTCGAAGGAAGAGTGGACTGGTTCGTATGAAATTGCCGCTTTCCCAATCGATTGCGACAGCAAGTAATCCCCGGTGGAGTTTTGCTATGGTCTTTAATCATGCGAATTCTGAAGCCTCCTGCTTCTACTTTCTCGCTGCTTCTGCCACACGCCCTTTGTTTGGACAAGATTGCTCAGCAAACCCCCCGCATACTTGTAGACCTGAAGTCGTTACCGTTATGACCGCAGGTATCATACAAGCCAGCGATCACGTCTCGTTATGCCACCCAGAAGACGCAGGATGTCGGAGCAGTTCTACGAGGAAATGAAGACTCTACTTGATCAGAAGGACTCAATCAGACGTGAAGTTGAGACTCTCGAAGCTGAAGAAAAGCTACAGGAAATTCAACTCGCCAGACTCACGCAGGCCATTGAAGACCATGAAGTTGCGTCTCTCAGACAACAACCCAGGCTCGCCATACCTGTTGGAACGAAAGATGGACCGCTTACCAGTGACAAGCATGTTCCACTTTTCAGAATGTTCAGGGAGACCAGCATGGAGAAGGAGGAGGGTCACGATGCTGAAGATGAGTATCGCCAAGCTGCATATCTCAACCAACAATCGGAGCGTATCATGCCTATCAGGACGAACGCTCAACGGCCTGCCAGTGACAAGCATCTTCTACCTTTCAGAATGTTCAGAGAGACCGCCACAGAGAAGGGAGAAGATCACAATGCCAAAGTCGAAGATCACGAAGCTGCATATTTCGAACAACTATCGGAGCGTGTTATGCCTACCAGGACGAAAGATCAACGGCCTCCTAGTGACAAGCATCCTCCACTTTTCAGAACGTTCAGGGAGACTGCCACCAAGAAGGAGGAAGAGCACGATGCCAAAGATGATGATATCAAGAGGGACATGTCTGCCGAGGTCGATGAGGTGAAAGCAGAGGAAACGTTTTTCGAGGAGGCATTCATTAAAGATGAAGGTGAAAGTAAATCGCTCTGAAACTGCCGAACGGCGAGCTGCATGGGCTAGGGCTTAGTGTATTGGATTGTCACGGCTCGCCAAGGGAAAGTATTCTGGTCGTTTACCTCGATCTGCCGTACATATGGGGTCAGCGGAATTTACAGTGGAGCCTTTTGCGGTTGAGACATTTCGGGCGATTGAAAGGAATAAGGACACAAAGCCGCATCAAAGTGTCTTTAGAACATCGTCGAAGCGTACGATCGGCAGWACCACCGTCAATCTACTGATTGCAAGCGAATTCAGCCCTTTGTTTGTATGCCCAAGGATTCTCAGCAGTGAGGCTCAGGTTTTCTAGGCCTTAAGCCAAGGGATTTGTGCCATCAGTTCCAGCACCTGCATCTAAGATCAGCTCCGTGAGAACTTCAGCTCCTAGCGGCACTTCTCGGTCTCTCTGGATTTATCTGGACGCTTCATCTCTCGGAACGCCTGGACGTGGTGGGAAGTGTCGAGGTGGAGGGCCTCTCGGAACGCCTGGAGGTGGTGGAAGACCTGGAGGTGGTGGAAGACCTGGAGGTGGTGGATATTCTGGAGGTGGTGGAATGCCTCGAGGATGTGGAAAGCCTGGAGGTCGTGGAAGGCCTCGAGGTGGAGGGCTTCTCGGGGGCAGCCTCTCTGCTGCAAGCCTCTCCTCACGCTGACGTTGAGCTATCAGCTCAAAGATATGCAAGATCCTCTGTTCTGCCACCTCGCTGTCTTCGTCGTCGTCGTCGTCGTCGACTTCGTCGTAGTCGTCGTCGTCATCATCATCATCGTCGTCGTATTCTGCCTCGTACAACCGCTGTCGCGCATCCTCGATCAGGTATCGTGCCACGGGGATAATACGCAGAGAGTTGCCGTCGTTGATGACGAAGTGCAAGTTTGGATCATCGTCTTCTTCTTCTTCCTCCGAATGGTTGCTCAACTCGTCTCCTTGGCCTAGGTCGAGAGGACCACGACCGTAGCCTTCTGCGAACCACATCTCTTGTTCTAATTCTGCTTCATCGTCGTGATTGTCAGAGTCACTGTCTGGTCCGCCATCATGGCCGAAGGGGTTGTCTGGTGTTACTATTGGCGGACGAGGTTGGCCTCGACGTCGTCGCGCTCTTGTGCGATTTTGGGGATGGTTGGCTCTTCTTGCGATATTCGACTCAATACTATCCGACAATTYAGCTTTTTGCAAGATCGCAAGTTAACACAGGGGACACATACGAACGAACCGTCTGACGGCGGACCACTGCTCTGCGCCCAGGGACCTGAAGTCGTGGCATGGTTGCGATGTTTGTTGAAATTGTTGGCTGTTTGCGACTTTGTGAGCGACGTTTTTAAGGACCTACAGCCTGCGGAGCCTTTACCTCCCAAAGGAAATTGTGAATGAAACAAGTCTCACCCCGCGGTCTTCACATAGTATCGAAGGTATCACCTCGTCACAGACAACGAGACGGTGTTGAATCGTGGCTGTGCATAGACACTCTTTGACTCTACTGGAGTGGTCCTCTGAGACTCACTTGAATGTCTCGCCCAGTGGAACGTTCACCACGAGATATCGGACGAGTTAAGTTACACTGCTGAGCTTGTTCTCCCTCAATATCACCAAGACTGACAGCGGTATTTACGGCTGCAGCGCGGGAGCAGATCCCATCGATCCTTGCAACATACGTGTCGAGCAAAACGCGATCAACTTGACCTCGCAGAACTTGTTGAACTTTGGCGGTGCCCAGAAGAGTTGCCGGCCAATACGGGATGCTGGAGCCATGAAGCCTTTCCAGACAGGCTGCTCGCGGGGAGGATCGACTTTCTGATGGATCGGTATCTCCCTTCAACGGGGCATCGATTGCTTCAAGTATTCCAGTACGGCGCATTGATAAATCGTCCAAGACCACCAGCAAGCATACCTGCGAGCATTTACCGGCGACCAGCTTGCTTTCTCACGTATACCAACGCACGACACCTTGAAAGAGACGCCGCCGCCATCCGATATACTCGTACAGTCCTCCACGCTCGTGAGGCTAACAAGGTTGACAAGACTCGCTCGCTATTGCAACTGGTCATGACGATCGTCTTCCCGATAGTTGCCAGATTTGCATCCTCTGGCGAAAGGTATCGCCCGCTTGAGACCCGCAACGCTCCACTGCTTGCATGGTGTTGGGGGATGAGCTGCGAAATGGAATCGCGAGCTGAGCGGTGGTAGAGTGCGTGCGTGTTGATGTTGTAGTGACCAAGGAAAGAAGCGRGTGAGATCAATTGTATCCGCATCTGGGTCCAACTTTCCTCCGGAGGATTGGGACCTTCAATTGCGGCGCGGCACATTCCATCCACAGCAGCCTGCTCACCTATCACGGTCTTCACCAACTCGCGGACGGCCTATAAACGTAGACGCAGACTGGCCAGTCACCTGAAGGTGTTCACCGACCGTCACCTCTTGAACAACATCAAAAACCGTTCAAGGACCGAGAACGCCACACTCGAAGCTGCCGCATGTGAAACGCTCGCTGTTGCTGAAGCCGAACGATTCGATCATGAAGGCCGAATTTCGCGAACATTGGCGTTGAGTTCGTTCGACCAATGGGAGGCGAGTTTGCTGTCAACAAGGTGAAATCGCATTGTTGCATTGCATCGCATCGCAATCGCGAAGGCTGACGGCTTTATCAACTGCAGCCAGCTTTGCTTGAAGGTTCTTCGCGAATCTGTCTCTTGTCTCGCCAATGCCCCCATTTCCTTGCATGTTGTTGCCAGCATGCTTTCCCCGCCTCGTCCTTCCTTGCCCTCTGCTCATCAAGATCCGATCGAGTCAACGGGGAACATTGCATCAAATTTCAGACTCCTGCGAGCACGAAAAGCACCGTCCAGATCCAGTTACTCGCCTACCTACCAGCTACTCCTCGAAGATGCCCCTCAGGATGCGTCGTAGCTCATGCGATGGATGTCAAGCGTACAACATGTCCATGTCCCTGGCAACGTTTCGCATTGTCAACGCAGCAGCARGCCAGCAATGCCGTCGCGAACCCACGTACTGGAGTGGCCACAGGAGCTCTGACGACTCGTCGAGGCGCTTTCGTGCCAGCGATATCGCTAGTGATGCCTCCAAGCACTGGACAGCAAGACGCAACCTGCGATGCCCATCTCTCGGCCCCGCACACCTCTACTCACGTCCGAGCCCACCTCGCCTCTGCCCCATGATACATACTCAAGAAGGAGAGGTTGCCACTCCCGGGGCTCATCTCACCCGCAGCCACCCAACACCTCACCATCTATCTCATCAATAAGATCAAGGTTGAAATCCTTGTTCGTTCCCCTTCCCATCTCCGCACTTTTCGCTCAGCCATGCAAGGTCTTCAATTGTACTTGTTCGTGCATTCTCAGAATGGCTGGCATTCCTTTCTTCTCTTTCGCGCGATGTAGTGGGAACGCAATAATTCCTCTCCCTTTTTCCGCTTATTCTCTCTTTATACCCCAAGATATTTGATGATCGGAACTCGCAGGATTCTGGCTCTGACTGTTGGAACACTGATATAAAACACCACTGCTACACCTGAGATCATTGCTTCCAGACTGGCAGGCGTCACATAAAAGCCCGCGTGGTCTTGAGAAAGCCTCTCACGAATGATACGGCTCTCGCCGTGGCGAACGGCCTGTATCGTCGTCCTCGTCTTCTAGCCTCTCATTGCGGCTTTGCATCCGAGGGAAACTCCGCTCTACAAGAACACGAGTGTTGTCCTGTTTCGACAGCCAAAGCGTACTTCCATATGACATCAGGAGATGCTTCGACCGCCATGATGGTGAATACTTCCGGCCTTCTCGTGTCTGGAGGTATTCACTGGGGTATGTTTCGTATGAAATGGATCTAGACGCTCTCCACATGCAGGTATTAGCCTGGAAATGGTCATAGCAACTTACAAAAGTCACTCTGAATCTTCGAGTGAATATTGGAATTGGTACGCCGAACAACCCTTTGCAAAACGAACTCCAATACTTAAACCTCGAACCTCAACATCAATCGCTTCTTGTTCCATACCACAACAACATCGCTCTTCCACCACTTCCACCAGCTGAGGATCTCTACCACAGCCATCTGCAACGTCAGACAACATCATTCTGACAGCGATCATCTTCCTCATCCGTCTACTTCCACCTAGCAGACAAACCACCTCTCTTTCCCGCGCAGCAACAACGCAAACCAACATACCAGATTTGATCCGCGCGCCTCAAGCATCTCACCCAATACTCGCCGAGCTCAACTCGCTCCACCCGACCGAGGATCGACTTCATCATCGACCTATCGCCATGTCTCCTCTCCACGTCTCCTTTCCCGGCAGCAAGTCTCGCCGCGATCGTCAAGCACAGCGCTCTACAATGGACAGAATGGTTGCGAACCACCCTTCCATGCAAGGCGAGAGTGCTCGAGGGCGCCAGCCAACTCGTCGAGGTGATTCTCCCGTTCCCCCAAGCTACCCGTCCCTCCCAAGCTACGGCATCTCTGGATATGGTCCTACTGGCTATACTGGCAGTCCTCGTCAGCATCCAGAGTCGAGTCGGCTGGCGTCTCCAACTCGTCGAGGTAGAGAGCAACAGTTCTCTGGCGCGCGCGACCCTCGATACCAGGAACAGCGTCCCCGTGGAGGGCGTGATGGAACTGCCCTCGATGGACTCGGCTACCGCACTTACTCGCCTCAACCCGCGACCATGCGGAGACGCTTCAAGTCTCCAGACCACTGCGCCACAACTGATCAGAGTACATCATCGAAGACTCCGATTTGGCAACGCGGTCGATCCCCTCCGCCCAAGCGTTACGCTCCCCGCTCCACGACATCTGGAAACCTGAGCTTCAACTCGAAAGATCGATCCCCTTCTCGCCGATCTACCATGTCAGCTCTCGACATCGGTCCCCCAGCCCGTACCTCTAGCTCGACCGATTTCTCGGTTCCTTCTGCCAAATCCTACCACTCCTCTACACACGGCAACAAGAYCTTCGCAACCCGCTCCTTCGGCCAGTCGACCGTGCGCGACAGCTCGGCATCCCGCAACGCACTCTGCCGCGTTCAGAAATCCGAGTACGAACCTGCACGCGAGTCGCCGCGCGAGGCAATCGCTCGTGCTCAGATGAAGAAGGCTCGAGAATCGGGCAATGCGCGGGAGCCTGAGCGCAACATTCCGAGGCAGAGTGAGCGTGGTCGCAATGCAGAGCCCTCGTATCTCAACGCCGATGGATTCCCGAGTTGGTACGAGCGACATTTACGTCATGCGAGGCCGAGCCAGGCGCAGCGCGACCACGATGGGCGGACGCAGAGAGTTGAGCAGCAGGGGTTTCGGAACTGGTATTGGGGAAAGAAGGACTGATGCATGATTGGCGAGAGGAAGGGGCGAGCAGAATGAGTAGGTTGGGACGGAATGGAGAAGGGGAGATCGCTCCGAGAGAAGGAGATTGAACGGAGAAGGATTGTTTAGCAGGAGTCTTCAAGATTCCGCAGTTTGTGCTTCTTGCTTTCCGGGATTCTGCGGTTCGAGGGCTTGTGCTATGTACTTTTGCGACAACATCGATGGGTCGTAGTACAACGATGAAACACAGCGGATGCACAGGGGGCCAACATACGAATGAATGAAGAAAAAGGGAAGGAGGAGGCAGTGGCCGGCATCTGGAAAGAACATCAACTAGGCAGCACAGCATAATTTACAGCACTGCAAATCTTCAATTTCCGGTCCGCGAACTCCAAGTCGTCCAGCTCCTCAAGGCAGTGCGGAGAACTAATCCAGTAAACAAGTCTTATTGTATCAGTTATATAAGGATATCATTGTAGTCGTCGAAGCGGCCAGATCGGGCTCCACTGTCTCGTAGGTGGGCTTCTGCACAAGTGCTTTTGGGGCGCGACAGAAGCCGACGCCTGCTGTACTGCCCTAAAGTGTCCCAGAGCCGGCCGCGACGCTTCGAAGCATCATGGGAAGCCACGCAATTCATCAAAATGCGCACGGCAGAGCGGTTGTGCGGAGTGCCACTTTCAGCCTCGATCACAGAGTTGGCCATTTGCCACCTGTTTGGCCTCGATGCGATCCCAGACATGCCCATGCTGGGGCGTTGACACCCACTCGAACGCGGTCGAGGGCGCCATCGACATCGACATTGTAAGCCAGTAAGATTTCCCTGCGGACGGCCGCATCTTGCTCGCGCGAGAGAGAGCAGATCGCCGCGAAAAGAGATGCTGGATTCCGAGTGGCCGGCCCCGCAAGATTCGCTTCTGTCGTGCTCACTTGAAGCTGCACGCCTGTGATGATCGAGCTGCAGGGCTGGTGACAACCATCAGGGTAGCTCCCGACCATGTCCCTGGCTTTCACAAGAGCAGACCTCATGTGCCATCCTCGCTGGTGTTTATCATCCGTTCCGGCTCTAGTCACTGACAGCCTGCCATCACATCCGTTGACCCCACGCACTGCGTTGTTGAAGTGAAATTCTCTTTGTCTCATCATCTACTCAAACAACAGCTGGCTCACCTTCCGGTACCTTCTCCCCGAAAGCGTGGAACTGCACAAAGATGATGGCATCTTCGACCATGGTTCCCAGACTCCCGATCAACCACGGCAAGTTGGTCAGGATGTAGCTTTTCTCCAGAGAGTGGAACAGAATCCCGGCCCCGTAACTCGCATTTCCCAACAAACTCAGCAAGAAGAAGAGCAAGCTCAAGCCATCACAGCTCCGCTCCTTCTGATTCTTGATGATTTGTGGAATGCGGGCGCCGAGATAGCAGACCGCAGAAGCATATCCGAGCACTTCAGCACCGATTGGGGTCGCTTCCCCACTGCCGCCCTCTCCGCTGACCGCAGTCGGGCGCCACGCGCCCGACTTCCACGCCACCGCCCAACCGGCGGCACCTGCGATCATGATCATGATTATGGAGACGGTGTTTCGCAACGCGCCGGCGCGGGGTGTGGGCTGGGCGACGACGGGCACGTGCGAGGACAAGTCGTTGGTGGAAGTGCGATGGAGGGCGGAGCTACGGCGGCGAGAGCCGGGAAGGCCCATGTTCTCGTCGGTGACATCGGTGAGGCGGCGATGGCGGTCCTGCGTTGGGGATTTGGGCGCCTCGTTGGAGAGGAGCGGGGCACGCTCGTTCGGGGCGACGGCGGAAGAGGGCTCCGTCTGGGCGGATGGAGACAGTTTGCCGTTCTTGACGCTGCGGTAGTACAGACACTGGGCGATCAGGATTGTGTCGAGAATGCAGAAGTAAATGGCCAGGGCGATGACCGTGGGCACGAGACCGGCCCACAGAGCTCCCGCCAGGTTCGTCACATCTCCAATCGCCCAGATGAAGAGGAATGTGAGGGAGATGCCATCGGCATGGCCCTGCTGGTAGTTTTCATACAGTTGAGGTACGAGCAGGAAGAGCCATGCCGCCTGTAGGTGGTCCTTCGTGTCAGTGGTYGGCTGGCAACGCGGCTCGGCCTGTGCTCACCAACGAAATGGAGCCTCCGATGCCAGAGAGCGCCTCGTTCCACGTCAGAGCTATGGGGTGCATGCTGGAGGAGAGGAGATGGATTATGTTATAAGGGGGGGAAGAGGGTGGTACGGTAGTATAAGGTAGGTATGTAGGTATCTTCAATGCCTCAAGCCTGCGGTGTGACGCACGAAATCTCAGCAGCAAAAGAAATATAGAATCCTGCCCGTAGGGTTATCGGGCCGTCGAGAGGTCGAGGTCGCGGGTGTGGATTGGGATTGGGATCTCGCCGGGAAACACTTGCCGATCGCCGTCTGTCGCCGGTGGCCAATCACCGTGCGTGGGATGTAATGCTCCACGTGATCGACAGACACCTCGCATATGTCCGTTGCTTCACGCGTTCGACTCCGGACGAATCGAGGGGACATTTCTCAAATATCTCCTGCTACCTTACCACCACACTCCACAGCACCAGGAACAACGGCGAGCGGATCGATATCCAGAACGCCGGGTAGCTGCAGCCAACGCGAGGTGTGAACCTGAAAGGACATGCGAGCCGCCTTTCCCTTCCCCAGCCGTATGTGAATTCCAACATCCGACTCGCGTTGAGCATCTTCTATCGCTCATCAAAATGCCCTGGATTTGGATTCAACGGAGCTTTTGCTCCATCGCCGCCTGGTCTTGAGTACCGTAGATATGATGGAATTGACGGAAATTGCACACACAATGATTGGCCGCTGTCCACTTCATCACTCGAAACAGGCAGGAAGAACRAACAGACTGCAGTACCAGGACTACATACCTACAACCACCCATCGTTGCTCCTGCATCTACGTACACTGCCAGATCAGTCAATTTGGACGACGTGCCCAGGCCATTGAGGTCGGGGAGGACAATAAGCCTGGATGAGCATGTTCAGCTCGTGGCTGTAGCGGATGGAGAGCACCTCATACTTCGTCTTGTCGCCGTTGCTGGGGTTTGCCACACACATTCTCTGCCACCCCTGATGCAGGAACTCGGTCTTGTTGCACGGACACCAGCTGATGATGAACTTGACGTTGTCGTCGCTGAGGCCGCCGGGTGTCCATGTATGTTCATGCGCATACACAACTCCAGGCGGAGGATGGAATTTGTTGTACGGAGGTATCCTGTAGCCTTTGATTGCATCGACACATCTGTCTCGGGGATTTCTCGAGCACTCCATGTGACTGGAAGCATCAACTCCGGGGCTCCTCTCGGCCTGAGATCGATCAGATAGGGCTGTTAGCTCAACCTTGAACGTCTCAACAGGGTTGGCAGGATTTTCCTCATGCACACTAGAATCTGCAGCTGGCCCACGAGTTGTCCTCCGAGTCCTCTTCGAACGCTCTGCTCCGTTGCCATCGTTGGGAGCAACTGGTCGCTTGGAGAGCTGCCGCTCTGAAAGACCATGGGCCGGTCGTGTACTTGGTCCCGCGACATCCCAGTCGCCAAATCTCCCATCGGTGCGCTGGACAGCTTGTCCACTCGCATTTCTCGGCCCTTGCACATCAGCATCGGGATCTGATGGAACATCCGGCTCGACTCGCAAATCTCCAGAGTCGGATTGCTCGATGCTAGACTCAGCAGCGTTTGCCTCTTGGTTCAAAAGGAGACTCGACTCATCTCGTGGGGTTCCAAGTTGTTGGGAGTGCTCAAGGCCGGCGTCGGTGGCACTTGGAGTGAAGATGCTTTGCTCGTCATCTTGACGAGTGCTGCCGTTAGAAGCGCCTCTTGGTGTTGATTCGCCGGAAGGTCGCAGCGTGGAAGAGTTTTGTTCTCCTCCTGGACCTGTGTCGCTTGAAGCGTCGCTCTCGTCCTGTCGACGCCTGAAGTACCTGGATTGTCTTCCTTCTGCCCGTCTGTTACGCACAAGCGATGAATGCTCGCTGTGAGGCGTGACGCCGTCCTCATTCTGGTCCTCGTCCGGCATCACGGAGCTTCGAGCACCAACGCTGTGGTCTTGCTCATCTCCCGAAGATGCAGCGGTCTCGACAGTTCCAGCATCAGGTAACTGGATAGCACGAGCATCATCCTTCCACCCCAATAGACCTGCAATCGTCAACAAAAGAATGGCGGGTGGGAAGCGGGTGACATACCTAGGCGACATGTGCATTCAATGGCATATCTACCGCCGGCGTAGACGCAGTTCACGCATGCATCGGCAAAGACACCTGGCCAGAACACGCAAAGAGCGAAAAGAAGCTCCTCGCGCGGCCTTGTCGCRCAGTGGTTGCAGCGCACGCGCAGGGCTAGTCCCACGACATACACTGGCAAGACTCGCCATTTCTTGCGGCCAAGCTTCAAAGTACTGTTCATCCTCACATATTCTGGATTGAATTTCAGCCGTTGGCGTACCGGCATGCACAGAAGAGATGCAATGGCTGGAGAGGCTAGTTTCCTGCCCTCCGACAATTCGTGTTTGCAGTGCTGAAGGAATGATGCGGTATAATMGATGTGTACCTCGATCTCAAAATCGTCGTCTTCGATCAGATTGTTGCCGTCGTCAGTTTCCGGCTCCGACTCCGGATCCCAACAGCTTTTCAAAAATATTGGCCAGTTCTGCAGGTCTGGCTTGGCTCCCGATGTGATCAGTCCGAGAGGCAATGGGTTTCGCCTGGTGAATTCCACAACGGCCGTCCATGCAGAAGGAAGTTGCCACATCGTGAGCCAGGTGTCTGCCCACTCCACAATGATTTCTGGCTCTCCATTTCCTGGGTTTGGTGTCGTCTCGTCGTGGCGAACGATCGCCCATTGATCATCGCCGTCCCTGACCCGCAGCGTGCCCCGTCGAAGGCTGACGGCGAAATCTGCTGTCGGGTGCCTAGTCCGCGCCCACTTGATTAGGTACTGGTCGACTCCTCTGTACTCATCATCCTCCCTTTCACGAATCTGGATTATCGTCCAATCTCGTGGAGCAAGTCCTATATCTTCGTCCTCGGCCAGAGTTCTGGTGTCATCAGACTCATCCGCAGACGCATCACCCTCTGTACTCCGGGAGCTCTGCGTGGGCGCTACGGACGAGCCAGAAGTAACGGATTCGTCTGCCGGCATGGATCTTTCCGTATGCCCTACCGAAAACTACCGAAAACAACTGTCAGTCTCGCATATTAGATGACGCAAGGATGGCCGGGAATAATGGCCGTGAAAGATCGCTCGTACCCTTTGGCAGCTTCCGCGTTCTTGAAAAGCTTCTCACAGCTCATGTGAGCTATGACAGAGCATCATCGCTGGAATCAGGAAATCTGAAGGCTTGGGAAGTATTGCTATCATGAAGAAAATGAAGGCCCAAGGAGCGGTTTCAATGCCAGCTCCGATTCCATGAACATARTTTAAGTCAAAAGCCTGAAAGCCGCATGTTCTGGAGCACTTCACCTTTCCCCTTCTCCCATTCTCGACGCAGCCGGGATTCATAATGTTGAGGATGCGACGTGGTGCAACCAATTTGCAGAAAGTGACAGGTCAGGCATTCCGTTGTACTCCGTACCTTGTGCCATCACAGCTTACAGTATGCTGCAGGCGCTGATACTTTCACCAGGGGAGAAAAGCCAATGGGAAAATCTTCCGCAATGCCTGCAAGATCTAGCGAGGTCATGGGTATATGAGTTAGCGTCGCTTTCGCTTCGGCATTTCAGTTCAAATCCGGAGATCTGATCAGCGAACCCCTGTTCATACCCATGCCTCCAACTCGATCGGCAAACTCCACTTTGTATGTTATGTTGTACCTGATTGACATGGCTGGGCTGGATCACTTTTCCGAATCCTGCAGACTCTGCGGTATCGGCCATACATTGTACATTCGTGTCGACGTTGGAGTGATTTATTGATACCTGTCTGCCAGCTCTCCTCCCAGAGGGAAACGATCGCCATGCGTCCGCTACCGAGGCGAACGACGCCGTTCAAGAGACGTTCCATCTCACCAGAGACGGAAGCAGAACGGGAGGCAAAGCGACTCCACATTGAGAGTCATCGTTTTGACGAGCCCGAGTTCCAAGCGATTGTGAAGGAAGAAGAGCCATCGGACGAAATCATTTATGATGCTCCATTCGCAAATGCACAGGCTCGACGCTCCAGCAGGCAGAAGCAAGCAATTGATGGTCATGCCTCTGATCTGGAAATGTCATTCCAGGTGCTGGCAAACTTGTATTATGCTCATCTTGATGAAAGTAATCTGGTTCAAGGGGCGTTCGTCACCGTTCGGGACCGACGAAGGGAGCTCATCTGTGACACCTCTTCATCCACAGCCCGCAAGACGAAAATTGAACAATGGCTAGCAGAATCGTTCCGGTCACTGAACTTACCGGAGCACAATCTGGAAATGATAGGTTCCGCGCTGCGAAAAGCAGAGCTCTCTCACATAATCCCTCAGTGGATGGCAAAATTTGGCGCCAACGAGTTCCGTGCTGCTGTACAATTGTTGCAAGACGTGGACGCCAGTGGCGAGCACGGCGTGGCAGATGTCGTTCAACTACTTCGGGAACAGAAAGAATCTGCAAAGTCGGCAGAACCAATGGTGCTACCTTCGCCAAGGTCGATCACCCCAAGCAGGACTCCTGAAGCTACGAAAACTCCCAAGTCCGGCAAAACCGTCGCCAGGTTGAAGTCTAGAGCCAAAGTCGACCCTGGAAAAGTGCAGCAAACTCAATGTGGTCAATCTGCAAATGCAGACGCAAGCTCCAAGGACAGAAGAACCACAGACCAGCAGCTTGAAGGGAATCGCGGCGTGGCTGCAACTCGTGGCAAGAGCATGCCTCCCACTCTGCATGCAAAACGCCGAGTTGGCCAACAGGATGCTCCCCAGACAACACATTCGTCAAGTCCCTTTCTTGATGAGTATCGGAGAAACGGCGATCTCCTCAAACGCAAGTCTTCTTCTGGTGGCTCTGTGGTGAAACGCAAACCTGGACCTGACTCCACGACGAACGAGCCATCTCCTGTTCGGCAGTCGCCCTTGAAGCCTACTTCTTCTCCAATCGCAATGGTGCGTTACGTCCGGCCTGACAATTACAACCTATTGGTCTTCTTCATCGGTCCGAGGATGAATACCGTGTCGTCCAAGGCGATTAGCGGTGCGTGTTGGGATGCTTTCAGTAAAGCGCCTCTTCAGACCCATCGTTGGAGTGAAGGCATCTGGTTCGTGCGGATCAACGACGTGCAAGATGTATTCACCGATCTATGGACTGTCAATGGCGACCAATTCACGGCCACACCCACCAATTCGGACCCTCACAACCTCTTTGTAGCGACTTACATTGGCACCCAGATCGACGGCGATGTTCTGCAGAGGGTGGTTGAGGATGCAGTCGCCGAATGCCATCCTGTGCGGTCTGGGGGAAGGATTGTTCTGTACMGAACTCCTTATGTGCAGGATAAGAGGCAGATTGTCTTCCTGCACCTCGCCAAGTCACCTGAGAAGTTCTTGCTGCAAGCCGTCGTGCCTGATGTTTCTGGGAAAAGTCGAAGTCTCATGTTCAAGCCGGCGATCAAGGATTGTCAAGCTCCGTGCTTTTATTGCGATCAGATGCATGATGAGATCGTTTGTCCCGGTGCTGACCAACTGTCTCGGTTTTCGGTGCCTTCGGCAAAGAAGCGGTAGTGTATGTTGTTGACGATAGTTGGCTTCGTGCGGCGGGGGATTCCCCGCGCAGATTGGTAGTAAATGATCCATGGAAGTGTTGCAATCTGCATGTATTTCCCACGTCTACATCTATGCTCAGGTTCCGACAAAAGCTGTCGTTTGTTTGATGTCGAGATCGCCAGGAATTGCGCGAGCTGTCGTGGGAAGAAGATGGGGATGGTTAAGGTACACGTCAGAACAAGCATGGTGCTCGACGTTCTTTCCATGAACCATCAGAATCCTGGCTCAACCTACCTACAAGATGTCCTTGATCACATCGTGAAGAGCTCTCCTTTATGAATAATTCCAAGCACTTACATAGCGCCGACGGGAGCCTCAATTGTAGGCCGCGAGAAAAGAATCTTCATGCTACCCCAACCCTAACCCTAATTGCCTTTTGAATGGCACCTCAGAGTCCGATACGGCTTGGCTTGAGAGCACGAGATTGAATAGAGCTTACCGTTGAAGGACCCTTAGGGCGCGGATGTATATCGTAGAGTTCGATGAAACCGGGTGTCATAATGCTGCATGGTTTGTTGAATGTAGATGACCAGAAGTGGTCTTCTCGAAGAAACTCATCCATGCTGTACAAAGTCCGGAAGAAGCTTCATTTGGCTGAAATTTCCTTGAGAAGTCCCAGTGTTTCCGTGACAGTGAACATTGCATGCTGTATCTCGTGGTTTCAAGACGTCTAGTGGCTGCGTGTTCGGAGGTCGTGATGGGACGATACCTCTTACTGGAACGTGCAAGCAAACGCACGCATGTACATTTCTCATGTCACGTTCGGCGGAGGCCGCTTTCAATTTGAATCACTCTAGCCGTCTTCAAGATGTTGCAGTTGGAAAGGCAGTTGGATAACGACATTGAAGCACGATGCACGTACGAAGAGTGAAAGACGGACGACTGAATTTCATGTGAATAAAAAAGTGGGTGGAATCACCACAGGACTGCCCGGCCGAGCTCCTTGCGGAACAATGCACGCAGATTGAATCAACGAGGTGAAACTGTCGACGAGTACAAAGGTGTGGCGGCGGGGCAGACTGCTTCGTAGTGCCGCACTCGACACAACGAACATGTCCTGCCTCCCTGGTGACAGGGCAGAAAAGCTGGCATGAACCCGGAGGCGTTCTTGAATGGGAGTCGGGCGTAGAATCGTAAGAAATCGGGAGCGTATTTGAAGTGTACAATGATGTACCTCTTGTTGCCTTGCTCAAGCCGATGAACACTCCCAGCACGTGTCCCGAAAACGCCGGCGATGCTCTCAAAGGTTGCTGTGTCGGCCATCTCGATGCCGGAACAATCGGAGAAGAACGTATCCGGAGCAGGGGAGACGGCCTCTTGCGGATAAAGTGTGCAATGTTGGTAAAAGACAGCGGCGCGGAAGGAATCGGGWGCCAGGTCATTGAAGGTCACTTTCCAGACGTTCTTGGAGCATATGCTTACACTTTTAACATTGCTGGCTCCAAAGACGTAGTTACATGCGCTGCGAAAGTCATGAGCGTTGAAGTCGGAGTTGGTCAGGGCAGTGTATGGTGTCCCGACGATGAAAAGTAGTACCTTGGGAGCGTCACCTATCTTGACGTATGGGACACTGTGAACGGGCGAGCGGCCGTTGTTGTGGCTTCTGGTCCGCCTGTCGTCAGCGCGGCCATGTTTGAAAGATCGCTGTGGCTCAGTAGTACCAGCACGGGCATCGAAATTGGAACCACTGCGTGAGGAACCACTGCGTGAGGAACCACTGCGTGAGGAGCCTGTATMACCCGGCCTGTAGCTGTCGCGGCCCGGGTGACGCGCCGGAGGATGGGACATGTGGTCAGCGCCGACATTACCGATCCGCTCGGGATGGACGTTGGGACCAGGTTTAGTGGAAAGAGGCGTTTCAGTCCGGGGAGCGGACTTCGAGGGGGCAATTGACTCGCTGCTACCCTTGCAATGATCCGGCTGGGGAGGGACAAGTAGCGCGCAAACTTGCCGACGGATCTTTACGTCGGGCATCTTCCTCTTCAGCCAAGACGCGAAGTGCTCGACGAGGTCAGCTTCCTGCAACAGCTCGGAAAGGTCTTGTAGACGCATCGATGTCGCCCCACGCTCTTGCAGCTGCTTGACGATTTGAGGCTCTTGGAATGCTCCCCGAATGGCGTCAATGTCGAATCCACAATCTAACCAGTGAAAGATCATCTCCCGAAGTGCCGGCAGGATGGCCTCGGAGGTGAGACGCACATGGATCAAAAGTCGAAGGTAGTGGTCGGCTTCGTCAAAGCAACCCCGAAGAGCAGAGCTGATGGTCTTCTCCTTGTTGCAGAGGTCGGAAGAAGCATCTGGTGCGACCTTGGAAGAGTCTGCCGCCACGACTGCCGTGGGAAAGGTAGGAATCTCGCATTGCTCGTCGCTCGATCCAGTGGTTTCTTGCTTGATATTCCCCTTCTCCTGCTCCTCTTGCTCCTCATCCCCACTATGATCCGAGCCTTCATCGTCGCTGTCGGTGCTTGCGTCGTCGCTGTCGTCGCTATCATCGTCGTCGTCTTCGTCTTCGTCATACTCGCTGCTTCCTATGTCGATGACAGCGGATGAACGAGCTGGCTGAGAAATCCGCTTGCTCTCGACGTCCTTGGCAGATTTGGTGGCAGCAGTCGGTGTTGCATTGACGGTTGCCGATGCAGGAACAGGAGCGACGTCGACCCGGAGAGGCGTTGTTTTGGGCTTTGCCGTTGTCGCTGCGTATTGAACGGCTGCCTTTGCCTTTTCCTTCTCCTTCTCTTTGCCCGTGGTCTTGTCGCTCTTGGATGTCTTCTTTTCGTCTTGCTTTTCGATCTTGATCGGAGTCTGCGGAATTGGCGGCGGCGGCCTCACGTTGGCCATGCCAGCAGCCGCAGCCTCGAAACATTCCGATTCCTTGGACGGTACTGGCGCTGGAGTGGCATGTTTCTTGCTCGACTTGCGCTTGGGTTTGGGTTCGTCAGTGGCATTGCTGATACTGTCGACTCGCTCCCTCTTCGCGGCCATGCTTGATGTGTGGGGTAAGGTACGGGGCGGAAGCCGGAGGACTTCTCCTTTGGGATTGGCGTAAAACGGCGGGGAAGGCTCAAAGCTCAGAGGTAGGAACGACTTGGACTTCAGCTGTAACATCCACGGGGAGCACTTGGACTCTGATAACTGCTGCTGGTGTCGCTTTTCTGGACGCGAAACTTCCGACGAATCCACATCCCAACCTCGTCGGCTTCCGTCGCAGGGAAGAGAGTGGGCATGGTCATGGCGGTCAGGGCTCAAATTGTGACAGGTATCATCAAGTCGCACACGCAGGCATTCTTGAGGAGGCTCCCTGTTCAACTCTCTGCTGACATGTCTCAAATTGGCATCCGCCATCGTGTGCTCGAAATCTTGGCGAAAGTAACTGGAATCCACCATGCTTTTCTGACGGCCATGTCGATGTTTATGAGCTCCAATGTGTATTCAGCACAGTTGTCGAGGCACCGTTCCGGCACTCTCTTCCACGGATTGATTTTGCAACAACATTGTCACCATTATTGGGCATCCACTGCTTGCATGGTCAGCCATGATACCTGTCCCATTCTTGCCAGGGCCCGCAGTAATTGCAGTAGCGCAGATGCATCACAGGCCCTTGTGTTCCTGTGCATCGGACGCTTGCGGCCTCCCGGGCCTTGAGAATACCCATGCATGCTCAATGCGTCCCCTGACTCTTTGGATATCGGGGATTGGGGCTAGCCGCTACAGCTTCCCGGCAGTGAAGTTCATGATTCGCATCCGTTCTCAGAGCACTCAAGATGCCGGTCGTCCGCTGTCGGAGACCCACTATGACATACAGCGACGCAGAGGCGGTACCGCTGTGGCCGTCAACATAGTTCCACCCTGGTGACAACGCGAGACTGGGGTAGAACGCGTTCCTTACGCGTGAATGCTTCGCACCACCGACGTGCTGTATATCTTTCCTTCTGCACCTCTCTTCTGTCCTACCCCCCTTCACACACGAAAGAACTTCTGATGGCTCCTCGTCTTCGGTTTGATCCTGCAATCGAATACAAGCGTTTGCTTGCTCGACCACACATTGACGAGGACGGAGTCTTGTATGCCAATGAATCTGATCTGGTTGGAACCGCTCCCAGAGGTTTGGTCAGCGCTCCCACGAACGATGTCAAAGCTCACACGTTCATAGATGCAGCTGCCGTTCAGGCCGAGATTGATCGAAGACACCGTGTCCAAGCTCCAAGCCCGCGGGGCGTTCCAAAGGCTTTGCACGAGGCTGCGAAGGAAATTCTCGTAACACTTCGTGCAAGGTCTCCGCCGGCCGAAGAACGCAAGTGTCCGGTGCATGACCGAAACATCTCGCGCTGACCGAATGTATAGGCCCCACTCGTATTCCGACATTCCAATCTATCAACGCTCCCCGCACGACCCATACCGCTGTCGGTGCGGAAGGAGTAGCCGAKGACGAACCCACTGGACGTCCTCGCCGTGTTTCTCGACCAAGATCGCCTACTCCAGAAATTCGTGAACTTGCAACGCGCGACTGGAAGTTGGCCAGCATTGTCAACAGGAAGGGAGTCCACGAAGTCTTCTTCTACAAGGCGCGGTGGGAGAGGACGGCGGTAGACATCAGATACATTCGACAGGAAGCCGGCTATCACTTGGTGAGATATCGTGGCRTGGACTGGATTGTCACTTCGGTTGAAGAGTCAATCCTCAATGCTACTACCGGGGAATACGAAGCTGTGGTGTCCTGGGAGGATACTTGGCATCATCTATGGGAGTTCACTTCTGCGCTTGACCCTGTTATTGAATGGGAAAGGGCCAATGATCCGCAGAGACATCTCCCCAGGGAGAAGCGGAAGCACTATTGGTGGCGGTACCCGACATCCTTTCGCAACCATCGGGACCCGCAGACAGAGTTCGACCCAGCCTGGCACCGAGATATCGAGGGAGACGAGTTCTTCCCGGAGAAGAACAGTGACTACACTTTCGCCTTGCTCGACCGTCTTATGAGCCATCTTGCTTCCGGTGAACTCGGTCGACTCCCGTGTACTACCGTGGTTACCCTGCTCAATAGGCCGCTACGACAGCGATTGATTTTCAAGGACTCCTTCGTGGAATCCGGCAAATCGTTCAAGTTGTCTACGCCTGAAATGGCTCGTGCTGCAACGGTCTTCATGACTGGGTTTGCTCGCCTCCTTCTGTGCAATATCTGCATTTGGTACGCAGCACAAGTGCCATTCCATTACTGCACCTGTCTTGAAGACAATTTCAAAGGGTAGGTTGATCTGGTCAAAAGTGCTCCGTTTTCTACGTGCTAATCTCTCGCGCCGGACAGATGCYGCGTCAATAGCGTTGTCATTGGTAAGACGCAAGAATCTGATCTGCACTCCAAGGGTAAGTCTGCTTGTGTGCTGTGGAAGGCATTGTTATTGATATGAACGCAGTGAGAATCTTCAGGGAGCTTGCAGTTCCAACTATGGACGGCAACGTCGATGCTGCCGACGAGAATGCTGCTCCAATGACATCTTCGCCCTTGTCTATTCGCGGACCCGAGACCCGCAGCTCTGTTGAGCCAGAAAGCAACGGTTCCAGCCGCACTCCTCCAACTTCTCCTTCAGCCGTGAGTGGCCAAAGCGGAGGCGGCGGTTCACCTGAGCTCGGATCCGAACGTTTTTCGATCGAGCCCCAAGGGCGGAATCAGCGAGCTCTCCAGAATCCCACAGATTCTGAACCCTCTGATGTTGGCGACCTACAGCTACAGAACTCGGCAACATCGACTACTGCCCGATCTACACCAGCACGTGTGTTACGCAGTCGGAAACGCAAGTCTTCCTTTGAAGCCGGAAAGCGACGTTCTCCACGCTCGAGTACTAGCAAAGAAGAAAAGTCGATGGTTCAACGCCCATCTTCCTCCGCCGGTTCAAGTTTCGCTCGGCCTCTCGATGTCATGGACGAGGACGATTCAGACAACATCCCAGTCTTCTCGCACGAAGAATGCCCTGGGATGCACGTGCCGTGCAGACATGAAATCTACGGCACTCCAGACCGTCTCCCCACGGAATCTGCCAGTATCGTCTATCGCAACCACGAGTTCGAAGTGGAAGGCGAAGCGACGGAAGAGCAGGTGCGATACGTCGTCAGTCGTCTGCCGTGCTATTATGCCAGAGAGCTTCACATGGCGTGGGAGGAATGTCAAGCAAGACCAGGAAGACAGCACGCCACAAAGTACGCCCTTTTGTCGCACCACACTAGCAAGCTCAATGAGTATGTGCGAGCGCATTGTCCGGCGGATGTTGGGTTCATTGATCTGACGCTTGATGACTGAGGAGGAGGATCTTCCAGATGAGATCTTGCGAGATACATCGCTGAGGATTGTCGAACGCTAAATGCCTGTATGGGGGCTACGATTGCCGCGGCGATTCATGTGTTGTTGTATTGCCGTCGAGAGTGGCATACGACCGGAGAGTATGCTTGGAAACGTCAGGATATTTGGAACAATGACAACAGCAACGTTGGCGACGTTTTGGCTACGATGTGGCCGGAGCATGTGAGGTAGAAAGTACGGGTTCGTTTTCACTGAACAGTAACCTTCTCTCCGCTGTCAGCCCACCACCCCCGAGCCAGGCTAGATATCTTCTCGCATTCCCACATTGCACCCACACACGGGCACACCGCTTGAAGTGTTTCCCTTATTCATCGCAATCTGCGCCGCCCTCCCTCCAGCCCATCCCTTCGCGTTCTCTAACAAGAAGTATCACCGACTCTCTCGACCCGCGACTCGTAGCGAGCAGATCGAGCAGTCACTACGTCCGACGGGACGTTTCGCTTCGTAAACATCGGCACCGGTACCGCCTCTGCGCTCTTGCACGGCCAGGCGTGCACTTCATCACAAACAGGACATTTCTGATCGATGCTGGTGTCCACTGGCTGAAAACGCGCAGTGCAAACCTGTTTTTGCGGCAAGCGTATCCTGACGTACAACCGAAGGAACTGCACTGGTTCCGAGAAGCAGATCAGGTATCGATTGCYTGGATACTTCAGGACTTCGATACGATGCTTACTTACCTCCCAGTTGAACAGGGCGTAGACGCCAACACCAACCTCCGCGTCGTCCACTTGCTGGTCATGAAAGTCGCAGAGGAAGATTTGCGGGTCTCTGTCCGGAATGCGCTCGGCAAAGACACCGTGGTTATGACAGATGACACTTCTGTTCTTGCCGAGAGCCGCTTGCGCCGCCTCGGGAGACTCAACCCTGACCGAAAAAGTCCGCTTCTGAACAACTTGGCCCACACTTTTGAATTTCAAGCCGAGCTGCGTAGCGATGGCCCGACGAAATTCCTTTGCGTGGCGTTTTGTGATAGGACAGCCAGGCGTGCCTATCACGAACTGGAGGCGCGAAGCAGAATCGGAATGTCGTTGGTACGGCAAGGCCAGAAAATCCGTCTTCCATCGCGCTTGTTGTTTACCCCGTGGAATGACCATGAAATCGGGAGTATGAACTGTTTGGTCCGACCGTTCTACACTGCCGTCGCCACTTGGTGCAATTTCGTCTCTGGCCGTAGGCGCCAATGCTCCTGGCAAACCATGTTCAGACAGCAACGCCGCTGCCGACCAATTCTTTCTAATAGCAGGGCCGTCTGCCAGCAAAGCGTTCCGTAGCCGAGACCAAATCTTCTTCTCTTCACGCTCGAAGCTACCCCAGAACTCCTGAGCTTGCTGGTCGCAGTCTTGGCGATTCAAGGGGATACCGGCAGATATCGAAGCCTCGAAAACCTGGAAGAGGAACAAGCTGCGCCTCGTGGGGAATTGAGACTCCAGCTCCTCTAGTGACAAGCTGCTGAGGTCCAGAGGAACATCAGCAGAGGGCGTTTCAGTCCGGCCGCCGGTAGTGGCCAACGACGTGCTCTGCTGAGGATCTTCATGCCCAACAGTCTCTTTGAGCCGATCCAGGTATCCATGTCGACCTAGTAATTCCACTCCTGCTGGACGGTCGAGTGGATTGCTCTCGCCTCTGAGCAGCTGATCATGGAGAGCTTTCCACTCTCCGCGTTGCATATCCGGTGTCTCGCTAAAATGATCGATCGCGACCTTGCGGCATTTGAACCACGGAAGTGATTGCAAATCAGCGGTTACCTCGCATACTTCCTTCAGATGATAAAGCAGAACGTCGATCACCCGCGGGAATTTCTGCTTGAACTTGTCGATGCGTTGTTGTCGGATGGTTTCTTCCTGTGAACCAGGGTTGTTTCGATCGCTAATGAAATCGTCTGGACCCTCACCTTCAAGAGTAGGTTCTTCTTCAACCTTGACATCGTTCGGGAGGCCACCCGACATGAGTACACTTCCACTGCGAGTCACTTGAGAGACCGCGTTGCCGAAGTCTCGATCAGGCGCTACTGATCTCGACGTCTTAGCGTAGTCGGCAATCCCGACTATGACGTCCTGCTGGCTGTGGAGTTCTTCCCGCCAGGAATGGAGCTGAGCTTGAATCTGCCCGTCCGGTGCTCCTTCCTGAAGCGTTGTGAGGACGCTGTCCAGCTGGTACACGTCTCTGAGAGAATTTGCAGCCTCATCAAGGGAAAGACCGCTTGGTGCTAGTTGCCGGAGAACCATTGCGACCTCGTGCACTTTGTCAATGTGCAAGCCGTGTTCAACGAGCTTGCTAGCGACGGTACGAACTTGCAACTCATGGGTGGGAAAGCACACATGTCGGAGTACTTGGATTGCGGGCATGTAGAAAATGTGATCGGGACCATACTTTTGTAGTATACCGGCGGCGGTTTCGATCTCGGTTGCGATGTCTTGTTCCGTCCGAGGAAGTAAGAAGTCCTGCTGGTTATCGTCACCATACGTGGGAGCATGAGGTCGAGAATGACGAAGATGGTGCTTGTCGGCGCCTGAAGGAGCTGTTGGCGCGTGGTCCGAATCGAGACTCTCTTCCTTGATGCGAATCGAACCTTCCCGGCGGGCTTTTTCCGGCGCAGGTGTCTGCGATGGGCCTTGCTGGAGCGAATGTCGCATGGAGTTTGCACGTCGGATCTCATGTTCATGGTCGAATTGAAGCGGCCGTCCCTGCAAACTGGTCTGTATGGCGTTGGTGGCCTCGATCTCAGCGTCTTCGTTCGGTGCTGCTGGCGGATGGCCACCAGTCTTGTTCCTCTTCGGTGGCGAAGTGTTACCATCACCATTGCTGCGACGCTTCGGGGCCATGGCAATTGAAAGCCAACGAGTTTGTAGTGAAGGTGATCCGTCTAGGACAGGTGAGACAAAGTGAAGTGCCAATGGCCAATGCGTGCTTCTCGGAAGTTCAAAGGCACGTCGCAGAGTTTCGGGAATGAGCCGGAAGCCCCGCATCGCGTGGCTGACGCGAGAGCACGGGAATCTCTCAACTCAATCACCACCAATGCCATCTCGTTCCATGTCTCTGAGCAATGCTCTCGCCGCATCGCACTCCGGCGGCAGCTTTCAATCGCTTGCGAAGTAGCAGTGCCGCACGCTGTACCCCTCTCAATGGCGCACGACACACGCCGTCACAGCAGCCGGATCGGCCTGGACTAGCCACGGAAAGAACTGCTCAGTCTCAGCCAGCTCCGCCTCGAGGTTCGCGATGACCCGTAGATGATCTCTCAGCTTGAGGGTAAAGCTGACCGCTAGCAGCGCCGACTTCCACACCTGCCCCAGGATGCCCACACTCCGCAAGCCTCGAAAAGCCATCATCTCAGGTGCAAAAGAACAGCACCTCCGAAGACAAGCGAAAAAGAAAGAGGGAAGGTCGTCTGCTCCCGCCAGTGCCCAAGCTGCGCGATCTCAAAGTGAGAAGAGTCACTCGTCGTTGGGAAGGAGAGCAAGAGCAAGAGCAAGAGCACGGAGAGGAGTGGTTTCGAGCCACCCTTACAAGATCCACGTTGCAGGGACACATCGTGAGGCAGAGCTTTGACGGCAAGCCCATCGTCYAAATAGACAACAGAGACTTGAGGCYCCGGTCGCATGTTGTCGATCTGGAAACAGACCTGACATCCGTGAGATGGAAACCTATATGGCTGACTCGCTCCACTGGCCTGATCGACGCTCAAAAGAGAATCATGGAGTTCGAGGAGAAGGAGGCGCAGAAGGAGCGGTTGCCGAAAGCCCCGATTACAGCTCTCGTCCTGCTGCAGACGACTCCCTCGAACGACGCTTTCGTCCCACAAAACACCGCGGCATATAACGTTTGGCTGCGAAAACGGCTTGAGGGCCATGCCGGCATTACGCGGGAGATGAGGCACATCATTTCTCTGCCGGATGTCCGAGATCTAGTATTTAGCAAGACCTTCGTTGCCAAATCTTCTACCTTTGACGTATGGAACATTCGAGACAGAGAGGCTGGTATGATCTATGCTACAGGAGTCGAGCAGAGCGTGCCGTGCACACGATGTGCCAAGGGATCCGCTCCTTTCGAGAAATGCGTCGTTCGAGAAGACATTTCTGGCGGTGCTTGCGCCTGCTGTGTTTTCGGACCAGCCAACGACACCTGCGATTTTCACGCTAGTAGTGAGTCCATCGACATCAGACACAACAGCATAACGCTAAAACTTTCTAGGCAAGGCCGAGACGCGGCGCACCTGCGAACGTCACGAAGACGCCAGCATGATCGCATATGCCCCTCTCCTCCAGAATCCCGACCAAGACCAGGGGAGTGAACATGCCAGCGATGGCAGGGTAGAGCACGAAAGTGCCGTACACTCGTGTCGCAAGAGGAAGTTGGAGGCTTCTGATGGTCAGTCTGATGCGCTTTCATACGGTGCTTGCGTCTCGTGGATCCAAAGCTGATAGGTGCCGTTAGATGACCTTTCCCTCTCGACTCGCAACGTTCGCTCCACGCGAGGCGTATCTCAAGCAGCCGAGAGTAACATCGCCGGCATAGACCACGGTCCCACATATCCACCTGGATGGCGCCACCCAAAATGCGGCCTCGCGCCCACCCCGTGTAGCAAAAAGAAGAGAGCAGTTCAGCTACCTCCCGAAGAAGCGATACATGGGATGATCTGCCGTAGCACGACATTCAGGGCGGGAGAAGCAAGTATAAGTCAGGTGAGGTTTGTCATGAGTCGGGCCAGCTGCCGAAAACTTGAGGTCATTCACAGGATTTGGAAGGAGATACTTGCGCGCACACCACCATTGCCGGAGCACTATAGAGGAAAGGAGGACTTTGTTCGGTTTCTCATGACGGACATGCTGAATGAGATGATCGCGGGCTTCTGCCCAGATGTCGTTGTGCTTGACTAGGGCGTTCAGCGGACCAGCGAAAGGTTGCGCTGAATTGKGCTGGTATGCACCGTGTACGCTAACGTGGAGACCAAAGAGAGATAAGTCAATGCGATGACCATGATATAGATTACTGTTTAGGGCTTGTCTAGTATTCAATTGTAATTGAGATTTGAGTTTCACGCTAAAACCGAGCGAAGAGTGTCTTCGGCTAGTAAGTGAATTGTCAATCCTGCTTTCAATCTTGCTTTCAATCCTACTAGCACTAGAGTAGGATTGAAGATTATTCGGAAACGGCGGCCCGAAATACCCAAATAGGGCCTTTAAACGAACGGGAAGCGTAGCGTAATTAAGACGGTACCTAGTAGAAACGTAAGGCTACTACTATTAAGTACGGAGTTTATGAATTTGTTATACATAGCCCGTGCTCTAGAACACGTCCTACTAGCTAGAAGTTATCTATACGTCAATTTAATTGAATTAAAAGCGAACACTAGACAAGCTCTTATAGTGTTAGCTTATATAGCGTACTCCTAGTCCTTATTTGTTAGGTAGCTACGTTATAGCTGTTGTTTATCTTTAACTTTACTTATCCTTACTTTTAGTCATTCACTTATAACTATTACCGCTACGGAGCTAATAAGCTTTATGTTATAGGTAAACGACGTATAGTAGGATTCTTAAGGACATCTAATATCATAGATAAGTAGTGTAAATAGAAAGAACCTCGGCTAAGGTTTACATTAAACTAACAGGTTCGATATAAGAAAATAAGTTGCGTCGCGGATTATTACGGGACGGGAACCCCGGACTTCCCCGGACTTCCCTAGACTTCCCCGCTCCCGCTCCCGTACCCCGCTCCCGCTCCCGGACTTTCGAAAGTACTTAATCGCGAACTTCTCGCGCTCTCTTAGAGACTTCGTCGAGTGATTTAATATCAAAACGTTGACACGCTCTCGTCCGTTCTCAACCGTGACACGGATTCTAAGAGAATATTTACGGGTGCTAAACAATTAGCAAAGGCTACGCTCCTAAGGCTCGTCCTTATATTTACTAGCTCGATACAGAAGGAAGGCTATCTCTCGTAGTAGCCGCGACTTACGAGAAAACGTATAGCGTATACACGCTAAGTTTAGCGTTCTAGTATAGGTATAGCTAGTACYTAACTGAAGAGCTCGCTCTTTATATTACTCCTATCTACTTACTTTCTTCTTTTTGAAGATACTAGTATATTGTCGGCCTTCTATTTACTACTTTTACTCTTAGTGCGAGTAATCGGCGTATATATAGAGAGCTTAAGTAAGGTTTTTGTTGGAAAGTGCAGTTATGGAATAGCTGTACATCTGATATAACAGAGAGCCAAGTGGCCACAAGGTTACATAACTCTATGTGGGGTAAAATCTCTTCTTAGGAGATGGAGACACATCTCTAGATAACAAACTAAATTAACACATTAGTTCCTACTTTTAAGTACTGCCTATCGGAGACAGTAAGCCAGTTAAAGATCAAGATACTCTTATACTCCACCCCTAAAATTCTGCGAACCTCCGACTAATATTTAACAGGTTATAAGCCCGGGTTTGCCGAAGGRAAAAAGACCTTAACCTTAAAGTAGTAAAGGTTTCTCCTACCTTATAAAGCTAACACAGAAAGGACACTAGTTTCTAGTACCTTATCTTGCACTACTAGGAGTTTTAATAGCAGGTTAGATAAGAAGAAAACACAGAAGACAGATTAGTTCCTAAGGGTTTAGAACATTTAACTATTAGGACTAAGGGATTATCTAACAGCTATAAGGAGTAGAGGACTCTAAATCCAAAGCCTTAAAACACACACACACCCTTTACTTTAMYACTAAAGCCTTAGCAGGACTAAGCTATTTAYATACTAAAATAGAGGAAGAGAAGGWCAGTTAGACCTATATTAGGATTCTAATCCTAACAAGAGAGAACTAGAAAAGATAGTTTAAACTACAGAGGGACAACCTAGAAGGAAAAGGCATCTTCTATAACATTAAGGGATTAATTAACCTAGATAATTCATTACTCCTTAATCTAGATGCTAGGGTTGCAAGAATAGCTAGCTAGCTAAACTTTTAAAAGGAGAATGCCAAGTGTAGGTATAAGCTAAGATTAAGAGTTAGCTTAGATAAAGCAGATAAGATTTAATTATTAATAGATACAAAGATAGCTGCTAAAATGTGGCTCTTCCTCTAGAAGAAGTACAGTAAGGTGCTTATAGTACATACTATGTTAATAGTATAACAACTTATGAACTTTAGAATAGGAGAGGAAGACATAGTAAGATTAGCCTAGGTATAGATTAGTTTAATAGYAAAGAGGATTGCAGAGGTTAATAAAAGGGAGTTATATATAAAAGAACCTAAAAGGAAAATTAGGATCCTTCTTTTAGCACTCCCTCCTAAGTTTGAATTAACTAAGAATGCAATTATAGCCTAGCTAATGCTTACTAGGAACTATAAATAGATCCTACTTATCCTTAAATCTTAGGAAGCAAGGGACCTCYATTATAGGGAGGACTTTGCAATAGCAGCCTTTAGAAGGACAAGAACATGCTTCCTCTGCAATAGATAACACTTTGTACAAGATTGTCTATAGCTAGGAAAGGCAAAGAAAGCAATTAGACCTTAGGAAAATTTCCTATCTAGAAACAGGGATTCTC